GTAGATGCAATTAAAAAAAATTAAAAGTGGGCCCCACATATATAATTTAATCAGTTTAGCAGGTTGCTAAGCTGTTTAAACTAATATGAGCAACTATCCCCTATACTTTGAATTATTCTAAATTAAAGACTAGTTTGGATTAAAATGAGAAGATGGTCAATAGATAGGATTATTTTTGTTAATTTTTCCAAAAATAAAAGCAAATGCCTATCATTTGAGCTAGCGTGCATAAAGGTTAATGTAGTCTTGCTGTAGGTAATAGTTTCATTAGATCCAATGTTCAAATCTTAATCTTCCAATCCCATTACAATTCACCCCTTTAATTAGAAATCAATCATGATAATATAATTTCAAAATTATTCTAAGTTAAAATTATTACAAGTATGATAAGTTATACTAATAAATAAATGTTTTTCAACATACACTCTCTGTCGTCTCTTTGTATGTTTCTTTTGTTGATTATATTTACGATCATGGTTTATTTTAGTACCCATACTGCCATATATATTATGCATATGTTCGATATGCATATATTGTTATATTGATGAAGAGAGCGTTTAAATTAATAATTTGTTTACTTTGTACAAAAAAAAATAAACTCCCGCTTAACCGTTAAAAGCTGCACTATGCATCTACTAAAGTCATCATCTTTGCATTCAATTTGTTAATACTGGCATATAATACTACTCGTATTATATACTCACTTCTACTGTATTAATGTCTTTTTTTCCCTCCTTTTCAAATTTATAAATTGTTATAAAGTACATAAAGTTTTGAGATCATAACAAAAAGAAAAAGATCAAAGTAAATTGTAAAAAGGGGATGGAGTAACAGAATATGTATAAAATACGTAGTATTTTGAAAAAATAAATCTGTCTTATTATGCATGTAATTTACCAAAGATTTTTTAAGTTAAAAGACATGGATCAAAAGAGAGAAAAGGACATTTGATGTAAAGAAAGTTATCAACCTATAGCTTCTTAATCACGTTTCATCTATCCATTTATATATATAATCAGTTATTTTCAGCAACATATCAACTTTATTTTTACAGAGGTCCGCATTTAGTCGGTAAAATTCAACTGTAAGTAACTTGTTGGGAAAGTAATATTCTTTCTAGCACAGATATACATGCAGTCAATATATACGAGTGTACTAAATAATTACTAATTATACAAATGAGAGCTATACATGTGTTGACATTTTTATTAAGCTCTAGAATTTTATTTTATTTTATTTTTGATATTTCGACTGGTTTAATTTAAAAGAATGAAAACTATCTTACACATAATTATGAGTGAGTATAGACGCATAGAGCATATGTATTTTGCATGCATATAGGAGGGCAATCGGGGATTCGGTGGTATATTTTCTCTCTTTTAATGGTACAGTGGTACATTTTTGTGTAATATTATGTACTATTATGCATGTAATGGTACATTTTGTCATTGTATTTTCTACCACCGATTTTTCTCAGATTCCCATTATTTACAAAAATGTCATCCTATGTACAAGTGAAATATATAGGGCTTATGTGCCAATACTTATTCCATAATTATCAAGCATTTAGCTCATACCCTCTTATTTTTTTTTAAAAAAAAACAATTATTAAGTACTACTCGTATGTAGCTAGCTTCTTACAAATTTTTTACTTACAATATTACTGTCTTATACAAAATGTCATACATTGACATTTTCTTTGAGAAAATGATTAGAGAATGTAAATGAATGATAGGATAAGGGTATATGTAAGATGTTTAAACTTATTATAATGAAATTTTGTCCGTTGACATTATCTAATTGCCTCCTTATAATACAAGGCATAATATAATGCTGCAAGTAAAATCATAGAACTCCGTGTGATATTAGTCTAATCACGGTAATTTAGAAATACATTGTCTCTCCTACAAATCAAGCCCATTTAAGTAATAACAACATTACCTGAGTTTCACTTTAGTATTCCCTTAGCTAGTTGTTCCTACTTGCCTTGGTTTATACGAATACGTATGAACATAACAATTTATACCCATAATTTTAATTTCATTTTTTTTTTCCCAGTGTACACCATTGCATATCTCCATATATATTGTATACATACAATTATGTAGTACTATATATACATATACAAGTGGATATAAGAGCACTCTCAGCAGTGAGGAGAAAAGCCCTCACGAGTAAAAATAAGGGTGTAAAAAAAAAATCCGAAGACTACATCAATGAGTGAAAAAACACTCACCGATGAGTGAAAATAAAAACCCTCAAGAGTTGAGGGCTTTTGGTGATGAACAGTAACATGTGGCCCCCACTGCTTTTGTTGTTTTTTTACAACGGTTATATTTTGTATTTGAAATATAACCGTTGTAATTATTTAAAAAAAAAAAAAATCACCAACGACCATAAATTTTTTTTCTCTATAAATAGACATGCATTTTGATATACTTTAAAAAAAACCCATAAATTAGAGAAATTAACATATTTTCCCAATTTCTTCTTGTTATTATTATTATTATAATTATTTCTTATAAAAAAAATTTCTAGTTAGTATTATTAATATTTTTAAACGTAATTATAAATTTTTATTAAATTATTTTTAAACGTAATTAAAAAATAAATTAAAAAATAGTGGAGGAGAAAGTGATGAGAGGTTTTTTTTCTCCTCATTGCTGTGGTGAAAAAAACATTTGATGAGAGAAATTGTATGGGAGGAGTGAGAAAGTGGGTAGAAAGAGATTGAGAGGTTTTTTTTTTCCTCACTGCTGAGAATGGTCTAAGTGAAGTATAATGTAATGTAAATATGTAATTATTGTGTAACACGTGAAGGAGTTTTAATTAGTCTAACACCAATGAGAAAGAAACCAATTACAAGTAAATGACAAAAATATGTAAGCGTGTAAAATGATGAAAGCTAAGTAGCAAGTACAATGAATCCTAGTTACTCAATTATTTATTTTATGATGTAATAATTATTCTCTAATACACTACAATAACTAAACATCATAAACATCTTGACTACCAACAATTTTGGTCGTATATGCATGCAACGTGTACAAGTAGGGAAACATTGTTATTGTTACCATGAACAATTGCTTTTGCATTTGGATTTTGGATTTCACACACTGAGTTTGTACTGTACAAATCTCTTCTTCACTTTATGCAGCATTCTATAGCTTTTGTGTCTTTATTTATAAATGGGACCCCTAATTAGTGGGCCCAAATTAAATTAAGGCTAGTGTAGTAGTAGTGGTGGCTTGGAATTGGACTATATCGTCCATTAGTCCGTAGATTGTAGGACAGGTGTGATTAGCAAGCTTCTATGCATCAAAGAATGTGCTTTATGTCTACACTCACCTTAATTATTACGGATTATTAATATTACTTGTGTGAATTCAAGATACTTTCCTTCTACTTTAAGAACCATTTTGATCCCTCGTTATCCATCTACTGTAACTTACCATTGGAATAGAAAGATTGATGTAGCTAGGTTAAGTAACCCTGCTCAATTAAGCTATATTGTTTGATTTTTCAGTTAATCTCTATGTTTTTATTTAAGTGCCCTAGTTTGACCGGCACATTTAGTTTATTTTTCAGTTAATTCCTCTATTTTTTTTAAAGTGTCCTATTTTGACCAGCACACTTAGTTTGTTAATGCACAACTTTAACTAATGATATATGTAATTATCCGTAAGTATAAATTATAAGAAGTTGATATTTGAAAACTATATTTTGAGACGATCAATGCTGAAAAGTATCAAAGGATCATATTTTATCTTACGTATAAAACACAAATATTGGTCAAAGCGAATAGTGTCAAAATCAAACTAGGACACTTAGATAAAAATAGAGGGAGTATAGTTTTTTTTTTTTTTTTTTTTTTTTTTTTTTTTTTTTAGGAAAACGTTAGAAATATTATAAATCAGAATCTGCTAAAAGTACAAAACTCTGCGGAAACGGACCCATACAAATAAATTCCGAACAACCACGGGTATCCCATCTTGCTACAAGGTGGGCTACCGTGTTACCTGTCCTTCTAACATGAGAAGAAATAAAAGCAGTAAAAAACTTAGATAACATGCTAATATCATCATAAATTAACCAAATTGGCGAGCAACCACTAGAACCGTTGTTGATTGCAGCACACACAGAAGAAGAATCACTTTCCAACCATACTTGCGTCACACCCAGGCGCCTAGCCACAGACAACCCAAAACGCGCAGCCGATGCCTCTGCATACTCCACTTCCCACACACCCTCAATTTGTCTCACCGCAACCCAAATAAGCTCCCCCTATGGTTTCTCGCCAGGGCACCTAATCCCATATAGGAATTAGCTAGCATCCACATTTACTTTTATAAACCTTCTGAGGGGCGTTGCCACGCTGTTAATGAGAGAGTGTCCCTTCGAGGTTGGCTAGAGAACACTTTCTTGGCATATATATAGTAATCCTCAACAAGCTTGACATAACCGACAACCGTCTAAGAAGCATTTAGAGCCAAGCCCTCATGAACCATCTCGTTCCTACAAAACCAAAGGGACCATGCCATGACACATAATACACGTAGCTCATCACGATCTAGCTTACCTGCAAGCCACACAAGTTTGGAACGAAAAGAGGAGTCCGGAGAATCATCCACTGGTGACTGAAAGCGACTACTATTCCACACACCATGTGCGACCCTACATTCAAAGAGGAGGGAGTATAGTTTATATCTATACAATCAATAAAATAACACATAATTCTAAATTTTCAATCAATCAAAATTATGATTATGATTATATATTAGTAAATTTGTTGTTTTATAAATCACATTAAAATTGATGTTCTACGTAAAATATATTCAATCAAACTCATACCAACCCAACTATCTAGCTTCATCCTCTCATATTTGCGAATTAATATATTTATTTTCATACAATATTTTATCTTTAACATATATTTTCATTACACATACGTTCAAGGATTTAAAATAAATAGTTTTTAAAACTATCCTAGAGCAAGTTCAACATGATCAAGGCGCTCAAAGCCCAAGGAATCCAAGTTCACTTGCTCTCTCCTTCTCAAATGTCTCAAAGTATTGATAAATGATGGTCACCGCAAGTAAAATTCCAGTGCCTAAGCCAATGGCACCCATGAGATCTGCCAAGACTGACAATGCACCAATGCACATGCCTCCAAAGGCGGCAGCAGTGGGAATGTAACGGTTGAGTTCCTTCTGCAAGTTTGAATCACGGTGTCCAGGCATAACCATACCTTGCTCCTACAAAGTCACAACACTCAAATTAATAACACATTGCTGGAAAATTTTAGAATATTGCAAGGTCAATGGATATACCAGGAGATCATCTTTAAACCAAACAGACTGCTTTTAACAGTCTCCTCTCCGAAGACACAGAAAAAAAAAAAGAAAAAAAGAAAAGGAATCAAGAAACAAATTTCACTGTTATTCTATATGTTACCTTGAGTTGCTTAGCCACATCCCTAGCAGATGATCCAGAAACCTCAATCCATGTCTTTGAGAATAGAGCACATGCGGAAAGCATGAAAATTATATAGAACAGAGCATGGAAAGGATGTGCTGCCATGTCTGCCAAGCTGCAAGTCCAAACATGAATAATGAGAAACATCTAATCAAACAACTGAAACCATGAAACTAATCAAACTAAACTGAGAGCGATGCACACCTGGCTGGGGCAGTAACATAGTAAGCAAGTCCACCAATTGGGATTGATTGACCACCATATTCAGACTCTTTCCACATGCCCAACAAATTTACAAAGAAGTTCCCGCCGTATTTCCTGTACAGCAACTGCACAAATCCACAAACATTTCTTTAACTCGGTTATCAAGTAACAATAGCTTGTAAAATCTTGGACCTCTTCATATATCGAGCTCTTAATCACCGAACTAAATTTCTTTAACTCGGTCTTGGGCTTTAAATATACGGTCATAAAATACGATCCAACTCCAATGTCTTTGTAGTGGATCAATAAGCTCGGGAATAATCATAAATCTGCAATTTCCTATAAAATAATACCAACTCTACAAAAATATTAGAAAAAAGCTTATTGATTTTGTAGGAAATTCTGGGCAGATGTGGAGATCCTCCTTCCGCCTTAAATTTCCGGATCTACTTAGGTGGATCCGTAAATTTTAAGTGGATCCTAATTTTTTAGGCGGATCTTTCCTAATTTTTTTTTTGTTTTGTTTTGTTTTTTTTTTTTAATTTATTAATTTATTAAATTTATTATTGTAATCTTTGTATTATTATTATCTAAATATTTGATAATAATAACAAATTAAATTATAATAAAAGAAATAATATTGGGGAATATTGTTTGTTTTTTTTTTTAATTTTAGAGAGATGAAATGAGAGTGAAATTACGAGAGAGTTGTGATATTTTCATAAATGAGAAATGAGTGTTGTGAGTGTCGTGAGTATTTATTTACAAGGGGTAAACACGGAAGTTCGTATTAAAACGCGAGCGGTGCCTTGTAAAATGGGAGCGTTGTTTAACAACCCCCTTATAGATTTCGTGAGAAATGGGTATTTGTTGTTTTGTTTGGTTGACCAAAAATAAATAAAGCATGGAAACTCAAAATTCCAAGACATTGGAAATGGAGCATGGTGAGTTGAATTTCTTGTGTTCAGTTTTCATGGAATGACGATGATACCCTTAAATGTGAAAGTAGTTAAAATAGCTACAATTGTAACACCCTAGAAATTCCATTCCCTTAAAATACATGTTTTGCTTTTTTTAAAAATACGAAATAGGAAATTCTAAGATATTACCGCCACCGTAAAAACGGCTAAGGCAATTATCAAAGACACATAGTGGAAGACTCATTTTAAAACCATTCAAAAAAAGTCAACTTAAAAAGTCAAACCATAGTCAAACGAAGTTAACCTACAACTTAGAACCATTGTAAGCCCTTATCAAAACACAAAACGAATGTTAAAACCTTTGTGTTAGTGTCACAAGCAAATATATAATAATCAAAACGAATAAACACTTCATATTCTTATGGAAACTCAGTAGGATTCGCTCTTCACTTATGCCCTTCATGAATATGCTTCATCACCTTAAAAGGTTCTCTTTAATTTGTCCCCACTACTCGCCATTTGAAATGGGTGGTCGTAGGGCCAAGATAAAGATAAGGCCAAACAAACATACAAACACACAATCAGCAAAGCTGAGTACATAAACGTAAACAGTACACACTAACATGCTTTTATCCTATCAACACACAACTTACCTTGTTGCACCTTTTTACAAGCATACAACATACCATACAACCAACCAATAAATAAATGAATTACTTATTTAATTTGATTACGCATCAACGGGTTTCCCACCAAATCCCTACCCTAAATAAGTTGAGGTAAACTATACCGGGAGCTAACCGGGAAGGCAAATGCCACATGAAAGTAATTGGACGTCCTGTGCATAAAATAAATAAGGGAAAATACAGCGTCCTGTACTCCCAGTAGAAGCTATGGTTAAATATAAAACCCCATAACTCCCCCCATATGTTCATACTCAAGGTGTATACGTTCCAAGAGTTTTGGTGCGTAATCTTTTTCACTTTACGCTATTTACATATTTTTAAACTTGGTGATGACTCTCAATCCATAACACAATTAATCATAATAAATCATTCAAGTAATCAAACATACCAATTTAATTCTTGAATAATTATTGACCACATAAATTTAATGTTGAACCCTTTTTAAACTATCTCGGCGTTAAATAACACCTTAAGCGCATAAAGCATCGCAAATCCTATCCCTCGGTGTTTATAACACCTTAAGTGCACTTAGGCACCGCATTTCCTTTTATTCCTGTGTACTAAGACACTTACTAGCTCAATTCCCATGCTTAAAGCATCAATAAAAATTATATGAACATAATAAAATTCCCTTTTTATATTCCAAACCAAATTAAAAATTTAGTTAAATTAAACATGCTTCCAATCCTACCAATAATAAAAGTGTGGTTCATATTCAACATGTCAACATAATTAATTCCAATCATTAATTAACCACAAACAATCCATACTTCACAAATCAATCACCAACATCAATTCCATCAACAATTCCAACCAATACCTATCATGATACTACCTTAGAATTAATTAAACAAAGCCTAGCATGCTACTACACACTTAAATAAATGTCGAGTACGCAAACGTACCTCAAATATGATCTCAAAATTGCCACAACTACACGAAATCACTCGCTTGGAAATCTCCTACAACCCAAAATTACAAAGAGACATTAATACCTATTCATAATAAATTTCCAGCAATATATACACTATTTAAATCACTTTTAAACCCTCTAAAACATGATAAAAATTAATTTAAACCACACCTGCTTTTATTCCCAATTAATGGGTAATTAAAAATCCTTTCAAGAAACATAATTCTAACCTTTATATAAAAATTCTAGCTTTATAAAAACATACAAAATTGCTGTAATTATGTTTAAAAACACCAATTTTAATAATTTCAATCAACTACAATGAATTTCAATCAATATTCATAAATTTTGAAACCTGGGGTTTTCAATTTGGGGCTTTTTAATTCAAAAACTAAATTTGAAAATTAATTACATATTAATCATAATTAGAACATCATGAAAGCATCACACATCAAAAATTAATAATTAAACAAGGTTGGATTGATTTAAAACAAAAGAGAGAGAGAGAGAGAGAGAGAAAGAAAGAAAGTGTGTTTTTTTTTTCTTTTTTTAAAAACACAACCGCACGGACGGGAGGGGTTGCTGCCGCCCTCCACGCCGTCGGCTGCTGCTGGCGGCAATGGCCGGCGGGTGGGAAGTGGTAGCGGCCACCATGTGTGTGTACGTGTGAGGTAAAAAAAGGGGGGGGGGGAATTAAGGGTAGAGAAAATAAGAGGAGAGAGAGAGAGTTTACCTTTGGGTATTCTCCACCTTGGGCAAGGTCTAACTTGCTCATGTGATGGGTATTTATACCCTCTCTCAAAACCCTCTTAGTTTAAATTCCCCTTCTACCCTTAATGATTCCTTCTTCTATTCAAACTAGTCTTTGACTTTCTTTAAATTACATTGACCTTAAAACTTTCTTTTATAAAATAGTATGCCCCAAAGTTTCAAAATGATAAAATAAAATATTTCCAAAATAATTAAATAAATAAAAATGGACCTTTAATTAAAATAAACCTTTTTAAATTAATAAAATACTATAAATAATTCATTTCGAAAATTAAACTACGTATAAAAATACGGGGTATTACAACAATGCCATATGAAATAGATGTGTACGTCAGACAAAGTAGGGGAAGTGGCTTTTTAATTAGGAAATTAAACAATGTGAAACAAACAACTTTAGCCCAACTCCAAGGGAAGTGCCAAAGGAAAGTATTTCCCATGAAATTAGAATTTCCGTATGAAGTTATTTTCTCATGCGAACCAAATCACCTTAGGATTGATATATGCCCTGAGTTGATCTCAAATAAAACTGATCCTAAATCCAATACATTCAATCATGTGTAGTGGCGAATCTAGGATTTCCGAGCCTGTGAGTCACCTTGAATTATTGATCCAACGCCAACGATGCCTACTTCTCTGCCTAAGAGCCTCCCTAACATAAGGTGATTCCCACCCAACAACGTTCACCGATTCGCCTGATGACGGCCCCGTTCCCGGGCCTATCACGGGTGACAGGGGAGACTCAAGCCCTAAATTTAAGTCCAAATTCATCACATCTACCGTTCGATCAACCATCACTTCTCAAACAAACATCGTTGAGAAATGCAGCCTTTTCGGAGGACTCCCGTTAGTTTTGCACAACTAGAATTTGAGCTCTATGCATGATTATTATATGATGCAAAACACCGTGGTAGTATATGTCTCAACTGGAATTTCCATTCAGTTTTTGGTTTGGATTTAGGCCAAATCCAATCCGATCCAATCCAAATCACTCATCAAATCTAATCCGAATCAAAATTATGTTGTTTGGAAATGATTTGAAAATCTGAATTAAAATACGTTCGTTGCAAATTTTTAGGGCCTAATGCGATTATAATAAAAATAAAAATGCAATTATAAAATTCAAGTCTTGAAAGTGTAATTGTACACTTGTACATGATTAATACAAGTGTTGAACATACTTTTACATGATTAATATTACTTCCTTCGTTAAATATTAATTGCAACAAAAGGAATTTTATATATATATATATATATATATCACAAATATTACCCTTTTGCTATAATTAATATTTAACGGAGGAAGTAATATAATTAAATATAGTTTTTACGTGATTAATATAAATAATCTTTATTTGTAAAATCATGGTTCATATTTGGTTTTTTGGATTTAAACAAGATCAACCCGATTCGATATGAAAATCAAAATTTCCAACAAATTTCAATCCGATCCGACACGATTAAAAGTTCGGATCCAATCCGAATTTGTATTGTATTATATTGGATTTTAATCTTAATCCAAATAATGGACATGACCCTAGTTTCAACTCACCACGTTGAAGCCTCATGCACCACGATCACACCCAATTCCATTGGGTGTTGGGTGAACTATGTTTCTAACTCAATCTATGTTGAGAAAACATTACAAATATCTACATAAGAGGAACAGATTATGAAATAAGTGTTACATAATGATATTGAATAATTAAAAAATTACTTTAGAAATTTTGTATTTTGTACTCCATACATTTCATACCACATATTCCATATAAAAGTAATACTGATCCTAGAAAGAAAATTTTGATCCATTCGGATCGGACTACCAATTTATAAGCGGGTTTTTAGATAGTCTATTATCATAGTTTTAGGCCTCTTTTCTTTAGGGTTTATAATATTTTGGCCATTTAGGTCGAAAATAGCTTAATTTATTCGGAAATTAGACTATTTTCGACCCTTTAATCCTGTTTTTCTATAGCGTTTGCATTTTAGGTTTCAATAAATCTGTACGAGTAGTGTAGATATTCGTCCGTTTTCCTATGGTGGAGTCGTTAGTTTTTATTAGTTTAGTTGTTTATTTTTCATTAGGGTTTATTTGTGTGTTAGGGATTATCAAGTAAGTAATCGTCCTTTGTCCTATTATTAGTTCGTTGGTAAACATTTGTTTGCGATCGCAACATTTGTTCAAACGAATCACATAATAACCATCATTACGGCTACAACAAATCGTAAGACCGTCCCTCCGAAAAGGCTGCATTTCTCAACGATGTGAGCGGAGGATGTGCCCCAAAGCAAGATCTTTTCAACAATCAGAGCTTTGATGAAGGAAACCTTTATTTGACTCTATTTTATGTATTTGTTAATTTAGATTTCATTTGTATATGTCGAATGACTTTTTATTAATGAATTGATTTTGTTTTCAAAAAACAAAAACATAGTTTTAGCCTTTTAGGCCACAATGTGACCCAAACTGAAAGCCCATTCTAGGTTTTGTGGGTTTGAACGTGCATATTTTGTCCCAACCTGACTCGACCAAAACAGACTAAACTTGTTCCGAAGCTAAGCCTGGTTCGGACCATGCATACCGGTGACAAATTACCCATTTACCCATGCAAGAAAGAGAGTAATATTGGTGGACATGGAACCCACCGTATAGAAGACCTCTAATTGAGTAATTGTCACCTGGCCTGGTGTTGGAATATCAAATTGAGAAAGGAATATAAGGAATGTTCTTCACTTTCTCACTCTAAAACCCTCACTAAACCCTTCCTTCCTTCTAATTCCCGCCATTTCTCTATCTTCCACAACACTCTTTGCAGAATTGCAGTAACCAAACCACTGTCTTCTTCTTCCTCCTTCTCTCAATCGCCATTGATGCAACCATGGCGACGGTTAGTTCAAGAGACATACATGAGATCGTCTCCAAACTATCTTCGGATAAAGCAAAAATTCGAGAAGTATGTAAAACCTAATTATTCTCTGAATTTTCATTGTTGTTGTTTGATTATGCTTTCCATTTGAAGTTTTTTGGTTTCAATTTGATGATATTTGTATATTTTGATGATCCGATGAGTGTAGGAGGGAATGAAATTGTTGAATACATGGTTAGGAGGCGAAAGGTCCATTAATTTCTGTCGAATTCTCAGTCGTAAGACTGCGATGCTTAGACCAGATGAAATTCCTGGCCGTAAGTCTCCTGTTTCCTCTTTCGAGTTCGTGTCGTGTTGTGTTTTTGAATGTTTAAGGTTTTTTAAAGCAGTTTTCGAATTTCAATGGTGTATATGCAGCTGAAACTTGGCCGTTTCTTGTTACTTTGCTGATTGATTGTATAAACAAGGAGATATTGGCGAGTAAGAGGCGATTGCCGAAGTTGATGTTTGCTAAAACTCTTCGGATTGTTGTGCAACGGGCACAGGATAGTAAGAGTTATGGTAAGATTATGGATGGAAGTATAATATTTCTGTCATGTTTGAAGTGTATCATTAAAATATGATGAATTTACGATCATGTTTATCTACTCTTTGTGAATTTAGGAATTGTAGACTATTGGTTAGTGGAATTGTATTAATTCATCCTGATACACATTGTTAGGAAGTTGACGATTGACATGGTATGCAGAAAGAGGCAATTAATCTGCAATTTTGGATACTCATTGTGTTTATTTGTGGAATTGTGTAGAACTCGTAAAATATATGCACCATCAAATGAAGTGCTGTTCACTTTGTTTTAGTCTTTTATGTATGATCAAATATATAGTGGCACTGTCATACTGATTCCAAAATGTGCTACTTCTTGTTTTTCTGACACCAGTAAATTATGTTGTTATTACGCGTCCAATGTGGAAAATAGCTTTAAGATTTTGATGAACCCTTTGCTAAATTGTCCTTATAATATTATATGACTGTGGTACTTGTTGCAAGCGGAGACTTGTCATATTCCTTGGATGTGAGGCTTGACCTATGTGCCTCTACTTTCATTTTGTTAAGTAGTCTATGTATGTGGTGCTTTGCAGTGGAAGTAAAATTATGGACTTGTTCCTCTTCAAGATTTTATTTATGTGTTCTTTGGGAGGGACAATCATTGTGTATTCAGTGTGGAAGTAGCTGACACAGAATGCTGAAGGCTTCTAATGATGTGTGTTCACGGTGGATGGTGATTATGTATGCTATTGCATGATTAGTTCACCAATTTCCATTTTTTTTTTGGTCTTTTGTAACAGAATTTTCTTTGTTGTTATGGTATAAAAACTTGCAGTATATATGAGGAACACCAATAACTCTAGGATGCATTTCTAGCGTGTATGTATGTATATAAACATGCAGGTCTCTACTTTTAATAGTAGAATATAGAAAAACAGGGGATTATAGTCTAGTTTAATACTTTTTTTTTACCTACTCACAAACACACATACTTAAAATTTTTACTTGCTTCTACACTTGCTAGGAAACAATCTTCCACTTATTGCAGCTGTGAAGTCTCTCTATAATCACATTTGGGATGTTTTAAAAGATGTTCCAAGCTTTCACTCTGAATACTCTATTATCCTGCGGCATATTCTGGCAGTACATGATTATTGTTTTCACATGAGAAATCGTGTCTATTCTGGTGAGTTGTTTTGTATCTTATTTGACATCTGTGCCTCTCTTCAAAAGACGTGGCCTTGTTTCTCTAGGGTATCTGATTTTTGTTATCTACTATCTACTGGAAGGGCTTGTGCGTCTGTACATGGAAAAAGTTGAACCAAGTGTAATGGAGGAGGATTATTGTCATTCCAATAATCCCAAAGAAGAAGTCTTCCGTTGTATCTTGACACTGCATTCTCTAATTGAAAATCCTCCCGGTGATTTTCCTGATCATCTAAGAGAAAAAGTAGTTGAGTTCTTTATTGAGATCTTTAAATCAATGAGGTACATCACTCAATCCTACAAAAATGCTTCATATTGTATTTGTTGCTTTATCTTATTTTGCTAGTGTCTCCCAGAATGTAGTTCTTTACCTTAACTGAAATTTGCAGGGAGGTTGGGAGGGTTTCACGCAAGCTAATTGAGTGTCTGAATTCGTATTTGTTAAAAGATGGTCCAAATCTAGGCCGTCAGTCCCTGGATGTTCATAAATCTGTGAAGCGGTTTGTATTTGATAATTGGCATATTGCTGATCGTGATCTCAAGGTCTCAAACTAATTAACTTATGCTCTCTGCAACATTTACTTGTGATTTCCTTATAACTGCCAATTCAACTAATAGACTTGTATCTATTTTGTAGGATGGTTTTATTTTGTACATGAAGTTACAGCTACATTTGATGAGAGTTAATGAAGATGAAGAAGATAAAGATAAAGATGGCATCCCTTTAGTAGAACAACTTTTAGAGCTACTCAGTAAGGAGCTAGATCAATACAGTATCCCCAGCGTTTCTGCATCACGGTGAGATTTCAGTAATTCCTGGCCCTATTCCTCTTCCTGATTCTAGTTGCTTTTGTATTTTGAGGTATATGGAAGTGCTTGTTAGAGATCAAGAGGTTGATGGTCTTGTTTGTTAGAGGCGATTAGATTTCTTAGTGGAGCTTGATATCTGGATTTGCCATGGACATGTAAAGCCTCCTGAAAAATTCTGGCTAGATACAGTCGAGAATCTCTAGATGTTATCTAACAAAATGTTACTTTTTGTAAACAAAAGTAACATTTTGACATCACTTGTTGCTTTTCCGCATTTCCTAGTCGTGGAAAGAACAATTTTTTTTACTCACCTTGGAAGGGATACCCACTCATGTATTATGTCTAGGATTGATATTAGAATTGAGAAAATATTGTTTGCTTTTCTTTTGAAACAGGAGTAAAAATTTGATCATCTGTCAACCTAACCACAGAGACAATGCTGATTTAGCAATGCAATAAAATAATGGTTTATTGTCAATCTCAGGTCTGACACATCAAAAGATGAAAAGTTCGGAATGTTAGCTAGCTCTCATCGCAGTCTACTGGAGCTAGCAGCACTTGTTTTCTACCGGGTAGTTATCCTGAAGCTCTCTCTTATGTCACACTACGCTGTATTGATATAGCTGCCACTATTTTGTTTAAATGATTCTATCATGGCGACAAATTGCTTCTAGATAAGGTAGAACTTTTGATGAATTTCACTGTATATATTGAGCATGCTCATGGACAATATTATTCCCCCCCTCCCCCCCCCTCTCTCTCTCTCGTGAAGTGAGAAAATTGACATTATGCTCTTCCTCATTCATAATTATGTAATTGTCGATTTGTCGTTCAAGTGCTGTCAGCCTCATTCCATTGTCCTTAGACTCATCGAGGAGTATCAGGGAGACGTGGGAGATGAACCTTTGAAATCATTTATAGTTTCTTTTTCCCATTACTGAAATTTGTATTTGGAGAATGTAAACCTTAGGGCTCAAGGTATCCTGTTTAAACAATCTAATATTTGAAATTAGTGCATCAACCACACAAGTCATCATCTTAGAAAAGGCCCAAGTATAAACCTGGTCAAGTAAGGTAAAGTACTCTGTCCTGCAAAAAATCACAGCTCGTCCATCCATTACAGAAAAACAATCCTTATTTTTCTCTAGTCACAAAATTAAAAGTGTAGCTGGGCATGCTGATCTCCAAAGATACTTGGATTAATTGCTCATTATTCCTTCATAACTATACATAGGCAACTAGCAAATGAGCCAATTTAGAAGGAAATGAAGCCCAACAAACCCCCATGTTTCAAAGGATTTAGGGAAACAATAAATATCTCTTATATCATGTCAATTTGATTGCTGCCTCACTGGACTAATAGAAATAATTTTATAGACATTTTCATCCCTGCTATTTTTTTCAAATTTTACTTTGAGACAGGCTTATAATCATGCCAGTACTATCTTGTTTGCTCTTCTTTGCAGGCATGTGTTGGTGTAATTAAAAGACCAGTGGCTGAAAAACGAGCAAGGAGGGAAAATGCTGCAGCCTACTTGCAAGAACAGTTGACAAGAGGAAAATGGCTGTGGTAAGCTTGAATGCTAAATTTATATATGCTTAATTGAGTTAATATTGTTATTATGTATATTAATGTGGCCTTTTGGGGATATATTTACATTTTTTTTTTTCGCGGGACTATGTTGTTAAACTATTTGACTTGTAAGTTGATAACTGAAGGCAATGACATGCAGGGGAAGTGGTTGTTGTTACCTCCTATAAATCTAGTCCCTCTATACTACAGTATATACTACGTATGTTGATTTATATATTTAAGTAAATAGTGTCAAAAGATTGATGTTACCCTATAGTACATTTATTACTTATTTGAATTTTCAGATGTTTGTTTCTTGATATGCTTCGACTGTTTGAGGTTTCTTGGTTAGTCGGCCAGTTGGGCTACCTTTTAAGGCCCAGTTCTGTTCAACTTTCTTCTTCTTCTTCTTCTTCTTCTTATTTTTATTTAATTTTTTTTTTTTTTTTTTTGGGTTAAAAAATTTATTTTGATTAAAAGTTGAATCAAACAAATCCTAGAGTGTCTTAAGTTAATTAAAATTCTCTCTCCACAAGATAATTAAATAGTCTACTTAAGCTTACATTTACTTAGTAAACTCGAGCACAAATAGTGGGACTATGATAGTTACGAACCTATAACTAATTGACCACTCAAGCTAATCAACTTAAAGATGACTGCCATCTTGTCAGTGTTCTACAGCTTAAGTTACAAAAACATAATTTAGTCATTTGTTTTTCTCTATATCGCGATTTGTTGGCATGGGTTTAGTTCAATCAATATCTCTTGCATAGGACCTTTAATTTCATGATTTTTGACTTAAGTGATTTTGTTGCAATATATTTTCTAAGTTTATCTTTGCTTCGTGTTTTGATTAGATTTAGTCACGTTTTGTGCTTGTTGTTAATAAGGAATTTTATGTTAGCCTAATAACACTACTATGATATGTCATTCTTGTTGATTAAATTTTTGTACTAGTATATATAAAAAATGAATATCTTCTTACAATGACTTATTTTAAGTAAAGTTTTGCCTAATACATTTAATAGTAAGACTTGTTGTATTGATCCAGAATAAATGGCTCAATATACTTATACCTTATAGAGTTAGTTTTATATGGGAGTTCAAGCTCATGGTCTAGCACATTTTAACTTGTGACCTGATAACTTGGACCCAAATAAATGAAACAGTTCCAAAGTTGAATCAGTCTTTAGTCTCAGTACCCAACATGACCGATTCAATTGCGTGATCCATTCGTGGTAATCATGGGTCAAGGTGGGTGAACTTTAATTAATGAATCTAATTAATTGCAGAGATTTGAAGAAATAGGAAGGTTTGTAAATTTTTTGAGGTAGGATTGATTTCTTATATATGCTTATGATGTTTGTTTTGATGAGTAATGTGTTCTTGTGATTCTTATATTCTGAGTGTACAATCTGGAATATATAAGATGCATATATCTAACGGGGATTTACAACAGGCATGCTGTCTTTTGTCATCTATGCCACAGCCACCAATCTCGCTTACCTAAGGAACTTTTAGCATATTGGTTTGATGGCATATGCTCCAGTTTGGAGAGGTATATTTTTTCTTGATTCTCTTTCTTGCTCTTAATATATCCCTCTTCCTTACCCTCTCCTGCTCTCCCATTTGAGAACTTAGAATCTGGATCACTAGACAGGATAATTCAACGGTTTTTAATTGTGAACCCCCCTGCCCCTCCTAGAAATGGTCAAATCTTTGTTAAGAAAAAACGGAAGATTGACTGCATAAGAATGCCACCATCAACCCTATTTTTCTTCTTGCTGACTCTCTCTGATGTGGTACTTTGCGGTTAGTGTCAGCCACTGGCATAGTTGTTGGCTGACTAGGCCCTTGCTGGTTTCACTGCGTGGATTTGTTAAGATTCCTCTCTTCACCTGCATAGCCACTTTCAAAACAACAACAAAGCCATTGTCCCAAAGTGACATGGGGTCGGCTACCATGAGTATTCATAAGGAACCGTCCACAAAAAATGTAATAAAGACAGAAAAAAGATACAATGAAAGAGGAAGAAAAACAAGAAATAACACAGCGAGCAAAAAATGGAGGCGGTGTTAAGTGAATATTTAAAATAAAATTTGAGAAAGTTTTATAGAAGGGGTTAGGGGAGATAAAAAAGAGAGGAAAAACATGCGCGTAAAAACACCAAACAGTTTTAGAAAACCTTAAAAAAGGAATTAAGTAAAATTTGCAAATTAGTTTAGGTACAAAAAGTAAGTATTTGTATTGAAAGTCTGACATGTCCTCTATTTCTCCCTCTACTTTTCCCTATCCAATGCCGTATTTGATGTAGTGCAATAAGCTGGCTGCCTGATCTTGAGCACTTGTTTTGTCGGGGACTTCAGCAAGCTCAATGTCTTTTAATCTCTTGATTTTTTTTTTCCTCTGTAAGGGTTGGCTTTGTACTGTTAGACTTAACCTGATTCTTGTTTGTTCCAACTTCTGAAATGCCTGGGCGTATCTTTTCTCTTTTTGAATAACCATCTTCTCATTTATCTTCTATATTTTTCTTCAAATCATTGTATCAGAATATTGGCTAAGGGGTGTATCTTAGTAGAAGCTATTTTCCTTTTGTTATTATACATCGTGTATAAAATCAGTGTAATCAATGTATAAAAAGGCTGTGCGCTAGAGTGAATAAGTGATTAAGGTACGCACCTCGTGTGCGCCTCGTTGAATGCGCCTCTCCTAGGAAACACCTAGGCGCGGTTTTATAAGCTGTTCATAATAATAATAATACATTATTGCTTTTTCAATGTCTTTTTTGGGCTAGTTGGTTAGAGTTAAAACTGCAGTTACTTGGCCCACTCAGATCCAACCAATGGAATAGATGTATTCATGTTTGATTTGTTGCCATTTTATTGTAATTTAAAGGTAAGGTAACAAATATTTGGCCTCCCTATCTCAGGGATAAACTTGAGTAGTTGCAGTTGTCAATGGCCTTTTGATTTTTAAGCCTTCCGTGTTGACTGATTCTTTGTTTATCTGGTCATTGTGACATGTGCTATGTTGTAGAATCCTGTCTGATGCTAATGTGGAGCATTCTTATGACGGTCTGCTGTGGACACTACGGTATGCTGAACATAAAAATATCATTTAGCTCTGTGATCTTGTCAAGTTTAAACCCGGAATCTTTCTATCAACTTTTACTTTGCTTAAATTTAAGAAGTCTTTTTACAATTTTCGCACATATCTTCTTTATTTGTTTGATTACAATTTCTTTATTTTTAATCCCATGCATGAAGGAGCTTACATCACCTCTCAATTGTGCTTCTGCCCCTAGTGTCTGTGGAGAAGGACCCGCTGGAGTCGTCTTCAATCTCAAACAAGGTATACTACTATTAATATGATAACAATCCCCATTCTGGGTATAATCAACTGGTTCAGTTTCATATAAGTTATTTTTTCCTCTGTTCGAAAGAGAGCCTTTGTCACATGAATAAGGCTTACCTCTTTGCGTCCAAATTTTCAACAAATAATTATACGTAATATTGTGGTGTAAGAAGTGAAAGTGAATTCTCTATACTTATACAATCAGAAGTGAAAGTGAATCCTCGATATGTATATATTCTTTTCTAACAGATATTTAATGAAGATAGGGCTTGACAAAGGGCTGTATTGTGTATGAGCTACATTACATGCCTACATGGTCCTTTGTCATGACGCATTGAGAACCCCAAGTGAAATAAATAAAACAGAAATATTAAAGGAAATTTTTCTTGATAAACCCTAAGCTCTTCGATCTTGATCAAAAAAAGAAAAAAAGAAAAAAAAAGATGCTAATGGATCTAATACTTGCTATGAAAGTGATGATTGTTCTATGAGTGGTTCAAATGTTCAATGATGATGGCCTACTTCTAGATTAGCTTATAAGTGGTTCATTTGCCACATAATCTATTGCTCAACAAGAATGCATTGGGGTCCCAAAAAGAGCCTCAAGATGGTACTGGTTTAGCTTCTATGGATCGGCTGTGTTGCATGTCAATTGGAAACGAGGAGGGTTAATAAGTGTTGCTGGAGCATAGAGCTGTGACTTCTAGGAGTTTTTCTTAGTAGATATGCAAACTCGTAGATAGGTGTCTTATGTGAGTAATTCTTTTCTTTTGGTTGTATTTCCTCTTATTCTTTGCTATAAATACAGACTATTTTCCAAAAGGAGATCGGTGCAAGTTTACATTGTATGCTGGCTTACCTATGAGGCTATGAATCAAAATTAGCTGAGTGGCGATTTCTGTTATCTGTTTTTACCGTGATATTATAATTTGAGTTCTGAATTCATATAAGACACTGTGATTTTGGAAAAATTCATACAAAACCCATTGTTTAGTCCATATGAATATTTCACTTCAATTATCTAGTCTATATTCATTGTTGGAAAATGGTGATATTGGTTGCGTTCAATTTGGCAGATTTTCCGAGGTTGGCAAACAGTTTGGAGCTGCCTTGTTCATGGTTTCCCAAAGCTCAGCAGCATCACTTCTGTTGTAAGTACTATTTTGTAATGTAACAGACTACTTTAACAGTTACCTCTAATTCTAAGGTTATTTTCATTAGAAAATAAATTTGTGGAGATAGAAAACACATGATTCTGGTGTGTAGTTACTTAGGCTAGAATAGTTTTTTTTTTCGTTTTTCTGACGAGTAGAATAGTTACTAAATGCATGCTGATGAAGCAAATTTCTAAATAACGCGTTCTTTACTTTTAGTAGTTTTAAATGTGCACTACAAAAGATAAAGCTTAGTTGTCAAAAGTCCTATTGAAGTTACGAACCAATAAGTTGTTTTTTCCCCTTCTACAGTAGTCTACAGGGAAGTACCTATTTTCTCTTACATGTTATAGATTAGAACTCTTGGTTTCTTTTTAGCATTGCTGTTTATAACGTTTAAATAAATACCCCTTTCACTAACCCCTTCTGGACTGACTTTGATGGTGTGCAGGCAGACGCTGCGTTCAGACTGCTTGGATATTTGGTCTCACATGTGTGTCTGCATTCATATTACCTTATACTTTTGAGAGTCAGCATTCTGCTATTGGTTGTTAATGGAAATCTGATAATCTCAGCTATTAAACTATTTAAGTAAGCAGCTAATTATCAATTTTCCAGGATATGCTGAATATGACAGAAGTACCGCAGGATGTTTGGGACCTCCAATGCTTCAGATGTATCTCATCTCCGTAAGCTTTTTTACTTTTTAATAAGATTTTGCACTGCTACCCTCAACCCTCTTATCTACATGACTCCTATAGAAAAAGCTAAAATAAAGGGTGTCGAACCTGGACGAGGGGGAGCTCTACCCTTGATAATCCATTGGCTCTTTATTTCCTAGTGCACCACCAGATTGTGAGGGGAACATCTTCCATACTTAAGCTAGCCTAATGTTGTCATTGGGGCTCTACCCTCAATAATTAGCCTTTCTTAGGGTCATAACTCATGGGGCTTCCCCTGGCTTGTCTCTTTCGGGCATAATTCAGTTTTGGTGTACTTTTTTCCTTTTTGTCTCCTTCTAATCTGTCTTTTGTTTTCAGTATGTAACTATGTATTTATATTAAAAAGTAAAACTTTTGAGAGATAAAGTTGAGAGTGTTTTATAAGGAATCAAGTGAATACATTGTGAAGTCAGTGTATAAAACCTAGTCCTGAGTAGTTTAGTGGCAAGTTATTAGTGGCTTAAGAAATTAGCAATTAAGCATATATTAAAGACGTAGCTTATCTTCGTGTTGCACTCTGCCCCCTACCACCCTTTGCTTTCTATGCAACCTTATTTGCAGATTTTATTTAATATATAAATTTTTCTACAGGTCTGCTCTGTACTTCATTTCTTGTTATTTCTCCAGAAAAGGTTCTCAAGTAAGCTTGTTGTCCAATAGTCTCCATGTTTTCATTGTTTTATTTATTTATTTATTTTTTTTCCTGATTCACGTGTTCTTTTATGGGCATTATTGCCTTGCATCTGTCAGCAACTGGTGTATTCTGCTCTTTTGCTATTCCCTTCTCTGTTTGTCAACATACTTTATTTTTGTCATGCCTTCACTGGGTTTGGTATTCTATTGCAAGCTCTAAAATCTTTTGTATTGGCGATGGTTACAACATTAACAACATTTGTCAGTTTTCACTTTCTAATTTCAATTTTGCTAGAAGATCTACCCTGGATAGTTCTGTGTAAAATGAGGTGATGTGCTCTTATTTGGGGTGTTAACACATATATTGTATGCATACCTCAGCTGTTATTACCTAATTGAGATAGAGAACTTGCAATGGTTACCAGAAGTAATATGTACTTAAAAATAAGCTTCATTGGAAGAATAAATTACTTTTGTGGTAACAAGGTGACTTGTGAACATTTTGTAACGCGTCATCTTTTTTTGCAGGGTGATCTACGTGACAACTTATATCTCAGACAAAATATTTTGAGAGGAGTTATGAGTATTATCAACACAAGGGTTAGTGACATCCTAGTAGCTAAACTTCAATGAGTTTGAATCATTATAAGCAATCTGATTAGTATCTTTATACTCCATATTACAGTGTTGTGCTAAACACTTTGTCACGTAAACTTATTGGAATATGCTATAATGGATTTTTAATTTATCTTGAGATGCAGGAGACTCTCATTTTGGATGAGCATGTGGTTATATTATTGCCAGCAGCACTGTATGCAATATGTGTGGGAGTTTCTATAATCAAGGATCATTGTGGAGGGTTTTCATCTTATTGTGATGATGAAGCTGCTGGAAAGGAAGTTGACTGGCTTAGAGTAATCTATGTAAGTGAATATTTACAAAAAAAAAAGTTGACAGAATTTTTCTGATACTGATTTCTAAAATTCTTCCTCCCAAAATATTATCATTCAATAAATGTGATTGCAACCTTTTTTTTTTTTTTTTTTTTTTTTTTTTTTGAAAATTTAATAAGTGAAATGCACTCTTGGCTGGGTATGCTAAATAGTTGAAGGCTTTATGGTGCTATAAAATAATATATGGGAGTTTCTTTCCTGTAGGCTTTCATGTCACCATTGTCACATCTGTCTGGAATGAACATATTGAAAAAATTTCATTGTTTAGGGCAATTAATATCTCTAAAGTTGCTATGTTGGATTCCATTTGTATTTAAGATCAAGTAGTTAATTTGAATTGTTGATTGATCCTTGAATGATGATCATTTGTGTAGGGAGATCAACAAAAGCATGAGGAATCTGATGAATATTTTGATTGTTTTGTCCATACCCTTGCAGAAATCAATTTTGATCAACAGGACAAGGTATCTGAATATTACTTTGGCTACTGTTTGAGTTCTCTATTTGTTCGTAAATAATCTATGCGGTTTGCCTGTTTGGTATGCATTGATCAGTTGATCACTAGGACCTTGTCAGTTTTTGTAGTAAATATTCAATATAATTCAACTATCATTTGGATTCACAAAACACAACAGTGGAACACGAACACCATACAACTTAGGTCCTATTTCTAAGCTAAAACACTTACTTAGATATTAAGAAACTTCGTAGTGGCATGGGCTGTGAGATGGATCAGAAAAATATAATTCTTGTAGGGTTCGGCCTAACAGCAGTAATTCACTGCAGTAAACGGCTGGTTCAGCTACCTAAGTGATAATGGTTGGACTATTTCCATAAATTTCTATTAATTTCCAAGCTGATGCTAGTTATAACAAAAGGTCCCATTATAGCTTGATAAGCTAAAAGATCATTTTTGAAATCAAGCAACTCCCATGAAAGTTTTTATGCCCACCCTTATAACACCTACTTTTAATACACCTATATATTATATTAAAGAAGTATTTGGACTTAGACTACAATGTTCGGGTACAACTTGTACTCAAACACTGTCTGGCTAGGCTAATTTCACAAAATTTTGATGTCTGAACTTTAAAGTGCTGCTGCAGCAAGTTTTACTGAATGTAACCCATTGAACTCCTCTGTTAAATTGGACAAAATTGAATTCTTAGAATATTGTGTAGTAGGTGGTGTTGGGGATCTAGAATTACCTACTAATGGGAGCGGGCTGATAAAAGGACGTGATTGTATCATTACTAAATGAACTAGCCTGTTTTAGTTGACACAAGTGCACTAGAAGTAATTTTTATTAGTGATTCTCTGTTTTTAGGTGCTATTATCTTGTAACTCTCGAGGTGTACGCCTCCCACGTCAGCTAAGAGATCCATTGACGAACGAGATGGAGAACTGCATTCTTTATGATTTGCTGGATAAAAAGACAGAAAAGAATCTGTCTGACATCTTTCTTCGTTGTTCGCTATTGTCTAATATCCTTTATGGCTCTGTTTTAACAAGGTCAGTCTCTTTCCTACTTAACTGTGTGTACCGCTTTTTGCTCGCTTATGCTATTTCTAGAAATAGATTTCCATGTATTGTTAAAAATCAGCTGTTTATCTCCTTTTTGATGTTATTGTAATGTGGCATAGTCCAAGTGTTTCAAATTCTTCTTTCTTTACTTTTTCATGTTCATTTTTTTAACATAAGATAATGTTGAGTTTCAATTCTTATATTATGGGCCTAGGACATCCGAATCCCTTGCATATTCTTTTTAGTATGCCTACATGTTCTTTATAAACCTCTTTTTTTGTTTTTTTTTTTAAAATTTTTTTAGCATACCTTCATAATATACAATTATATGTCCACACACTTTGTTTTGTATTCCTTTTTTCTTCATAGTTTGCAACATTTGACTTTTGCTTTATTATAACTTAACTACATATTTTTACTTAAGTGTGAGGTACATATAATCTATGTTATTTTGTGAAATGTTGTTGGATTAAACTCAATGTTTATATATAAGACATCTAATTTTGTACATAGTAATTATTTTGATAAACAATCAAGATATTTATGGTTCAAGTTTTGTGTGTGGATTAAAGAATCAAGGACGTAATTTTTTTTTTTGAATATTAATATGCACATTCTGACCCCTTATGCCTACACGTTCTTTTTACCATACATTCAGAATATGAATTCAGATTCTTTGAATAAGACATTCTTATTGTAAAGCGCATTCTGTTCCCTTGCATAATTTCTCATTGTACCTATGGTAATACCTCTATGCTCATAATCTTTGAACTATATGTTCATGCGTGACCGGGATATACATTTCAATTGAATTTTGTTATTCCGTGTTCTTAGATATCTTTGACAACCAAACTTTTTAAGTAATTTTTCCCCATGTAAAAAGGAAAAAAAAAATAATAAAAAAAAAAGGTAAGAACAAACAAGTTTCCATATTTTGCTAGGAGTTAGCTATTTAGGTGCTATGTAATTGTAACACAGCATAGCCCAAAGGTTTCAAATTCACTTAGATCTTCCTATTTATTTTGAAGTTGTTCCTTTTCTACCAAATCTATTGTTGAATATTGTCATTCTTTGTTTCTGACTACATTTTCTTTGAACGTATGTGGAATTACTTCATCTGTGGGTAAATTTGATGGTATATACTAATGCAGACAAAAAGATGAGATATCCCCTTTCCGTGCAAAACTTGGCAACTGCCTGTCAGGTCTGATTGAATCAGCTGTTGAAATAGTTCAAGGATCAGTAAAGGATGTCAAAACTCATAGTTTCTGGAGTTCAAATCCCAGTCTTGATGGAACTTCTTCTGTTGTCTGCTTCAAGAGCTTTCTCAGCTGCCCAATTTTCAGCGATGTTGGAAAAGAAATTGCAGTTGATCCTGTATTCCGTAGTTCATTTGTTCTTTGTATCGAAAGGCTTTTAAAGGCCTTTTCTAATTTGTACCTAGAATTTTCTATTGGTGACCAAAACCTACAAAGTGAGACTATCTCCCCGGAGGTTTCCAGTTTTAGCTCCTCTGGTGATAAACCCTTCTCGTTGGAGGGAAGCAAAAGCAGGCTAATAGACATGGAGTTGGATGTGGCTGATGAGTCTAGTGATGTTATTGATGGGACAACTGGGGCTGGAAATTTTCTTACTGGATCAAAGTTGAAAGTGGACACATTATCGTTAATGGCTAGTTGTTTCTCAGTTTTGCCTATGGCTACATGGGACATTTTGTTTGAAATTCTAAGCTCCGAAAGAGATTCCAAGGTATTTTGTTTTTGCACAGTATTCATTTCAAATACTGAGGAAACTCCCCCTCAACCCTTAACAATCTATGCTAAATTAATATTCCTGTTATTCTGTATGTTTTGGCAGGTATGTGAAAGGATTTTGTACAGCCTTTGCCAGAGTCCTCACTGGTCTTCTTTGGCGAAGCTAACTAACTTGGTAATCTGTTCTCCTCATTATCTTTATTGTAACAATACATTGTAAATTAGAGAATATATGTGCCTTCATATCTTAGTCTGCAAAATAAAGAATCCCACTTTGAAATGGTATATATCTTCCTGGAAAATCTTTGTGAACTAGATAACATTGTAATTACTTTTTATGAAAGCGGAAAGTGCAACCTTTATCTTGAGAGAGAAGAATCGCTTATTGTTTCTTACAAACTTTTTGGGTCAGGTTGCCTTGGTGGATGAAATTCTTGAGCTGAAACTGAGCCTGAGGCTTCCTTGCGTTGATGTCCTAACTACAATATGTTGCTTATTAGCAACCTTGCTATACTGGCGTTGCAATGGGAAAGATGAAGATGGATTTCAGTCTATGAAGGAAAGATTTGATGAGAAGGTACTTATAAATATTGATCCTTTGCCTGTAAACAAATCTTGGATACCCCCATTGGGAGGAAGAAATCTTACTGGCTTGATGATATGTTTGTCTTTGTCCCAATCCCTTTGTTTTGTTAAATTTTCTTGAGGATGCCGGAAAATATCCCTTTCTGTCGTTTTAGTAATTTTTTTCCTTAAAATGTTCTTTTGTTTTGGGATTAAATGGGACCATTTTCTCTAATTTCTATATTAGAAGATGAACAGAGCTCCATGTGACTACATCAGGATGGTGTAATTTCATATTCTTGTTCAAATTCAGTACTGCCCTTCTGCGGTAGTGGGGGCTCTAGCTGAGCTGCTCTGTATTGCTTTGTTATTTATTAGCTCCTGAATGGTTTGCAGCTCTTTTTTTCTCTCAAAATTGCTTGGTATGCTGTTCATTGATAGTTCCCATTTTTTCCGAATTTGATTCATCTTCTGAAGTCTTGGGCTTAAATTTATTTTAGCAGGTGGTTTTTTTTAAGTTGTACTCAGGAGATTACATGGAAAAAATGCCATTTTTATTAGTGTGGGAACACCTCACTTCTTTTTCTCCTCTAACATCACCTCTTTACGACCCGTCAGACTTCGCTTCTACATGATCTTTCACTTCTCTTCTTTCTCGCTCCTTGCCTCCACATGATTTATTACTTCTCGTTCTCCTCCAAATTGCCTCCACATGACTTATCCCTACTCATACTTTTATGACTTTCCGATTTCCGCATTGGAGGATATTTGGGGGGGGGGGAGGGAACTGAATGAGTGATTGTTTATAATGGTTCAACCCTTTAGCCAAAATAACAAAGAATGCTCCTTTTGAACTCAAGGGTTTTGGTCTATGTGCCCAAATGCTCAACTGCCCATTAGGTGTTTATTACTCAAAGTGGGTTGCTGAAGTGGTTGGATGTTACAATTGGTATCATTGTTTGACTTAGCCACGTTGCTTTGGTAGAGTTCCAGGGGTTTGCAACTTGGTTGTGCTACTTTTCTTGAGTTTTAGTTTGTAACACCTTTATGCTTGATACAGAAAATTAAAGAGAACTAATGATTTATTAGAGATCTAACCCTTCTACCAAAACTAAACCTCTTTTTTTGAGCTTGAGGATCTCATCTATTGGGTCATTTTGGAGAATACTCATCGTAGTGGGTTGTGTTGGGGAGGTATTTGGTTAAACAGTTACACTTAGATAGGGAGTGGATCAGCACTCAGTACATGTGATCATTGGTTTAAATATGAGGAAAGTGAAATGGCGGAGAAGAGGAGGAGAGTGTATATAGAGTTGGGGTGGAGTGGGGCTTTGTTAAGCTAGACCAAATAATTTTTTTCAGTCATTGTGTTTTAGGGATGATCCATTATAATTCATGGATTTACTCTATTATGTAATATGTGATGCAAATTGACAAACCAAACAGAGCTTGTTAAAGTGAATTTAAAAGTACTTCCTTTGTACTTTTATCATTTCAACATTGGGTTTGTCATGCTTGCTAATGCACACTTTGTACCATGAGCATTTTTATTGTACTTCAGTAAATATTATAAAAACTAATAACTTATACGTATATATCGAGATGAATTTAATAAGACTCTACGTGACTATGCTTTTCCGAACTTATTTAGTCACAAAAGATGGTCAAAGGAGTTTGTCTGAGTAGTGTAAAATTTCCAACATTTCAATTTAAAAACAACGGAGGAAGCTTGATTGCTGAACAAAAGGTTTCCAAACCATGATATTCATATAAAGGAAGACATCCTACATATTAGACTACAACATTGCTTATGGTACATCTAATATTTGTTGAGTATTGTCTTATAGAAGTGCTATGGAAGCAATGTAAAATTAGCTGACATGTTCTCTTCCCCTTATTTTTGTTGATTGAAATTATTTTTACTGAATTGAAATTATTTAAGCTCAACTTAAAGTTTTGTTACTGAATTGAATTTATATTTACAAATTAAAACCTAATTTACTGATTTAAACTTATTTTTAAACTTATTTTTACTGAATGCTATTTTTTTGTAAGATGAAGATTACAGGGCCTAAGAAGCAAATTGAATTATTTTACATATGCTGGCATCTCTTTATTTTATTTATTTTTTCAGTAATAATATTAATTCATTAATAAAAAGGCATACAACATCTACAAAATTTTTATATGCTCGGTCTTCCTTTTTTGAATGATTCTGTTAGGACAGGAGATTCATTAACATGAATTATTCATTCATTGTGATTACAGAGCTTGTTGCCACTTGGAGATTTGTTGATCAAAGTTGCCGAGTCTAATTTGCTTGATTGGTTTGGACGTCGAAAGCTGGTTGATTGCATTTGTGATTTTATTCGTCTAAATCCTTTGATTGGTCAGGTAATTAACATTTTCATCACATATGTTAAAATAGCTGAACTAAGGAAGATTGGGAATGTATGTTGTTAAGAAGGGGGTGCCATTTATTTGCTTTCTAGCTCTCCCCTATTTGTTTTTTACTAGTATGATGACCTTTGTTATGCATGGGGTAAAATTTTATGATAAAAGATGATACGTTGAATTATAATATATCAACCTTTCAATTTTCATGATCTCTAAGGCACCATATCGACCATAAATAGTTTTACTTGTGTATTAGTAAGAGTTGTAAAAAATCATATTTTGAAAACATGTTTTTTTCTTATACATTAGTGAACATATGCGGTTAATATATCTAAGTTCCCCCTAAAATTCAAAGTGCTGCAATTTTTATGTATCGGATGAAGTATGTTTGTTCTTGGAAAAACCTAAATTTTAAACATCTAAATTAATGTTTGGGAAAGATATTATGAAATCTAATCTCAAAATACTTTTGATTTCTAATAATAAATAACTTTATTGTTTTAGTTTCCTTGACTGTATTATTCTGTGTATTTTAGCTTCCTATAATATGGTATGACTTATATGAACGCATTTTCCTTCAAAAAAGACAGACACTTGGCTTTTAAAGGGTAAGAAAATTGTTGATACCAGGGAACATTTTGTGCTTAGGTCCTTTTAGGCAGTTGTCTGACTTTAAATTGCCATTAGCCTAAAACTTGTCTCTTTTTTTTAACAGACTATGATCCAAAGGTTGTTTATATTGCTGAAGGATCCTGATTATCGAGTGAGATTTATATTGGCTAGAAGAATTGGTATTCTTTTCCTCACATGGGATGGTCATGATGTGCTTTTTCAGGATATCTGGTAGATTTGATTTCTTTCTCTGGTTGACTAATGCTTAGATTTTTTTTTTTTTTAGTTGTGAGATTTCATGATTATGTGGAATTGATGTAGTGGTGTAGTCCAAAATTTCGCAGTGGTCTTTCTCACAATGGTAATTTAGTAAGTTTATGTTAGTAAATCAACTATATAGATACATCGATGGTGATAGAATGTATAATAAAATCTTTAGCTATTGCTAGTGTCTTACCCAAACTGTTAGAATCACTTTGTCTTGTAAGTTGTTAGGAATCTCCTGTTATACGTATAAAAGTGTTCACAATTTATAAAGTATTGTATACGTATGGTTTGATTTTGTCAAATCAATCTTTTGACGAAAAATCAAGGCCAATACAGAAAATTAAATAAGTAAGCGTAATACAAGTAATTTTTTTTAACTTCTTTAAGAATTTTAGCAACCAGACATCATTTTAGAAGCTGGAGCATGTCAAACAGAAATTATGGATTAATTAACCTAGGAAGTATATTTGTTTCAATAAAGTCTATCTGGTTTTTATCATTCACTTACCTTTCAGAATATCCACTCTCTGGAAACTGAAAAATGTAGGGAATATCCGAATATAAACTCTATCACATTGTTTGGTTGGACTAGTTGTAACTTTTATTTTTTTTCTTGCTAGTTCCTTTGTCAAATGCTTCTATCACATTCTTATTTGTTGGCTTTTTTGACGGGTTTAATAAGACATTTTTTCTTGGTTTTCCTTGTAGCTCCAACTTTGGTCCGAAATTGATTATGTGTTCAAAAGAGAAAGTTGTTACTGAAAAGGAGGTTTGGCCTGATGATTATGCTTCTCATCCTATTATGGAAACCATTGTCATTACTCTCATGCATGCTGCCTTTCATAGTGAGAAAGTAGAATCAGAGGTATTTATAATGCAACATTTATATATACAATTTATTTTGGAATTTTTTTTTTATTTTGCCTTCAATAACCATGATAAATGCAGGCAATTTTCATGATATGTGTGATTTCTGCAATTGGTTGTTGTCAAAGGTAGTTATTGCTACCTTCTTTAAATTTACATAAAGTACATGTGGGCAATTTTATGACTACAATTTTAATTCAGGCAATTGGTCAAAACAGTGTTAGATAATCTTGCAAGAAAGCTACATTATGCATGTCGGTCAAAGGTTTGTCTTTGCCATAGTAATAATTTCTGCTAGTGATTTTTTCTGTTTTTTTTATTTTATTTTATTTTATATATTTATTTCTTTTTTTGCATGGTATCAGTGCACATTCTTGTTTTTACTGTTTGATTTCCCCTTATAAATAGTTTGTTAGTTACTTGCTTTGACAAATTATAATAATTAGGCTTGCATTAAGCTGGTTCTTCATCTTTTTAAATTTGTATTTCATAGATTAATTTCTGCTTTCCTGCAGTACCTGGAAGAACTTATGGGTCCTATCTTATTTAGCTGGGTTGCCTGTGGCATGAGCTTATTTGCATTTGTACAGGTAAACATTAAACTCTTATCTTCTTTTCCTTATTCAGTGTATCAGTACTTTTATGTGAGATGTAAGTATTTTACTGAGTATAGGTCATCTTTCATCTAACAAAGAAAATAAGGATAAAGTGTGATTAAAAAGGAAAAAAAAATGGTAACCACAAAGGCCTTTTCTATTATATGTTTCTTGAGTTTTGCCATAATTTTAATTAGAAGATAAGTGTTATGCCTTTTCTGCAACAATCTACATCACAGCTGGAAGGTTCTCTTTTATAGTTTTAGTATTGTAGCTCTGCTTTCTAACCTTAAAATCTATTTTTGCAGATAATGGATCTTTTTGGTTTAGATGTTGAGCAAAATCATTTTCTACTTTTTTGTTGTCCGTGGCTTCTACCTGCCCTTGTCTTGCATGGTGATAGCGCCAACCTACAATGTTTAGCTGAGGTAACTAACCTATCCCTAACCCTTTTTTCCTTGCGGTACACATTTCTTTTCTGTTTGTCTGGGGCACCTCCTTTGCTTCCAAAAGCTTTAGGAAAATCATGATGAAACTATCCTTTGAGCTTCTGACGCTTTCCATCCCTTCCCTTGTTTTTTAGGGTTGGCTTTGTTTAATTAGAATTTAATATTATTTTTGTGATATTTATTTGCTTCTTTGTCTAACGTCGCTTTCTTCGTGTAAGCAGCTTACCAGGCAATCTGTACCTGTATTGGTTAGGAGTCACTTTGTCCCAGTCTTTTCTATCTGTATGGTGTTGTATTGTAGCAAAATGGCTGGCTGGGAAAAGGGGTCAGCTGCACTTCAGAGCAAAATTCTGCACTTTGCTGAGATTTCTGAGGATGAGAGAGACATGCTAATAAAGAAACACATGGTTTGAATTTTGCTTTTGCAAGTTCTCTTATCTTGGATTTTTATCGATTTGAATTGTTCTTGTAGTTCTCATCAGTGCATTAGAAATTACTCTTATGCCCCGTTTAGTAACTAATTATAAACAATGGTAATGGGAATAAATTAAATGTAAATTTAAAAAGAAACTTTATGTTCATTCCCATGATCACTCAAGATTACCCCTAAATTGTCTATTTTTCTTCTAAATTTCCATTTCCACCTAATACCACCTCTCAAGTGGTAATGGATAGTAATGGAAATATATGAAGAAAACACATGCTTTGGATGAGATTGAGCTCCCATGGAGATTATTAGTTGTTTTCCATACTAAATTACACTTAAATTTCATTCTCATTACCACAATTTATTACCAGCTATTAAACGTGCCGTTAGTCTTTATGGTCAAAACCAAATTATATATCTTTTTAGAAATGGAAATTTAAATTATCAAGATGCTTTGTATATATAGATGAACCTTCTTTGGCCTTCAGCTCCGTTGTGATGGTGTAAACCATGCTAAATATTAGGTAAACAATTATCCCAGGAAAACTCAAGAATTAGAAAAGCTCACCTAGCCTAAAACGATTGTATGTTTCAGAATTAGCTTTGATCAGTAGCTCTTATATTGCAAAATGCATTTATTTCACTTAAGTTGTAAACCTAATGCCCAGCCACATATTAGGAAAATTTGTGGAGACCTAACTACTAAAATGTTGTTGGAAAAATTTACTCCTTGCGTCCCAAATTAGTTTTTACAATTCTATTTTTGGAAGGAGCCCAATAGTATATTAATTCCTCTTTTTTCCAAAAAGTTAGGGCCAAACACTCGCACATTCAGTATAAAAATACCTACTATCCTCTATCGCATCTACTTTTTCATGAAAATAATAGACCACTATCTTCTTTCACATCTACTTTTTCATGAAAATAATAGACCACTATCTTCTTTCACATCTACTTTCCCAGTTAAATAACAATTGATGATTAAACAACCACTGATTATCTAAAACCATGTGCCATGATAAGTTTTAGAACTAATGTGGGAAGGAGGGAGTACTTTGTTTTTGTCTTTTTTATGCTTCATTTTCTTAAAAAATAAACTACCTTTTGGGACTAAGGCTTTGTGTTGTTGTTGCTGCTGCTGCTGTAGTAGTAGTAGTAGTCTTTTTATCATAAATACATACTATCTCCGTTCCAAAATTAGATGACACGTTTCTTTTATCACGTTTGCCAATGCAAAAATTCAATCGAAAATATCTTCAATTATACTATTGTAAAAATACTAAAAATTGAATTTTAACTGAGTACACATTGAAGCAAGTCTAACAAGATCCAACATGACTATGTTTTTTATGTATCTATAAATCACAAATGTTAGTCAAAGCAAAGTTTATGAATCGTGTCAAAAGTCAAAACGTGTCATCTAATTTGAAACAGAGGAAGTATTTCTTTTCTAATTTGTTTTTGTAATATGATAGTAATAATTAAAATAAATGAAAATATTGATGTTTTAAAGTGCTCCTGAACTTATACCTACAGGTTACTATAGTTTGTCAAATCCTCAGTCTTGCTTCCTCTGCATCAGACACTATGGTTCCTCTGTTTTCCAGAAAGATTGTTGAACTTGCAGTACGGACAGTAGTTGATGGTTTTATGGAGCTGTAAGATATCCTATCTGAGTTAGTTTTGTGTGTTCATTTCTCTCTCTCTCTCTCTCTCTCTCTCTCTCTCTCTCTCTCTCTCTAAGTTAAAACATATCTGCTTATTGCAGTGACAATCATTCTTCAATTGAGGGAGTTGTTGATAAGATTAATGTTTTTCGTCCTGATAGAGTATTCATGGTATTTCCTTTTTCATTTTCTATTTTGAAAGTTTCTTTTATTTGATGGTAAGAGATGCATCCGTTGGTTAATGTTTACTTAACACACTTCAGACAAGTACAATATATCCAGGTAATAAGGCTTTTCTGTCTGACTGCTATTGCCAAATTTGCAGCTTTTGGTAGAGTTGCATTACAAAGTAACTGCAGCAGTTCATGAAAGGCATAGGTCACACCGTTTAGCTGGAATCGAGGTGCTTATTAGTATCCTTGGCCATAGAGTAGCAGTTCCGAGCACATCATGGCAAGTTCTTATGGACCTTATCATTTTTTTATATTCAATTTATCTGTTAGAATCCCGATTTAGAATCTTCCCTTCTGGAATTTTGTCTGACAAATGTTGTTTTTGCTTTTGATTTTTCAGTTACCTGTTTAATTTGGTGGGTCAATTAATCAGTTCTCCAGCTTTACAAGATCAATGTTGTCATATGATTTCCATTTTGCTCAAAATGTTTAAGACTAATCCCTCCAGAGAGACTACTCACATTCTTGGTGAACAGCTGCAGGTTTGCATCCTTTTTTTTTTTTTTTTTTTTTTTTTTTTTTTTTCTGTTTTTCTTTTTTAAAATTTTATTAATGTGTTTGACTTGTTTCCAGAAGCAAGAAGTTTTAACACATAAGCATTTATTCATGTTAATTTGCTATATGATTTGAAAGCCTGAAACAAACTTACTGACTAGGCTCTTTGTCGATTGTGCTTTTCACTTTTTGTAGAGATCGAGTCTTTGATGTCAAAATCGTTTATTTTGATGGCTTCTTTGCAGAAACTTGTTACAACTGATGTCTTCAGTACCAGAGTTATTGTGGTGTTCATGTGTTGGGTTGGTGTCTTGACTTGTCTGGGTTGCATGTTTTGTCCAAGGATTAAAATGGAATAAGAGGAATAAGCCTTTAGAGAGTATTGTGCATCATTTTGTTTAAAATCACTTTCAGATTTTTAGAATTCATATGCGCTTGGACCTATGTTATTTGGAGTTGGATACCCATGTCCAACCCAAATATGTGTCCAATTGACTGACCCGGTTACCTTGTGAAACATTTCTTTGATTTTAGCCCAGAATAAAGTGTCAAAGTGTCCTATCCATGTCTGAGTATCAATGAGGATCCGACACGGGTACTTAAGGTGAAATGAACAGTCCAAATAACATAGGTTCGGTCTTGGAGTCACATTCCAAGTTATGTTGTATTTTTTGTTTCAAATATAAATGAGTTCAGGTCGTGTTGATTGTGCATTAATGTATGGTTTCCTTTTTAAAGATTTGTAATATATCTGGCTCATCCTTTCTCCTAGAAACTATATCTGTACATCACATGAGGACAAGGAATTCTGTAGGATTAGAAACTAATGGCAAAATGTGTATGCTAACTGATACTCAGGCAGTCATAAATATTCCGGAGGCATAAGACCAAATGAGGTGAAGGGAAATTTATGTTATGATTGTTCATTGGTTTATTCGTGGTGATGTTTAATACAAATTCTCAATTGGGCTTTTGTCATTTTAACTTGTTGTTTTCTGAAGATTGCCTTTTTTATTTATTTATTTATTTATTTTTTAAATTCAATATATTGCATATCTTAACCCAAATTCTAGTGGTATCCGAAGCTTATGTAGCTTGATGCATCTCTTGGTTCTCTGCAGTTTCTGGTGTCAAAGTTGGTTGCCTGTTGCATACCCTTGGGGTCTAATACAGATAATTCTTGTACTCCTTCATCCCAAGTTTTGTCGTTGCTTCACCTTCTGACAGTGGATTCTGATCCATCTCTGCATGATTACATTAGAGTAAGGCTCCCCCCCCCCCCAACATTGTAGCTTTATTTGGTGTTTTCCTCTTCTTCTTTGGGAATTGTTTTTAATGCTTTCTGTTGGTAGGGGTGTTGGGGGGGGGGGAGGGGGGAGTTACTGTGATAATCTGATTGTTAACTGGGGCCCTGTAAATAGCTGGTGTTTGTGATCTTTGGTTATTTGGTACTCTTTGGAAAAAGTGTCCAAAAAACATGAAGAGTGCTCTGACAGAGTTTATATCATTACACCAAGGACTTAAGGAGCAAGGATGTGAAATTTGTGTCTCTTGTAAACTTGTTGTTCATTTTCTGTTTCTCTATCTTTCAATGGAGGGCAGTGGCCTGCCATAAGGTAGGGAGGTAGAAAGCTCTTGGCTGAAGCATCTATAATTATATATCATTGTTGTTGTGAATTATAATCCCCATGGTTTTAAATCTCGGATGTGGTCGCAAACGCGGTAACAGTCACGTAACCACTTTTGTGGGCAATGTGGATTGAATGCAGATGTTGCAGGCCGTGCAGCTTAAGTGTCAGTCGCAGTATTATTAAAAGTACTTAACAATGAGGTTATGCAGCTGAGATCTAATACCATGATTCCCCCTGCTTTTGTATTGTGTATTGTGATTTATGAGGACTTTTATAGCATGGCCAAGTATTGATAAGAATATTAAAAAAAAAAAAAAATCAAGTTCTGTGTCTTTTCTTCTCGTTTAATGAACATAAAGTTAGAATGAATTCCCTTTAACTTTTTGGTTTTGGTCCCTCCCCCCCCCCCCTCTTTCTAGGAATTTGAACCATTCCCCGAGCTAGAGATCTTTGACAGGATTAGGATTTTCCATCTCGAATTATGCAAAGATTACTCACCAAGAGATCACTTTTTGAAGGTACAATTTGCCTTCTGCTCTTTAAATATGTTGGTCTCTATGATTTTCTTCATGCTCATGCATTCAACTTCTTGGTTTACTACTCGCTGATGTGACGTATTTTATTGCAGTTTGTTAAGAGATCTTGCCATCTTCCGCCTAGATTACTTCTATGGAGGTATGCTTTATCTTGTATATATTGGCTTTTCTTTAGCTGTCATGTGTGTGTATGTGTGCGTGCACGTCAAAGTGATAGACTTCTCCAGCTTCTTTATTAAAAAAAAAAAGAGGAAACTGCCAAAGAGATTTAACCCAAGGACTCAAATGGATGAGATGATAAACATTCTCTTTCTTTTAGCAAAGGCTACGAACTTGGCAATTCTGTTAATTTTAATTTTTAAAGATTGGCCCAGAATAAGGCACAGAGTGTCCATACTTATGTCGGGGTCCGAGAGTTTGATACTGGTACTTGAGATGAAATGTAGAGTTTAAGTAACATAGTGGATAGCCAATCTTTTTTTGAACCCTGTAACTTTTAGAAAACAAGAAAACCCTAAACTATCTCATCAGTATGTTTATCTATATAGTAATTAGTTTTTTTTAGGATTGTTAGAGAATCATACAAAGAATTGGCTTTTATGTTTAGTATAATTCAGATTCTTGCATTTTTACACAACGTCTTCAACTTATTATTTGTGTGAAATCTTGTGAAATTTCTGAAAAACACTCTTTAATATTTTACAAATGATGAAATTTGAATAAAAGCACTGCAGTTAACCTTCATTATTATGAGCATTTTAAACTTTGTTTAGAATATTGGTGCAATGTACAATGTTGGTGAGCACTGTACCTCAAATAACAAAGGCTGGTGATCTGAAGTGCAAAATCATGAGGCTGTACTACATGTGTATGGAAATACTTTACATTTCTTTTTCCACTAAAATTCCGTTAACATATTTGGCAGAATATTGTATTCTAGTAACAGCTTGGTCTAATCGGTTCTTTAGCCATGTCTGTTGTTAGAGTGAAATCATCTTTTCTGTTTTGACACTCCTAAGATTCTTCAATATGTTATCAGATGTCGTGACATGAATTATGTCCAGAGGAAAGATTGTAATGTCGTGTTTGAAATACTCCGTAATTTATCTGAAGTACAGCCAAGTTTGAGATCCTTGTGTCTGATCAGGAATGATTTTTGTATGTTGCTTGACTGATATCTATAGTTGATGGTAGGGGGAGTAAAAGAAAGGGAAATAACAGTGGAGTTAGTTGCACTGCTATCCTGTGCTAATTTCAAATTGTTTGAAATACTTGTAGTCTCCAAGCATTTCACAGGAAGCTACTAGGTGGGGAGAGTTTCTGCGTCGAGGAGATTGCTGGAAGTAAATCTATAGATAATTGTTGGCAATCTGACCTAGAGATTGTACAAGCTGTCTGGTCCCTTGTTCGGATATGCGGTTCACAGGATGCAGATGCTCGGGCATTGGTGTCCGATCTGATTTCTAAGGTATTCTGGTTGGTGTAGCTTCATACTGTTTTTTAGGCTGATCTGGATTTTATCTTCTTTTTTTTTTCCCCCTGCTTTTAGGTTGGAATTGGGGATCCACGTTCGGTAGTTTTCCATCTACCTGGTAACTTACGCCATGTACATGTTTGTGGAGCATCTGATGGAAACTATGCCACTGTAATGAATTTTGAGTTGGATGCTGTCACATCTGAAGAACTGTTGATTGCCCTAATAAGGAATTTGAAGAAATATTTGATGGATGATTCAGTGAAAATAGTTGATTTATCATCTAGAACTCTCCGTGTAAGTTTATCAGTCATCTCTTGATTGACATATGGTTTAGCTGTATATAATTTGTTGTTTCATCTTTTTCACTTGCCCTCCAAGTTTTGATCCGGGTAATTGATTGTTTACAAGATGTATTGTTTGTCCATTTGAATCTTATAAGTTTATTAAGTTCTTTTTCTGGTTCTTTTTCTTATTGTTTTTTTTTTTATTTTTTTATTTTTTTTTATTCAGGGTTTACTGTCGACAGAAAGAGGCAATAGAATTTTAGGATCTTTTGAGTCTTATGAAAGGTCTCTTATTGAGGTTAGTGCAGTGCTAAAACTTGTTTGGTTTAATGTCTGATTACATTTGTGCTAGTTTATATGGACTCTGGTCTTAAGTTGAATCACTGATTAAGTTCATATGTCAGATAATAGTATAACAGAGCTTACAATTATTATATTGTTATATTGGGCTGTAGGTTCATTCAAAGGGATTCAATATGCAGCTGGTAGAAAGCATATTATTGGATCTGCAAAAGAAGTTTACTGGTAGCCTTTTGATCTTAGTTCCTCCTCTGAAACATATACCTCTTAAATCATCTACTTGTAGATTGTTAATAAATGCATATAGGGATTGTGCTAAATATATTGATTGATTATCTGATGCATCTAAATATTAACCTAGAAAATGAAATATGTTATCATTTATTTTCTGGCTATGTGGTTACGTGTTCTTTACTTGTACGCTTCACTCTTGGTGGGTCTTCTTTTACTTTTTTTTAAAAAAAGAAAAAAAAAAAGAATAGATACTATTGGCGGAAAAGAGAAGTACATAGAACGAGGACAAGCTGTTACAGATTTTCCCAATTTCTTTGTGCCTCCCAATTGAGTAACTCTTAAGATTCCCAGCCTCCTTATTGAACAGTGAGTAGTGACGATGGATAAGGTTGCATTTCTTATTATTTGCACTTTCTGCTGTGCTGCTGCATATGTTAGAATCTGGTAGAGTACAGTTAGCACCATATTTTTTGTTCAATGATACTATTTTTTTTTTTTCTATGATACTATTTTATTTATTAATTTGCACTCTAAAGCTTGTTTGTTATTTATGTGAAATTACTAGCTGAAGGAAGATCGTTAGAAGAGTCATCACTATGGAAAACAAGTGACAAAATGTTTGAATCCTGGATATGTCCACTTGTTTACTCACTTATTGGTCACTGCAGTGATATCACCCTTAGGTAATTTTCTGGGCCTTCAATGTTTAAGGCTTGGATTTACCCAAAACATTGACCTGTGCGGCACTGTATATTTGGCTTTAAGTCATTTTATATGAGTTGATTGCTGGCAGGTTATGTCAAGATATTGTGTTGCTGAAGGCTGAAATTGCTGAACTTTTACTGCCAAGTATCATGATCAATCTGGCTGGAAGAAAGGATTTGGCAACTGATTTCTGCCATCTTATCTCTGTCAAGGTTTCCTATTCATTCACTAAAGCATGTGTTTGTGTTAAAAGGCCACTTCTAAGCCAATAGGGCTAGGCCTCTCCAATATCTGTACTTTGTTTAAACTACAATAATCTCCAATTGAACATGCAGGTAGAGCAGCATATACTTGTTGAGACGAATAACCTGACCAAGTCTATTCAGGTGATGTTGGAAGTATTAAATGAATTACGACTGTGTCATGTTATGGAGAGAGCCAGTACAGGTTCAATATCTAATAAACAAGAAAGTTCAAAGGTGAACTTTTACCTCCTTTTTTATTTAATTACACCACCCCCCCCCCCCCCCCCCCCCCCCCCCCCCCCCCCCGCTTTCCCACTTTGTAGTGGATGACCATCAAAGGAGGGTGGTGAAGGAGAATATGTTTGAGTGTTTTATTTTGGCATCTTCATGTAGCAAGTATTTGATGTCATGCAGGCTTCTCGGTCTTCTTCTGCACAGGGTGCAAAATCGCGGGCATCTATGAAGGCCCAAGGATCATCCACTGCATTGTGGCACAAGGTACGGGCTATATGTTGATGGACATCGTGAGTCAATTGACTTAGCTTTATCCAAGATTTTGTTAGAATTATAAATTACAATTAAAACTAAAGTGTCGTTTGCCTTTCTGGTAAGAATGGTCAAAGTAACCCCTTCCTCCCCTAAATGGATTCTGTTCTGGTCATGACAGAGTTTGGGGAGGTCCTGAGGAGACCATAATTGCTGTAATATTTCATTGAAAATATGTAGTCTATTTTTGTATAGGTTGATAAGGCTACAGTGGACAACCTGACATGGGATGCATTTCTCATTAGTCTTATGGTTTTTAATAGCTGGAAATCTAGGAACTTTAAGTACAGATGATAGGGCTTGGAGACATCAGAGAAAGACTGGGTGAAGGATGAAAATGTCTGTTTTGGCTTCTTATGGATCCTATTGACTATTGTTAACTGATACATAATGGCCTTAGAATTTCAAATTGGTTTACTAAAGAACTGATGTATCCACTGGTGCGTTGTGTACTTTTGGATAATTGTTTATCTGATTAGAAGTACTAAACCATTACTTGTAATAATGGTTATAGTAGAAACAAATAGTATCGATAATGTTAGTTGTATTTCAATTTAAATAATAGAAAGAAAAAAAGAAAAAGTGGGGAAAGTGATCATGTTAGATGGTTATTATGTACGTCATTCCTGTAATTCCGTGTTGAGAAGTATTGTTCTTGATTTGGTAGGTATACTGGCTCAATGTTGATTACCTTACCGTGGCGAAGTTAGCAATTGTGAGTACCAATACAGCAATTTACAGAAGCCTTTTCAGTTTCCTTTTTTTTTAATATTAACTTTTCTCCTAGCTAATATTGCTGATAAAAAACAGCTCTGTGGGTCTTACTTTACCGCTATGCTGTATGTTGAGCACTGGTGTGAAGACCACTTCAAGAACCTTACACTTGGAAAGCCTGACTTTTCCCATGTTGAAACAGTGAGTGAATATTATTGAGATACTGCTTTCAGTTTTGTTGTGAAATGCATGAATTAGATATAAAAAAAGGGATGAGGAAGAATTCTTTAATGTTAACCTCTTTAATATTTTGACATGCAGTTGCCCAAACATATTGAATTACTTCTCTCAGCTCTCACACAGATAAATGAACCTGATGGTTTATATGGAATTATTCAATCCCACAAGGTCTGTCAACAAACTACATGGTTGCATAAAGTCTCTGTCTTTGAGTTGTATTTGGTTTGAAGGAAGCACAGCATGCTGCAGCCTTTGATAGTTTTTTTAATTTTGGAAACTTTATAACTGAGCTTGTTAATTCTGAAAATGTTTGTACTGCAAATAATGTGGCCCTTTGTTTAAAGCATCGTTATTAATTAAATAGCTTGAGCTGTATTAGTATCATGCTAGATTATAGGTTTCTCAAGCGAATCGTTGGAGGCAACTGATGATCTTCCACTAATCTTTAGTGCAAAATTCTTCATCCATTTGTCAGAATTATAATTTATAGTATATGGCTAGTGCCTCATTTGCTTATTGTGTTAGTATATGTTATAGCTCATACATACTTAAAGGTATGCTATACATTATTTCTTCCATTCAGATGTAAGGCCCTGTTCTCTTCACCTGATTTATACTGAACTGAAAAAAAGCTCTACAGAATAAACTGATTTCTGCTGAATAAAACTGGATTTTATTGAGTAGTACTAATTTTTACTGATCCTTCAACTGTATGACATGTACTGCTTTACTGATTCAAAACTGATTTGTTCTGATCAAGACTTTCTTATACCAACCAAACTGATTATTGCTGATAAAAACGTAAACTTACTGATTGAAACTTTCTTTTTACTGCAGTGATATTATTAAGTTGAACAGTACAGGGCCTGTGTTTTAGGATCTTTTTCTTTTGTTCAAATTAGTTTTTATATTCTAAGAGATTTACGTATTCAACCTCAAACACAATCTCATAGCATGATTTCCCCCCCAACAAAACTGACCTGATTGAATAAGGGAAATATATCCTTTCCAACCTCTCATATTATGCCTTAGATTTGGGCAGTAATCCTAAAATTGCACTTATCTTCAACTGAAGGGAGTATATTGCTCAACATATGCATCTATTCTAAGATTAGAGGGAGAATGCTCATTTTCTTTATAAGAAGCTTTGTCACAATTCTCACAAAACTTTGGCCTTCCCTTTATTTTAGAATCCAAGATATATAGTGGTAGAAATTGAAGAAATTGCTATGATGAAATGCTTTTTGATTATCTGAATTCTAGTTAAATCTCTGCCACCCTGCGTTTAATGTAAATTTCAAATACTGATGAAAGAGTGCAATTAGCTCATAGTTAGAACTGATTAATATTTCCTGTTGTGGGATTTTTGTGAAGCTGACCTCTCAAATTCTGACCTTCGAACATGAGGGCAACTGGAGCAAGGCTCTCAAATATTATGATTTACAAGTGAGGTTAGATTCGTTGGAGAATTATCCAAAGTACTCAACTGATGAAAGCTGTCGGGCAACTTCTAGTGTGTCTTTATCGGAAGCAGAATTAGGGGTGAAGCAAAGAAAGCCATACAAAGGGGTCATTAAATCTCTGCAACAAATTGGGTGTGCCCATACACTTGATTTGTATTGTCAAGGGTTGGCTTCTTGTAGAGGGGAGTTCCAACATGATTTGGAGTTTGTGGAACTGCAGGTTTGTCTGATTATATGAAGGAACTTGATGAGCTTTGAGATTGTTTTTAAAGTTGTTATCTCATTATGCTTATTAATGCTAATTCTTTTAATTGATTTGCTTCTTTTAATTATATTTAGTATGAGGCTGCTTGGCGTTCTGGCAACTGGGACTTCTCTATGTTTAACATAGGAGACACTTCAATAGCTTCAAACCAGTTTTCTAGAAGTGACCGTTTCAATCAAAACCTGCATAGGTAACTACTCTTCATCAAACCTGACAATGAATGTGAAGGTACTTGAATATTTTATATGACACCTGTCTAGTTTTGGTTAATTGATACCCAATGATTATTACTTTTCACATGGTACACTTGGATTTTGGGCTTCACCATGTTTTGCCGATACTCAAAATCTCTTGTTGTGCCTATTTATTCAAACTGTTAATAAAGTTGAACAAACAGTCCTCATTCATGTATAGGATGTCCAACATTATTGCTGAATATTCCTTCACATAGTATCTAATAGAGCCCTTTTGGCGGGTCTCTCGCAGCTTCATCCAAGCAACAAAGTCTCTATTCTCTGGGTATAATTGTGTATTTGAGTTCCGACTTGAATTCCGCCCCTGTGTCTGTCTTCAATCTTTTTGCTTTAAAGTCAGTGTGCTTCGTGCACCGCAACTTAGCATCGTCCGATAAGTACATGACTGAGCAGTTCAAAAAAATTGATGGGCTGATGGATAAAAGAGAAGCGCTCCGTGAGCAATTGAACTTTGTTCAGGGGCAAGATGAACAGTTCAAAGGGGTACCATGAGAACAATGTATATCAATTTGTACAAAATAGAATTGCCAAAACTAGAGAGGTACCATGTAAATTTCCACGTGAGACTTTTTTTTGGTACAAGGATTCGTCTAGGCAGCACTCTGTAAAAGCCTACCTCAGGCCCCTATAAGCACATATAATTTCTGATAAAGTTCAAGGTATAAATATTTATTATCTTAAGATTTTTTTACTTTGGTTCTTTCCGCCTAACTAAAAAGTTAATGAATATTTGAAATGGTTTTATTCCTTTTTCCTTATTATTTAAATTTCAACAATCTTTCTGCTCATCAATGCATGCCATATGGATTTCTCTTTTTGATGTATTCAGTTGTGCACCCTCCCACACATGCACCAGCACATGCACACACTCATCATTGCACATACACACCTACTTGCCGCGCAATTATTCTTTTCGATGTACATGTGTTTGTTGTAGCTACATTTTAACCCAACAGACTCTGGAATGTAAGATTTGCACAACCGTATCCTATTTATACTGATGGGGTGCCCTGACTTGCAAAGAAAGAGTAAGAGTTTTCATTCTCTTGATTAATATTGTGCCTCTACTTTATATGATCAGCTGTTTAAGGGCATTGCAAGAAGGGGATTCCCGTGAATATTATAAAGAACTGAAGGATTCCAAACAGGTCATAAATATGTCTGATTTTCTGTTATGACAGGCAGCATATTAATGCAATATAGGGACATAGGCAACTCACTTACAATTTTATGTGTTTAGGAGCTTGCATTGTCTCTTTATCATGCAAGTGAGGAGAGCACAGAGTACATCTACTCGACAATAGTTAAACTACAGGTATATGCTCTGGTAAAGTTAATTTACTGTTTTAAGGTCTGCACATCATAGAACAGCAGTTACAATGCCAAGTGGTATATACCTTAGTTATTTGATGCTCATCTTTCTTTCCATTTCCAATTTTTCCACTGTTGTATATCTTCCCTTTAACCCAATGTTAGATGGATTTCCAAAGGTTTAGCCTTGTATTATTGTGAACCTTCAACTATGTTGTGCACATCGCAGAGTTGAAATTCCATATTTTTTGATCAGAAGTAGTTGAAGAGGACAATTGGATAGACCCTAATATATGTATTCCCTATTCACACTATGCAGATCCTAGATCATCTGGGCATGACATGGGATTTGAGATGGAGACCAATGTGTAACAGTACAAGTTCCTGGCAAGATAAGTGTAATGTGCTTTCTGAACCCACTTTTCCAGTGTTGGATGAGGTACTTGAGGCTATCTTATAGCTCTTTTTTGGTTTTCTCTAGACAAAGGGTTAATGTGTGTGTTACAATCACCGTCAGTTCTTTGTAGTAAGATATTCCTGAAGACAATTGTTATTATAGCTTCTTGCCTATCCATGAGAAGTGTGAATAGAATCAATAAGGATGCATCTGCAATAGAGTTGGATAAAAAAATCATCATTTGCATCAAAACATATTATCCGGTAAAAATAATGCTTTGTCTTGATAAATCAACTAGGTTCTTTCTCTTCTATACCCCCACAGTCTTCATCCTCATAGCATTATTAGCTACTATGACTTGCAAGTCCAACAATGCCTTCATATTAGGACACTCAGTGTAAACTATTCTCTCCGTCACTTTTTATTCTTTGCGCTTTGGAGTTCACGGTATCTAATGCTTATCTTTGACCGCGTATTTATTCAATATGATATGAGTAAAAATTCTGAAAAGTTGATATTTAGAAAATTCATTTCAAGCCGTATCTAACAAGATCCCACATGATATAATTTTGAAATTTATAATAGTGAATTATTAAAGTCAAAGTACTAAAAAGTTGAAGATATTAGTCAAAGCGTAAAGAATGAAAACTGGCGGAGGGAGTAGCATACTTTCGGAGGAGCATTTTTAACTTTCATAATTTCTTTGTAAGAAAAGGGGGATCGTTTTCTACTGGGCTGTAGTCATATATATGGTCATAAAACTGGTTATCACACTTTTCTTTCTTATAATGTAGCTATCAAGTCTGAATGCACAGTGGAAGTACATTGTGAAGCAGACACAACTGCACATGAACTTGTTAGAGCCATTTGTAGCATTCAGAAAAGTCCTGCTCCAAATTTTGGGTTGTAAGGATTGTACAGTTCAGCATCTTCTGCAATCTTCATCTGTTCTTCGCAAGGTTTTACTCGTAAAATAAAATACTATGTTTTCTTGTCAGAATTTTTTGTCAATTTGTTTACTAATGATTTATTTATTGATAGGGTACTATGTTCTCTCAAGCTGCTGCATCTTTACATGAATTCAAATTCATGTGCATGGAATTGGGTGGCCAAAATACAAGTTTGTACTGGCATGGCAGGGTAAAAAATTTAATTTACTCTTTGTTAAACTGAAGTATAAAATGTTTTTTGAAAGAAGAAAAAACACCATATCAGTTTAAAATTTGGTGAAAAGGGAGGGGGGGGGGAGAAGGGACTAAATTTGTTGACTATTGATTAGATGCAATAACTTAAAAACAAATTGGAAATTAAACCCTTCACTTCTTCAACAGTATGTAGGCTGGGCTGGTTCATTTCTAAACTTACCAGTTACCACTTGTGCTGCGAATTTGCTATAGAGACACTTTTCCTGATCTGGACCTAACAATATATCAGCTTAACTTTTGGAATATGGATAGTTGTATTACCAGGCAACATTGATGTGCTTGTTCTTATCAGTTCAAAAATATGAGAATTTGCCTGAGATGCACTGAGTACGAGGGACACAAGGCAGTGGGAAGTCTATGATTATGGAGCAGATTAAGAAAATATATTTCCTGGGTAAGGGAGAAAATTTTTTAATAGAGTATATCATTATTATATTAACCAAAACATGGGAAAATCGATTGCCCACAAACTTCTAGCCGACCTCTTTAAGTGAACATGGCAAGCATTACAGGAGCTAGTAAGCATTAGGTGACGTCAAGAAGCATTATGAAGCTGTCAATAATAGAATTTTGACCATGGAGAGAGATGTTTTCAAGAGAAATGATGACAAGCATTTAATTGTGTTTCTTTAGAAGCACTTAATGGCCTTTTTATGCTATTATTAGGCCTTGTTCTCTTCACTTTAAACATATTGAATTCAGTAAAAGTAATCTAAGTTCAGTTAAGCAAAATAAGTTCAAGTTTTTAAAAATATCAGTAAAAATTACTTGATCAGTAACTTCAAAGAATGTGGTAATACTATGTCACAAGGTTACATTCGAGAACAGTGTGGAGTCTGATACCAAAAATCTAAGGTGTCATTGAAACCTGAAAGGTCATTACCTACAATTGTGTTACTGAATTTGTGTTTGCAGCTTGAAGAGGCCAAACTTCTGAGAGCACAAGGTCGGCAAGAGATGGCTATCAACCTTGCAAAATATATTGCAGAAGAGAACCAATCAAATGAAGATGCATCAGATGTACATCGTTTGGTTGGCAAGTGGCTTGCAGAAACTCGATCTAGCAAGTCAGTCATAATATCATGCATGTGTCTCCTGTATATGAACATTTTCTATTCTGTAGGCATCTTATAGTTGAACTGGATGCAGCTCGAGGACAATTTTGGAAAAGTACTTGAAGCGTGCTGTGACATTTGCTGAGGAGCTCAAAGCTTTCAACAGGAAATCTGTGGACAAAAAATGCCAGGCACATTTCCATCTTGCACATTATGCAGATGCACTATTTAGAAGTCATGAAGAAAGGCTGAATTCCAGCGAATGGCAAGCTGGTTTGCGTTTAAGGAAACACAAGGTACTAATTTAATCTTGTTAGAACTTAGAATGCAATATACCAAGCAAAGTGAATTAACTCATGAAATTTATTTTAATGCAGAAAATGGAATTGGAGGCTCTCATTAAGAGATTCAGGAGTTCAACAAAGGCAAGTTAGCACTGTTTACTGGTCTATTGTACATATAGATGATAAATATAGAGTATATTCGTTCCTCATCCCTTTCCTTAACACTTATTTTTTTCTGCTGTATAGGGGGAGAAAACAGACTATTCACTAAAAATACAGGATTTGCAAAAGCAACTTGCTTTGGACACTGAGGTTGCTGAAAAATTACAGGTATTTTGTAACTGCAAATTTTCAGATTTTTGTTTCTTCTTTGTAACTAAATGCTGTATCTGTCATATCATGTGCATGTTGGATTATATCTGCACTTAAAGTTGATGTTCGGTATATCTGGCGGTATGGGCTGCCTACTTGTGCTTGCCAGAGAAAGTGATGATTGAGATGCATTGTAGTATTTCCTGCATCACATGCATATAGTCAGAGCTTAAGGATATATGGAAGTTAATGTTGAATGTGATTAACAACTCATTTGGAGCTAAAATACTTTCCACTAGAGCACATCAAATACTCTTGTTAAGTGCAATTTTGATAATGTAACTGGGCAGAAAAAATGGATGTATTGACAATAGCAATGAGATGAAAGGAAAATTACATACAGCAGTAGTGTTACTGCTTGTCTAATGTGAAAGTTCTGCTACAAATATTTTCACTGTTGTACTTCATCAGCCATATAACAGGTGGTTGTAACTATGAATTCCACCATTTAATCTTCTGTAGTAATTTTGTTTCCGCCTTTATAAGCATAAACCTTTGTATAGAAAGTGTGATTCATTCTCAATATCCAGCTTCTGAGACATTTTTATTTTATGTTTCAGGATGACAGAGATAAATTTTTGAACCTGGCACTTGATGGATATAAATATTGCCTCATCTTAGGGGAAAAATACGATGTCAGAGTGGTTAGTTTTCAATTTGTTGTGCTCTGGTACTTAATGCTTGGACGTTTCTATTCTTCTCTTCTTTTGTGATAAACATACATGTCAAACCCTAGAGGAACTTCCGACGCTGGAGCTTGCCAGTTTATTGTCATGTCTTTAGTTGTAGAGAGAGGGTAAGAAAGGGGGGCGGGGGGAAATAAGCTGAAAATATGTGATGCTTTTTAAATTGTTGATGAGTGATGGTTTCTGAATTGCTTCTGCACAGAAAGACGGGGGAAAAGGGAGAAAGAGACAACGGGTTAACAGTGAGAAAAATATGACGCCTTTGCTATGAATTCCACCATAATTCGTTTGTTTTTTTTTATGCAATTCATCAAAAACTGATAAATTAAAACACTTTAGAACAATATGATAAAATCCCATGTGATGAGGAGTATCTAAGAATTTAGGTGAATATTCTCTCAATGAGGAAGATAATGGCTTTTCTTATGTATTTTGGTGAATAAATATTCTCTCAAGGGAATATTACTTACTATAATCATATGATTTTTTTTTTGTTTATGCATCCTTTGTTTTCTTGTAAATGCATCGCTTTTACTAGTCTATTATTCATATACTATTGTTTGATTATTCACAATAGTTATTTTCATAATTTCAACTTTCTTTGTATTTTATTAATAGACAATTAAAGCTATCAAGTGTCAAAGTTGTGTCTTGGAAAATGTGTCAATCAAAGTGATGCAATTAGAACCAAAGATAGGGAGTATTTTTTTACAAATATACTTTCTTAAATGCTATCTACATCATTTTTATATATAAATGATACTCCCTCCGTCCCATAAAAATGTCCATGTACTCCTTTTCAGGTGTCCCAAAAATTTGTGCCCATTTGTGAATCATTCCATTTTTGTCATGTGGTTTTAGACAATTATACCCTTATAAATCTTGTCCTACCTTTTTGTACCAAAAATTGTACTATAACAAAGATGTTGACATGTTTTTGGATTTTTGCACCAATTTACATTTTCCCATTTATGCAGTCCATCACTTTCTCTCACTAAATGCAAAAGTGGTAGCACATGTGAGAAATGTACTCATCATTATGGGACGAAGGGATTAATATAATTCAAGTTATATGGTCTCATTATTTTTCTATTCTTTTGAAAGTTTGATCATGTAATTTAGATTTGTTAAGTAAATATATCAATATACCATAAATAAATCTTGTTTCTAAGTACATTTCATATGAATCTGTGATATATGTTGTAGAAATTATATCTGCTAAATAAATTTAAAGATACAAATAATTCAATTGTGACCCAAATTCTAGTTATAATTACAACTTGATCATTATCTAACCTCTAATTATTACAAAATTATTTATGTAGTTGCTGGAATGTTGTGTCGAGGCACACACTTTAGTTTTTTCTCGTATGCCTGATTGACTCCTATGCTAGCAGTAATCTATCTAGTTTCTATGATTATTTCAGGTATTCCGACTTGTTTCTATCTGGTTTGGCCTCTCTTCTAGGCAAAATGTTATTAAGGCAATGGTCAACACTGTTAATGAGGTATGTAAATGTCATTGCAAAGCAATATTAGTGTATTAATCATATGTCAGCGCTTAGAAGCTCAATCTTATACAAGTGAATGTATGATTGTTTGACATCTAATCGTTTCTTCTGTCTGGTATTCTAGTTTGTGCCCTCTCTTCCTAAGTTCCAAGGCGTGCAAATAGTGTAATCATGAGGGATCTAGACTTGTGCTTTGCTAGTTTTTTTCTGAAAACAATTTAGAATTCTCCAATGAATATCTGGAACTCAAAAGGTTAATTTAAAATGTATTAGAATCATTAGTTTTCATTTTATTTTCTATCGATAGGCTGTCAAGGTAAATATTAATTAACCCATAGAAAATTAGAGGGAACAAATACAAAAATGATATGAGATGGCTTCTTGTCTGTAAAATGGATTGTTTCAAATCATGATGGTTTATTGGCTTTCTCATTATATATATTCTCTTATTACCTAATCTCTCCTCTTACTAGCCCTTTTGCTTCATCTCCAAGCGAATCCTAAAAGCTTTATCCTGTATTTATGCCTAACTGAAATCATCCCATCCCCTATACTCAATGCTACCTGGAGGTAGAAAGCCTACACGGCGTGAAAGTGATATCAAGAAAGACAGTTTCATTTTGCGTTGTTGTGGATCCATTTTTGTCATGATACATGTGCATTGTGATTGACTGCCAGCTTTTTTATTTTGTATTTCAGTTTCCTCAGGACTATTATTCTGTAATTTTAATCTGTCATAATTTCGCAATCATATTTGTTAATTTTAAAATTCATGTTTGTAGGTTCAGTCATACAAATTTATACCACTTGTCTACCAGATTGCATCTAGGATGGGCAGCACAAAAGAAGTTCAAGGTCCCCATAGCTTTCAGGTATACCAGAATGCATACTTCAGCATCAACAACACTGTCTACTAGTTTTTGGGCTTTTGCAGATAGATTTTTGTATAATTGATGCCAAAAGTCCTGGAGAGACCTATGATGTGAGGATATTTGAGATCTTAGATTAATTTAGAGATTTGAACACTTCAAGGGAAAGCATCTTTGTTTACATGTTCATTCTGAACACTTGTAGAGGTGATCAAAGGGCAGGCCGGAGGATTAAAAATCGTCTCACTAAGTTGGGCCGAGCCAGGGTTTGGGCTGAAAATGTTTACCCAAAACCCATAAATTTAGACCGGGCTTTTCGGGCTATTTTGGACCAGCCAAAAGTATTAAATAAAAATGTTTAAAATGCATGTCCATAGCCCGCCAAAAGTCAGGCCCATCTTGATCACCTCTAGAGACTTGTAAGTTTGAACCATGCCCGCCGCACTAGGGTCGAGCATCATAAGTAGAGAATAATTCTCTGCAAAACGAAACAACCCAACCTTTGGAGAGACTTGTATTTTCAACGTGCATAGAAAAAAGTCAGCTGCAATCATAATCACAGAAAAGGCCTCAGTTGAGTTGGTTCCATAAATGGCGTCTTTGGGTTACCGCATGTTATTATTGATGCTACTCTTGCAGTAGCATCCTACATTCTTTCTAAAGTAGCCGGTCTTTCTCCTGATAACTTTGTTCAAGAGTGTCTATTTCTCCTGATAAACTTTTTGAATTATGACCAACGTTCATGTTCATACGGAGTAATTTTCAAGAATTAACCTCCATTCTGCAAATGGCAACACACCCTTGGCCAGCCCACCATTCTGATTAATATATTAAACTTCTTTGTTTCTCTGACCGAATGAAAACTTCATCCACCAGTGACACAGAACTATAGTAACCGGTCAAATGAAACAACTGTAATTCACACGAAGTATTTCAATTTATTTTTTTCCCCTTTCCAAGCTTACTTGGAAATGATGGATTCCTTCTTTTTGACCCCTCCATTACTAGGCACATTCGCTGTGAATAAGCTTTTAGCATAGATCTTAAATATTCTGCTATTTTGAGAGTGTTCCTTGTGAAGATATGTATAACGTCAACTCAAGAAACATAGTATATAAAAAAAGAGAATAGTGTTAGCTTTTATTATTCTGCAGGAGAGAGAGGACAGAGTAGAGTGTAGGATAGTTATGGCGATGGTGGATGTGATTTGATAGAAACTACTGTTATGCTCTTAGTTTCATATATATAGGGATCAATAGACTTGTAGATTCTATTTTCACTTATCTTACACTTCCCACGCAGCATTATTTAGAATTAGAACAGTCTCCTTTTTCAAGTTAAGTCTAAGTATATGCTTCTGTTCAACACCCAATTACAAGTCAGCTTAATAAATTATAGATGCGAGAGCTCTTTTTACAATATAGCTGACTGACTACCTAATAAATCATGCAGTTTGCTTTGGCTTCACTAGTGAAGAAAATGGCCATTGAGCACCCATATCACACCTTACTGCAGGTATATTGTATCCTGTATTCTCTGTAATGATATTATATAGGTTCAGGGAAAAGGGCATTGTTGTTTTCAGCCTTTCCATTTCATAGCATATTCTCAATTTTGTATACTTCTTTTTTTTTTTTTTTTTTTTTTTGGGGGGGGGGGGGGGGGGGGGGGGGGTTGGGGTTCAATAATTTCCACTTAAGGTGATCCCTTGTTTTTTTCCCCTTCACCTCACCACTGTATCATTTATCTCTTGGAATCAGCTTTTGGCTCTTGCAAATGGTGACCGGATAAAGGACAAACAACGCAGTAGAAACTCGTATGTGGTTGATGTAGATAAAAAGGTTGCCGCAGAAAATCTTTTGAAAGAGTTACTATCACATCATGGGAACGTTATTAGACAGGTAAACATGTACTATAATTAAGTAGTGTAGGCGACCATTTTGTTGTTGACCCTTTCAAGTTGCCAGTTTGGTATGAGCTCCAAGGTTTGATTAAAGTACAATTATGTAGATGTTCACTATACGAATGGGTTCGCCAATATTGACAAGCTGTTTTGATGATTTATGTGTCATATAGATGAAACAACTGGTGGAGATTTATATTAGACTAGCCGAGTTAGAGACAAAGAGAGAGGTTTGTTCCTCTTCTTCCCCTTTGATATCCTAGATTTAAACCCTTGAATTTTTTGAGCTCTGTAACAATCTGAATATAAATTGTAATGGTAGCTTTTTAAAAGATTACTGAATCTTATTTTGTTAACAGGATACCAACAGGAAGGTTGGCCTTCCAAGAGATATTCGAAGTGTCCGGGAACTTGAACTTGTATGTTCAATACCATAATTCCTTTTTTTTTTTTTTTTTGAAGAAACAATACCAATACCATAATTCTTGGTTGCATACAGTAAATAGATTGTAAGTTTGCTTAATAATAAATCTGCTATGCTGAATATCAGGTACCAGTGTTGACGTCCAATGTCTCTGTTGACCGTAGTTGTCAATATAGTGAAGGGACGTTTCCCTACTTCAAAGGATTGGGTGATTCTGTTGTGTATGTTCAATGAACTTTAAATCTCAAGTTTGTTGTTCCTGTTACTTCTGATCAGTATTTGATCATGTTTATAATCATCAAGTTGATGAACTTGCCTTGTGTAGAGTGATGAATGGTATCAATGCTCCAAAAGTGGTTGAGTGCTATGGTTCTGATGGTAAAATATATAGGCAATTGGCAAAATCTGGAAATGATGATCTGAGACAAGATGCGGTATTTTGTTCAACCTGAAGTTTCAGTTCTTTATCTCATCTTTTTGTACATCTTTCACTCGTAATTTTTTGTTATCTTATCTGCTTCTTAAATCTTGATTTGTCTATTTGATTTTTTTTTTTTTTTTCCCATTCATAACTGTTTGCATATGTGATGATGTTCTGGTCCTCATTTCTTATGCTTTTAGCATATACTTCCCCTGACATTGTCATTTGACATGGTGGATGAGACCAATAATTTTAACTTTCTTTTCTGTCATTGTAACTTTATTCCTGACTTCCAGGCTACTTTCTCAAAAAATAATTTGAATAATTTGTGTAGATGAAGATGAAGATAATGTTGGACTGAAAATCTTTAATTTTCGGTTCTCTCAGGGAAATACTATGTTATTGCTCGTAGTCCTTTATTGTGTGGTTGTTTTCTAATTTTGCAAATATGTAATGAGCTTTTGGCTAGTACATACGAAGTATATAATTTCCTATCAAAAGAAGAACATAATACACAATAACTAATTATCTTTTTTATCTCTCCTCTTAGATGTTGTAATTTGAATAAAAACAATCTCCTGTTTAATCAGGAGCATTTTGTCTTGAAAGTTTTTCAGTTCCAGAAACATATATATTGGCAAACCTTGGCTGAAGCAATCTTTGATACTAATCATGAAGTCTGAAGTTTCTGCTGCAGATATCATTTACTTGCTACAATTCTTATTCCTGTGTTTATATATTTATTTGGTTTTTATTGTTAGACATCTTTTCCTCTGTGGCTAACAGGTCATGGAGCAATTTTTTGGCTTGGTCAACACATTTTTATATAATAATCAAGACACGTGGAAAAGAAAATTAGGAGTACGCACATACAAGGTATGTACCTTCTGTTCTAAGGTATTTTAAATTTGTTTCTTCTTCCCAAAATAAATGATATCAGAGTGTGTCTCTTCATGAAGGTGATTTAAGCTCATAAAATGACTAAAAGTTGAATATGGTAGGCAAAGTATCTGGCTTACTGGTATCTGTCAGTGCAAAAGTTTAAGATGAGGTTCTCTTTGACTAATATTGAGAGGGCTGTGCAGGTTGTCCCTTTTACTCCTAGTGCGGGTATTATTGAGTGGGTAGATGGTACTCTTCCCCTGGGTGAATATCTTATAGGAAGGTAAGTTTGATGTGCAATAGATTATCCTACTCCATGTATGTTTTGAGTTATGATAAATCTCAAATGTTTATTGCTTGTCAGCTCACGTAATGGAGGTGCACATGGGCGCTATGGTGCAGGAGATTGGCCATTTTCTAAATGTCGGGAGCACATGATGAATGTAAGTCTTTTGTTGCATCCTATTCTAAGTTTTGCTCCAGTTCAACTTTCAAAAGTTGAACATCTTGATTAAATCTATGTAATTGATTCTTATAGGTGAAAGATAAGCGCAAGGCATTTCAGGAAGTGTCTGAAAATTTCAGGTACTGGTTACCTTCAGATAATCTGCTTAGAAATTGGGGGCTCTATCTGGCTGACGTGACAATTATTGCAGGCCTGTCATGCATTTCTTCTTTCTTGAAAGATTTTTGCAGCCAGCTGATTGGTTTGAGAAAAGATTGGCTTACACTCGGAGTGTGGCAGCCAGCTCAATGGTGAGGAATTGAGGATTCCTATCTCTCGTTTTGACATTTTAAATAAATTGATTAGTTGATAAAGTCATGGAACATCAACAAGAGATAATCTAATAGCTACATATCAATCAAATCAAATTTAAAAATTCCTTTTCTGCAAAGCTATGATCATTGCAAAGCTACAATCATTGCTGAACATTCTTCATACCCTCTTTCATGTCGTGTTTTATTGCTTTCTTCAACAAGGGGGTCTATAGATCTATTGTATCAGTGAAGATGAATTCTGTCAGATACATTTGATTGTAGTAGACAAATTTAACCTCTTTTTTAATACACATAAATCTTTACCGTATAAATAACTTAAGCCATCATAGTAACTATTTTTAGTTGGGCCTTGGCTTCAAACCTTAATGAAAATCAATTGTAATGGAAAAATTCTCAAAAGATTCTAACAGAGTTGAAATGAAGGTGACATCATTGGATGATAACATGTACGCACCAAGATTTTTGTTTTAACCCTGAGCCCTACCAGTGGAGTATATTAGCTGATAAAAATAGTTAATATATGTTCAATCAACCTCTTAACTGCATTGACCTGATTGGCTTCAAAATACCTGTAGTTATGAAATTTCTATATACTTTCTAGGGTAAACTTCCACTAGACCAATTAAAAGATTAAGGAGATTCTTTCCCTTGCAAGTGCTGCTGTACACCTTACATTTTCTCTTCATTTACGTACTTGAGTGTATTGTTAACTATCTAGGCTGCTAATTGCTTCAGCTGCAAACAGTGAGTTTTATCTTCTAGAGAATTTTTTATGCTCACAAACTTTCTCTTTTATAGGTAGGCTACATTGTTGGACTGGGAGATCGACATTCTATGAATATATTAATTGATCAGGCTACTGCAGAAGTTGTTCATATTGATCTTGGTGTAGCTTTTGAACAGGGCTTGATGCTTAAAACACCAGAGAGGGTTTGTCTATGAATTCATTGCTTTTTTTAATTACTATGGTGTACCTGTGTTATTATTCTCTGCTTGATTGTGTGAGTTCACCTATCTTTTCCAGGTACCATTCAGGCTTACACGAGACATCATAGATGGGATGGGCGTCACCGGAGTTGAAGGTGTTTTCAGAAGATGTTGTGAGGAAACACTTGCCGTGATGCGAACAAATAAAGAAGCTCTCCTGACTATCATTGAAGTACTGCCAACTCATAAAGTCTCTTGTCTTTACGGATCTTAATAAGCAATTTAGTATTTTGTAGTTACCTTCTTATCGCCATGCAGGTTTTCATTCACGATCCTCTTTATAAATGGGCTCTATCTCCACTGAAGGCACTGCAGAGGCAAAAGGTAATTTCTCTTATGCAAATCAAGAAAGCAGTCCAAAACTAAGTGAGGAATAGTAATAGTAGCTTTCAACTTTCCACAGCTAAGTTAAACGTACAATTGATAGTTTTGTGGACCACATCAAGATCATATATATATATATATATATATATATATATATATATATATATATATATATATATATAAACCTGAATAACTCGCAGCATTTGATAAGAACGACCTAGCAAGAGGGTTGTTCAGACTTCAGAGTCGTCATACTGGGCTTAATTCAATTTATCTGATTCTGGTCATATCATGGGTGATCAAACATTCCAGTCTTTTGCCAATTAGGTTATCATAAAACATTAGTAAAATATTAGGCGTTTTAATAAGGATCATGTCATTTTATAACCATCATATCAGTTTGTGTCAAATTCTGGTTATATTTGTTTTGGGTCTGATTCAAAGTTTTAATTGGGTAATTGGGCATGGGTCATTTTCACCTGCTCTAGAAAAGACCATTTTAAGAACACCCCCCCCCCCCCACCCAACCTCAAATCCATCATGCGCCACAGCCAACAATGTTCATCACAGATGCTCTCACTCCCTAAATACCTTAGACTGTATCCTGGGTGTTCTGGCCTCCTGGGTGGGAAGACTGGGAACTATGCCTCGAGTGGACATGAGGTAACTGGCTGCTATTTCTGGTCTAGATAACACTCAGACCGAGACCACATGTAACATAAGTTATCATCATTTGTGAATTTTGTTTTAACATATTGTGTAATAGAAATCCTTTATACTTTGTATAATGTAATCTTTTATATATTTATTTTTTCCCCTTTGCACAAGCATGTGCTAAGTATAAATAAATGAAAATTACAGTTCCAAAAAAAAAAAAAAAAAAATGATAATTATTGATAAATTAGAAGTGAATTTGCGCATCAGTGTTACTATGTGAAAGTGATGCTCATCCACCATGTATTTTGCCCTTTGACAGGAAACAGATGAAGATTTAGAGACTAGCTGGGAAGACTCGCAAGATGAATGTGAGGGGAATAAGGATGCTGCACGTGCACTGATGCGTGTTAAACAAAAACTAGATGGCTATGAGGATGGTGAAATGAGAAGTGTGCATGGACAGGTAAATTGAGTTGGTAATAATTGACAGTATATATTTACATCCATTCGCTGTCGAGCCCAATCTTTCAGTCTTTCCTTTGTCCATTTTCTCAGTCTTTCTTCTATAGTTCCATGTGATGAAACAATTAATGAGATTGAGAGCACTGTCAAATTCCTTTGTTTATCTTATTCTTTTATATCAAGTCCATACCAATATATCCTTAATGCTGAACTACCAATAACAAATCAAAGGCTAGTACAAGAACAATTACCTCTATTAGGCCACCAAGCAGGATTCTTGTTTTTGATTTTTTATAGAAGTATAATACCGTCTTCTGATTTGTAACTAACTGTGAGAGAGATTTATTAGCTCACTGACAAAAGTACTCTAAATTGATAGAGTTCATGAGAAACCTACAAAGTTAAATTGCAGCATGCCTTATGCTCAAGCTTAAGTTAATGTAGTTTATATTTATGTGATACCTGCCCCGCAGATGACTTTGTTTACAAGCTACTTCATATTAGATTTTACTGAATATGTTCAGAAACCTGCATGCTTAACAGAAATCAAAGATTAGCTAATTTTAGGTCATTTGAAGATGGTTATGTCTATTAGAAATCTTAACATCCTATCTTTTTATTTCTTTTTTCCTTTTTTTTTTTTTTCTTTTTTTTTCTTTTTTTTTTTGTCTGGAACATCCTGTCTTTGTGTTGTAGGTTCAACAGCTGATACAGGATGCGATTGACCCAGAGAGGCTATGCAATATGTTCCCTGGATGGGGTGCATGGATGTGAAGAAACAAGTAACTAGCCCTCATAATTCTTTGTATAGTTGGTCTTGTGCCCTCTCCCTTCTCTTTTTTTCCTCTCTGTATATCCTTTGTTGTGCGAATGTGTCCATATTGAGGCTGTACATGACTATATGTATACCGAGGTGTTGAGTCCGAGAATTGTACAGTGGGGCTCATTCAGTTTTGTGTACAAATCTTGCATCTACGATGTAAATGAATGCATAGTAATCAAAGTAAGTTTCTTCAAGAACGTTGTCCTTGCCTTGTAAATTATAGATATCCTCAGTTTCAAAATTCTAATATAGTCTTGCAAAATTTGTCCTGTAACATGATAATCAAAAGAAAATTAAAATTAGTTTCACATTTTAAGATTAAGACTAGTAAAAACGAACAATATAAGAATGGAGTACTCAAAAGTGAGGTGCAACAAAACCAAAACCTCCCTTAATTTTCTTGTGGTAACCAAAGGTTTGGTAGCAGGTTACTGGGCTATTATCTAATCTTAATGAAAAATACCCTTATTTTTGGTACTTAAAAATTTAGAATAGTTATTAAGTCTGAAACTTACTAGTCTCAATTTGTATGTTGCATTTTTAATTTTGATTTGAGGTGTGCCCGATTAATTTTGGTTGTTTAATAACATCATTAACCCTTTTATTAAAATTGGTAAATATCTATTTAATGGTGTGTTATATTCACTTGATTTTTATATATGAACTTATTTGAACTAATTTAAATTTATTAGACTTTATTATAGTTGTAATTGAACTTAGATAAACTCTTATCATGAATTATTTTTCTAAAAATTATCTTATCTAAACTAATATTTGTTGAAATAGAAGAATAGAATAGGACTTATTTTTTAACCTGAGCCTTGTTCTTTCGTTCTTTCCCTTATTCTCTAGACCTATTTCACTTGTATCAAAAATGCCTTTTGTTATGGAGTAATTTGCTATTAATTTATTTTCTTGGTGAAGAAAGTCGCGTAAATTATCAACCAATGTTGAGTATCCTCAAAGCAGAGAATCGCCCTCCTGCCCTAACTTATTAAGCTAAGCTGTCATATTAAAATCTACTAGTTAGATTAGTGCCCGTGCGATGTATGGTAGTAATAATCTTTTTTTCCCATAATTGTTTTGTGATATAATATAAAAATGAGGCAACTCAGGTAGAATAAACAAAAATGCAATGCGTATTAGAAAGACGAAATAATAAGGTAAAAATTATTAAAACTACAATTGAGAAAAAAAATATTATTGTTAATTAGTTGTGTTAAAAATATTTAAAAATAGTATACATTATATTACATTAATGATGCATGTTATTCCCAATAAAATTATACAATGTAGATATCGTATGACATTTCATTAATGAATTAATTTAGGTGAAAAAAAAATTATACAATATACTTCTAAACAATAAGCTAAGTAGAATAAATTTTATAATAAATAAATAAATAAATAAATAAATAAATAAAGATGACATCATATATTGTTTTCGGGAATTTTTTAATGATAGTTTGATATATGTCCAAAATGATCGATGTAAGCATGACCTATTTAGTAATAGTTAATAGATTTTTTGAAGAAGAAAAAAAAAGTTATAAGTTGGTAAATTATCACAGAAATATTTAACAGAAAACTAATTCAATTATTATTGGTCCATAAGATTTCTATCAACACGATGAATAGAATTTTTTTTTTCCTCCATTGAACCCCACTATTGTACAACTATATATATAATGGTAATTTGAATGTTAATATTGTACTTTTGGCTCCATTATTTTATACACTCCACCATATTTCAACCTTCTAAATTATAACTTATTCTACCTTAATTAAAATGTCTCAAAATCTTGTGTAAGGACTTTAAGTAAATAGAACACGAAATAAAAGAAATACAATCATTATAAAGATAATATATATGATTAGAAATAATATTATTGTAGTTTTAATATATAAATATTTCAAAAATAAAATATTTTAGCTAAAAAGGGATGGGGAGTTTTGGAGGGAAAAAACAGCACTAGAAGTGACACGTGTCATTCCTAATGTCTATTTTAATATTATGTTATTGATTTCTAACTGTAGATACAATAATTAATTTAAGTACTCTTTATATTCGATCGGCCTTTGCCTAAAACCCCAGTACCCAATAATATTTTGAAGAAATATTTTTGGGTTTTTCTACGTGGTAAACTCGTTTTTTTTTCACTTTTCTACGATGTGACCTAACATATATGACTTTCTACGCTGTAACCTTAAACTACGAAAAGCCACTATATGTGACCTCTTAAACTGCTGTTAGTTGCTTCCATTAAAATGAAAAAAATTAAACTTTTTTTTTTTTCATTTCCCCTTCCCCTTTCCCTTCTTCCCTCCATAACCACCAGCCCCTTCCCGTCAGCCACCTCTCCCCCTCCCCCCCTGCAGACATAGGTGCCCAAAGCTTCGGCCGGCGACCCTACCCCCTCCAGTTCCCCCACCCAAAAACCGGCACCCCTTACTCTAAACCACCAGCCCGAAACCTCCCCTTCCTCCCCCCATCCCTTTTCCAATTTCCGACCACCCTACTGACGCCCCTCACTCTCCCCAGCCGTCTCTACCCCCTCCTTCCCTGCATCTACCCCCGAAACCCAGGCCACCCCTTTATCTATGAAACCAAGAATCCAAACACACAAAATCCAAAACCCAGATTTGCGTGGTTGGGGTTCTGGGTTTCGAGGGGGGTTGAGATTTAATCCAATGTCGGTGGGGAAGGTGGTGGAGCTGTCAAATTTGAGAAGGGAAGAGGGTGCACTGGTCGAAATTTGGTGGGGAAGGGGGTGGGGTGGTCGGATTTGGGAGAGGAATGTGGTGGGGCTGTCGGATTTAGGAGGGGAAGGCGGTGCGGTGGTTGGAATTTGGAGGGGAAGGTGGTGGAGCTATCAAATTTGAGAAGGGAAGGGGGTGCGCTGGTCGGAATTTGGTGGGGAAGGGGGTGGGGTGGTCGAATTTGGGAGAGGAATGTGGTGGGGCTGCCGGATTTAGGAGGGGAAGGCGGTGCAGTGGTCGGAATTTGGAGGGGAAGGGGATGAGCTGCCAGAATTAGGCGGTGGGAGAGGAAGAGGTGGCTGGAAAGGAGGGGGAGGGTGGTGGTAGGATGTACAGGGATTGTGGTTGGTGGGGAAGGAGTTTTTTTTTAATTAATTTTTTAATAAATTAATATTTTGTTAAAAGAAATATGTTAACGGAAGCAACTAACGGCAGTTTAACGGCAAGGCCACAATGTAGTGACTTTTCGTAGTTTAGGGTTACAGCGTAAAAAATCAAATATGTTAGGTCACAGCGTAGAAAAGTGAAAAAAACGAGGTTACTACGTAGAAAAACCCAATATTTTTTGAATTAATTAATGAGATTAACATACAGTATAATTATTAAACTCTACTTATTTCATAACCTTTTATTGGACATTCGACCCTTTTAACTTCATTTTGGTATCGAATGATCTTCATGAACCGTCAGTTTGACGCTCTAATGTAGTGTACATACATATAAAAAAATGTGAATCTTCCATGATAAAAAGGAAGATTCTAGATGGTTGGAGCTGCAACATTCTTGGAGAATAAGATACTTCAATAACTATATGGTGATCATAATATGTACATTTATATTATACATATAGTTGGCAAAAGAAAATTAAAAAGGAGGGTTTGGAATATTTTTGGATGATGAAGCTTATGGTAGTAGGAAACACCTTAATGGTGAAGTATCCAACTCACTATAAAAATGAATTGTAGATTGACCAATTAAAAGATTTTGTTTTGAAAGAAAAAGGCTATGAAAATTAAAATAATGTCTAAAGAAAAACATACAAAATGTAAAAGGGAGGATGAAGATTTGATGTTCCTTTATTATTCCTTTCTCCTACATTCGGCTTTTGATAAAGTCTATTTTGGAATTCTTACCATCCTAAGAATCCAACGATGAGCGCATTTGGCTTAGGTTTGGCTATAAATTATTGCAATATTTACAAGCTTTTCAAATTCATTATTATTTCTCATAATTTTTTTTGTATGATTTGAGGTGTGGTTGTTCTCCATTGACGAATTATAGTACCAATATTTACAGCCTCATCTCATCGCCTTCACAAGTGGTTTTGATGAGAAATTGGAATTTAATTTCCATACACATAATACTTCGTATATAACGTTAGGTCGTTAGGAGTTCGATTAAATAAATTATAATCAAATAGCATATGCTAAATTCACTGTAGCACTAAATCACAAAAAAAAGGAAGAAAGGTGCAGAGGAGAGGATAATTGATGGAATTTTGGTAGATAAAGTTTTAATTTTGGATGGAGTATCACGAGGATTAGAGTCTACAGAGAGGAAGGGTATTAGCAATTTTAATGGTTTTGCAAAAGAGAAACCCACATATTTACTACATAATTTTTTTTTTTTTTAAAATTAAAATAAAAAATAAAAAAATAAAAAAATAATAAAAAAAATTGTTCCAAGTCAATTTAAGGAATGACATGGATTTTATACTGACAAATGTACGGCCAGGATTCAATAATTATTATAGCTATAGTATTATTGTAGCCATTGCAAAATTGTCCTCGTATAATATACTTATATTTATGGAAATGAAGTCACTTTCAAAGTATAAAATGGTGCAATATGAGAAATCATGTTCTTTGATTGTAAATGAAATTAGGTATGGACAAATTACAGAGTTTATCACTTACAGAACAAGCTTGTAGGAAAATTAATCCTATTTAAACTATTAAGATAAAATGTTCAAGGTTTAGACATTAATAATGATCTAAAGTTCTAAACCTACTAAGTGTACCACAGAGTAATTATGAAAAGAGAAATCAGATTACTTTATTTTCCTCGACGACCTTATTACATTACATTTCTTATTACTCCGTATACAATGAATGAAATCAACGCTAAGTTTTGAAAATTCCTATACTGTAAAATATAATGTTACAATTAGTTTAAAGAGAACAAAAAATTATTAGCTTTACAATTTATTTCCTTCTCCGTTTCTATGACCTTTAATTTCTTAGCTTGCTGAAGATATTATATATTGTATTAGCTTGACTAAAATTTAGTGAGTCAATTCAGCATTATTAATCTTGTACAGTCTATGGCTAACAATTCTAACTATCTAAGTGGTGAGAAAAATGATGCTAAATTATCAAATCATAATCCTTAAAAAAAAAAAAAAAAAAAAAATGGGAAGTAAAAGAAGAAATAATACTGCGTAGTTCGTATTATATTATGATTGCATGTTAGACCTTTTAAGTCCACTCAAGCCTAAATCAGTAACTGTTTGTTTCAGTTGGTATGCAACAATCATCCATCTAAATGAAGGGAAAAAAATAAAATAAAGGGTGAATATCATTGCATTTTGGAAATTAACTTCACTTGGAAATTTCCTGTCCCCTACCTTCCACCTTTAATTTGGTTGATCAAGCTTTAGAGAAAGGTTAGTTCATTTTTAAATCAGAGAAATTAAGGGGAGAAATTTATTGCAAAATCAGAGCGTTATAACTTGTTTTGGAAGATGTCTAATTAGGGTGAGCACGCCGAACATTAGTAATATTGGTAAACATTTACAAAATAATATTGTCATCTGATTTTGTCATAAATTTTGGATTTGATATCAATGTTAGGCCCGGTTTTAGGCCCCGTTCACTTCACCTTATTTTTGCTGAATTGAAATTAATTTTACTAAACTAAAATTATTTTTGCTAAACTTAAATTATTGTACTAAACTGAAATTATTTTTACTGAACTGAAGTTAATTTTGTTGAACTAAAATTATTTTTACTGATTCTCTATTATATTTCTTCTTTAGAGTTACTGATTTTTGCTGAACTGAAATTATTTTTACTGATTCTCTATTATATTTCTTCTTTAGAGTTACTGATTTTTGCTGAACTGAATTTATTTTTACTGAACTGAAATTAATTTTATTGAACTAATTTAAACTTATTTTTGCCGAACTGAAATTATTTTTACTAAACTGAAATTATTTTTGCTGAATATTAAATTTATAAGGTGAACTGAATAGGGCCTTACTTGCATTGTCAAAGGCTTAATTAGCTAGGATCAATGGACGTTTAAATTTCGATATAATTTAATTTGATGGATGGTACAGTGGACATACACGTAATCAAAGTGATGATATGATATAATGATATTTCAATGAAAAGGGTCGAGGCAAAGTAATAATGCAAGATGTTAGAACATTTATATATTAAATGTGCTTTTAGGATTCACATTTATATCGTTGGGAGTTGAAGAAATGAATGATATGCAGTTTTGTTATGAGAGGAGGGTAAGTAAATGAAAAATAGCAATGAACGTAATGAAATTTAATTACGTTGACGTCTTTTGAGTGAAAAGACATGTTTTTACTACCTTTTCATGTACTTTGACGTAAGTAGGTAATTATGATATTTATTATAATTAAGTTACGTAGTTATAATATTTATTATAATTAATTTGCGTAGTTATAATATTTATTATAATTAATTTGCGTTGATGTCTTTTGGGTCAAAAGACATAACTCTTGAGGGACACTAGTTTATGTACATCCCTCATTCTCTATAAATAGCAATGGTTATCTAATGTGAATGGATAATAAAAGATGATCAAGAAAAACACCATTAAACTTGCTTCCTGTGAGAATTTTCTAGAGTATTTTCTCTTGGGTTATTACAAACACTTGCTCACAAATTTCTTGTAGATTGGTTTAGTTAAACAACCTAAATCAATTGGTCTCTTCTTTGTATCTCAATAGTTTTATCGTGTTAACCCTGTTGTTTCTTAGAGGGGCGATAATAAACTATTAGGAAAGCAGCATTAAGTTACGTGCCTAGAAGAAATATCCGGTCCCTCTTATTCTATCCTCCATTTTGTTCTAACACAAGACCTCATGTGGTTTTTGCTCTTTGTTTCTTTCATGCATGCTTGTATAAATTGATGTAACTGTCTAATATGAATAGGTTAGAATGTGATAAGTAAAATGAATATAAAAAGTATATTTTCATATTTGAATCTTTTTTCAAAAAATTTTAAAAGTTAAAATATATATTAGGATATATATAACAGTCAAAATTTACTTGAAATGAATATGTACTATATGAAGCAATGCTTAATTACGAATATGTATATTTTTTTTGTAAGAAAAATGAAATTTGTGTTATATTAGTTTGTTTCCCAATCTTCCTTAGCTTCATTCATACTATATGAAGTATAACAAAATATCATGCAATCTAGATAAAGATCGAGAAGGATTAAGGTTCGGTGGCGGTGACTATGATTGTGTCAGTGTCGGTGACTGTGACAGTGACTGTAATTGTAACTGTGTCCGGTAGTAAAAGGAGAGAGTATAAGATAAGTTACATACCACATACAAACGAGATATGAATGATAGAAGCAAGAACAAAGATTATACTTGGAGTATATCGGATTTACATCTTCTATGCCCTAGCTAGCTATCAATTACTAATTTACTATATCAATAAATGACAAATAAAAATTTAAAAATAATAATAATAAGGAAAATTTAACGGGAATAATCCAACCTTTGCTCCGTTCTCCCATATTAATCCAACCTTTTGATTATTCCGTATTAATCCAACCTTTGCCCCCCCATTTTCTCCCAGCAACCCTTGTAGGTCAACAACCGGTTTCAACCGGTTTTTATGATGATGTGGCACTTCATGATTGGTTTTTGTTTTTTTTTTTAAATTTACTTTTTTAAAAAAATTTTGGGTTGTAAAAAAAGTTTTTAAAAAAAATTAAAAAAAAAACCCACCCCTACTGTTTCTTCTTTCTCTCACCTTTGCCACATCAATACAGCCCCGCACCTCTCACCTTTGCCACATCAATTCACAGCAGCCCACAAACCACCACAACCATCCCCTGCACCACCGCACGTATCTCCTCCTCCAATCACAAACCAACCACACCACACACCTAACTGCCCTGTTTGCCTTCTCTTTCCACCGCAACAGCACCCAACAACACCACCGCACCAAATCCCAACCTCCGCACCTAGCACAGGCCACAGCTCCGCAAACCTCAGCTTCACACTCCAATGCATGGGAAGGGGAGTGGGCGATTATCGGGGGCTAGGGAAGGGAATCGGGGTCTGGGAAGGATAAGGGGTGGTTTCGGGGTGCTTGGGTGGGTTATAGGGTGGCTGACGGAATTAGGGTCTTGGGGTAGTGGTGGTGGTTGGTGGTGGTGGGGTTTTGTGGTAGTTTCGGGCTGTGGGGGTAGCTCAGGGTGGGGTGGGCAGTGGTGGTCGAAAATGGAAGGGACGGTTCTAGTGGTGGGGATGGGGTGGAGGGGGGTTTTAATCAGGTGGTTGAGGTGCGGTAGGTGGTGGCTGATTTGGTGCTAGTGGTGGTTGTTTTTGGTGTAAGGTGGTCAAGGGTGGCGACCGGAGGTGGAGCAAATTTCAAGATAGACTGCTATGGCGGTGAATCTGGTGATGGAGGAAGAGAGAGAAAGAAGAAAGAAGGTGGTTTTTTTTTTTTTTTTTATTTACATATTAAAATAAAAAAAAGTAAATTTAAAAAAAAAAAACAAAAACCAATTAGGAAGTACCACGTAGGACTTATAACCAGTTGTACCGGTAGATGACCTGCAAGGGTTGCTGGGAGAAAATGGGGGGCAAAGGTTGGATTAATGCGGAATAATCGAAAGATTGGATTAATATGGGAGAACGGAGCAAAGGTTGGATTATTCCTGTTAAATTTTCCTAATAATAAAATAACTTTACCATGTCATGAAACCTACATGGGATTTGAACTTTTTTCTTGTAAGGTCAACTACTACTAGAGCTGGCAAAAGCTGACCCGACCTGACAACCCGACCCGAACCCAACCCGAAATAAATGGGTTATGAGCAAAGTTTTCAACCCGTTTATGTAATTGGGTCGACCTGAACCCAACCCGAAACTAAATGGGTCAGGTTCAGGTTGACAATTCCGACCCGAAAATAACCCGCCTAAACCCGTTTAACTAATTGGGTTGGTTTCAGGTCGGGTCAACCCGAACCCCACCCATATAACCCTATATTAGTAAAATGATATTAGGCCTTAGTATTTTTATTTGGACAAAGCCCAACCTATGTCAAATCCTATAGAGTACAAAAAACCCAAAAAGTGAAAACCCTATTTTTTTCTAGTCATTTTCCCACTTGTTCAGCCGTTTTCATCTCTATTTTCCCATCTTATTCTCTCACCTCTCTCTTTTTTCTCTATCTAGCTTGTTTATCAAAATTGCAACTTCAAACTTGTTTATCTTCAAATTTTTCGCCTACTAAGGTAATATAGTCATGCATTTCATTTTATTTACAATTATCTGTTGTAGTGTTGTTAAGAAATGTTGATTGAGACTTTCTAATTTGGTGAATAATATGAAAAATAAAGAAGTTTCGACTGTGTTTGGGGTTTTTTTTTTCGATTTATGATGCTTTGTTTTGGATAAATTGGTGAATAATCTGATTATGTTGCTTTTTTTCTTCATTTATATTTCTATGCATGCATTTGTTACTTTGTTTTTTCATTTTTATGAGATTATTTTTTGCATTTTACAAGTTGATCAGGATTTTGTGTTATGCTCTTTGTTTATAATGAAGGTGAATGATGAAGCCAATACACCAAGCCCATTTGAGAGCGCACCTCAAAGTCAGTAGCAAGACTAGCAACTAGTCAAACCTGATGAAGTTTTCCAAGATCTAATTTTTATTTTGTTGGGAATATTGCCTCCTTAAGACATTGATTTTGATTTTGGACTGTACTGTAAATTATTATATGTAAACTATGGTTAGTTTTACTTGAATGTATTTTTATTATGCTTAAATTGATAGGTTTGTACAGCAAAGTTTTATGCAAAATAACAAGTTAAATATACGACTTTTTTTTTTATCATTATATTGTAAGAATAATCGGGTTTTTATTTAAAAAAAAACAGGTCAAACGGGATGAAATCAGGTCAACCCGTTTAAACCAAGTCGGGTTCAGGTTCGCCATTCTGACCCGTTTAAGTAAACAGGTCGGGTTCAGGTTGGGGGGTCCTGACCTGTTTATTAAACAGGTTGACCCGAACCCAACCCAACCCGACCTGTTTGCCAGCCCTAACTACTACCATGTAAAATCAACAAACCTAGCCATTATGTGGGCCATGATAAAACACTTAATACTAATTAATCCTTCTTTAAAAAAGGATTTTCAACGGCTCAATTGCACAAAAACTCCAAATTGCAACAGTTAAGTCACATCTAACCTTTTCATTTTTTATCTATGGAATTGACAACATATGTGATGAATTGAGGTGATGCCAAAACACAATCGAGTCACAATCACATACAACCCTATACAGTTTTCATCCTAAAACAATGGGTAATATGACTAGTATACGTAGTCCAATGATATAGTAAGTTGACTATCATTCTTCTATTATTTCAATATGGGACAATTACTCTCCAATTGTAAATACATATTACTCGTATTTCATTTAGAGATATATTTATGAAATTTCATTTATACTACGGAGTATGTATTAAATTACGAGCTAGACTGTTAAGAGTAATTTCATAATATTCCGTTCTTTAAATTTTTTTTAATGATACTTTGTTTTTTTTAAAATGTTTTGGTAAATTACAATATAATTGATAATATATTAATGGCATCTTAGTTTCCTCCAATTGTGTTAGACGATTAACTTTCTTTCTTAAACGTCAAATTACTTGTTTTGCTATCCTATTTGTTTTCGGAAAAGGTAAAAGCTAAGCTTCATAAATTCATAATAATAATAACATATCAACCCTAAAAATAGCTCAAAATAAACGAACAACGCAAAGTCGGAAACCCACTGAATACCAGCCCCACGTTTCCTACGTGGCCATACTGGCCACAAAAAGTACGATCATTATTCAGCTTATATACTTCTTGTGCAAGGCAATTCTTATTTAATTAATTTGACTTAATTACTTACCTTTTTTTGATTATTAATTAGAAAAATTTCTGTTAAAGAAGGCTATGAAGATTTTAAAAGGTCTTTTATATTTGACAAATATTCATTAACATGGCCAAATCCATGAATTAGAGTGTGATGATTTCAATGATTTTATAAAAATAATTATTGCTATCAAATCATCATAAAGACAATTTATAATTAAATTAAAAAAAAATTAAAATTTACGACTTTTAATTTAGCTTAAGACCTTAATTGTAAGTGTCAGTTAATCACAGCAAACGTATGTATTTTGACAAATGGCTGGCCAACAATTTCATTTTTATTCGGTGGTTATGAAAATAAATAAATCAATCAGTTATGAAAATAAATACAAAAAATACACCGTAATGCAACCGTTTTAGTGACTTAATTCCGACAATTTTGCGTGAAGCGATCTCATGCCTGCAAAACTTGCACTGATGTACGGTGAGACGGTATAGTTGAAAATAATTTAGTCTTTATGAAAATATATTTTGCGAGGTTTTTTTTTTTTTTTTTTTTTTTTTTAAGGTAAGGAGAACTCCCGTGCAAGTAGGGGGAAAATTAGGGATTCCACTTGCTTGGGGTGAGAATCGAATCCATCTCATAGGAGTGGAAGGAGGGCCTCCAACCACTAGGCCAATCTTGATTTTCATTAACTCCTCTCACAGGGGTGGAATGAGGGTCTCCAACCACTAGGTCAACCTTGATTCTCATTTTACGAGGTATTTGTATTATTAACAAAATGCATATTATCTATTTTAGCAACCTTTAGCTGTTATGATTAACAAAACACTATAGAGTATTCCATAAGATTCACATCTCAAATCATATATAGATAAACATCAACATCATCATTAAATTAATGTTTGATTTATCAACGTCTTAATTCCTAAAGTGTATACTATACAAACAACCCATTGTTTACTTAGCAACAAAGAGTCCATATCTTCTCAATTACCATTATCAGGTATTGAGATTCAAAGTCGTCACAAAATACCATAAAATCAAGTAGACAAAAACAATAAATTTTGCTAAATTTATGCAGCCAACAAAAGTATTAACCTTAATCCTTTACACACCCTTGCCCCACGTTTCTTACGTGGCTCTAACAACATACAATTATCAACCCCATTATTCAACTAATTTACTTCTCATGCAAGGATGCATTATTTTTAACAAACAATTAATTTTCAAGTATAACAGTTGATAATTAATACGTATTTCGTACTCCCTCCGTCCCCGAAACTTCGACTCTTTTGGATTGATTTCGCGGGTATTAAGAAGTTAAATTGGAAGTGTAAAAGTGTATGGGGAAACTAAGAAAAGTACATTGAAAAGGGAAATTTACATTGGAATTGCAAAAAAGTAGAGAGAGAAAGTAATAAAAGTATATAGAAAAAGCAAAATTTGCATGGGGAAGCTAATTTTGCACAAATATTATTGCAAATTAAAGGGTATTAAAATGCAAATGGGATGAACATTTTGGGACTAAAATTAGGCCATAAGGGTCGAAGTTTCGGGGACGGAGGGAGTATATTTTATTTACTTCTCATACAGGATACATTACTTTCTAATTAACAATTATTTTCCAAGTATAACAGTTAATAATGAATATGTATTCCGCATATTTTATTTACTCTTTTTTTTTATTTATTTATTTACTTCTCATGTAAGGATATATTTCTTTTCGATTAACAATTTTTTTTTCAAGTATAACAGTTAATAATTAATACATATTCCGTACATTTTATTTACTTCCCATGCAAGGATACATTACTTCCTAATTAACAATTATTTTCCAAGTATAATAGTTAATAATCAATACGTATTCCATATATTTTATTTACTTCTCATGCAAGGATACATTGCTTCCCAATTAATTAACAATTATTTTCCAAGTATACAGTTAATAATTAATACGTATTCCGTAAATATGATTGAATTCATGCATGATGATAAAACTAATTGTATTCTTAAAGTGTTACTCCACTTTTAAAGTTTTAACTATTTCCCATTATAGAATTGATGATAAAACTTACCCATACATGCATGATTGCCTGGCATGAAATATTTTATTTGAACTCGAAGTATATCCAAAATCATTTAATCCAATTTGAATGGGTTCAAATCGACCCGATCTAAATCGAACCGGCCCAATAATCAGTGAATGTAATGATGTTATTTTATTAAAATATGTATAGCGGCAATAACATCGAATATATTTCAACTGTACTGACTTAAAATGTTTTGAATGAGTATTACTCGAATTCGTCCAGACCAAATTCATCTGATCCAAATCCAATTCGAATAATCTGATTACCATCTTAAAAACTCAATTAATTTACGCAAATCTCTTAAACTCTCTAACTCAATTTATTTACTCATCTGATCTAAATCCAATCCAATCCAAATAATCTGATTACCATCTCAAAAACCCAATTAATTTACGTAAAATCTCATAAACTCTGTAACCCAATTAGTTTACATAAAATCTTATGCCGTTCAATTCACTTTCTTAAAAATTACATCGTATTTTTATAAAGGATCTTACTAACAAGCGCCCCGAGACATTAGATAAAAGATTAATATATTACTTAAAATAGTGTTAAATTCGGAATGCATGACAAAATCACGCGTCGATCGGTGTAATTAATATCAATTTCACTATAACATTTTCATATTTAGCTCTCTTATCTAACACCCCGGGGACGCTCGTTAGCTTTTGCCTTTTGTAAAAACGGAATATTTTACCTTACCAAAAAAAAAGTTACAAGGGGTAAAATAGTCAATTGAGCTCAACCTCCCAAGTGGCCCCACTTGATACCGCCTCTCTCCCCAAGTTTCAAAGTCCATAACATTTTAAATTAAAAAAATAACCTTTCTTAATTTAGGGTTCGATTGGCATTGCTGTGGTTTTCTGTTTTTTGGTTTTTTGTTTTTCAAAATCATATGATACATATCATATAATGAATAAAAAAAATTAGTTAAATTTATTAAAATTATGATAATTTTAAAAACTGACAACTGAAAAATAAAAGTACCTTTTTCTAGTTTCCTGTTTTTGATTTTTTATTTAAAAAAAAAAAAAGAAAGCTAAAAAAAAAAAAATACAAAACAATCCCTCAATAAACCGACGGCAATCTCAGAGTTAGATATTTCCTATTATCCACCCCAAAAATAAAAAAATAAAAAACAATTTGCGAATTAAACCGCCTAATTCAAATAAAATAAAAAACCATAAAACCGCCTTTAAAAAATAAAAACCACAGATAAAAACCGGAAACCAGTTACCTTTCAAGTCGGTTCATCTGTTACGTAAATTCTTTCCCTTTCTCTCTCCTCCTTATATAAATACAACCCACTATTTTCAATCTTTTATTATTTCCGACAATTTCATATTACTTTCATGAAACTAATTTTCTGAAATAATCACAATAATATCAATAAATTTCAAATTCAGATGAACTTTTGAATTTCATTTCATCATAAATTCTCAAATCAAAACTCTTTGATTTTCTGCAAATTTTTCTGTGATAATAATGGAAGCTTACAATGTCCAATACCTTGAATTCCCCAAGAATTTCATCACCGTCGATTACGACAATGATTCGTCCTCCGTCTCCGATTGCGAAAGCGGCATCACCGGCGGAACCGGCGGCGGTACGGCGGCGGTGACGTCATCATCTTCCTCCGGTGACCGTCATCGAGGAATTTTCGATGAATCTCTGGCTATTGAGCTCAGTGACGATGAAAGATCCTCCGAGGTGATTCGCCGGAGATTTCTCTCGGCAATGGAGGATGAAACGGAGGTTGTTTCCGTTCATCGGAGGAATTGGTCGTCGGATTTTTCGGCTCAAGCTAGGGTTCAGTCGTTTCAGTTTCACTCCAAAGGTTTGGCTGCTAAGCTTGGCGGCGGCGTTAATGGCGGTGATTCTTCCTCCGCCATTAAATTCGCTTGGTATGGCGGTTCTAAAGAGAGAATTCAGCGCATTTTAGCTCGCGGTTTTAGCTTCCTTGACCTCGAACACAACAATAATGCCGCCATTTTTCTCTCTCCTGATCATTCCCCTGCTCAAAGGTAATAATCAAAATCAACTGTTCATCTTAATTTTAGCAATTATTACTCAATTTAATTCAATCACAATTTATTTCTGATTTTTCTGATTATTTATTTTGATTGAATTTTGTAGTGTTGAGAAAGCAATTCCAGACGAAAATGGAGTTCGACATTTGCTACTATGCCGAGTTCTACTCGGAAAATCGGAGTTAATTCACTCAAACTCAGCTCAAACAGAACCAAGTTCCGACGAATTTGATTCAGGTGTTGATGATTTTGAGAATCCAAACAAGTACATAATCTGGAGTACTAATATGAATTCACACATTTTGCCTGAATATGTTGTTAGTTTCATAACTCCACCGCCTTCTTCTCCTTCAAGAGGTAAATCCCACCGTTCCTTTTTCGGCCCGTCCTCGTATAATTGTCACGTATACTATTTTGGGTCGTATTAATTAGATTTTCTTGTGTTTATAACAGGGAATTCGCAAAATCGGGTGAAAATGCCAGCATCCCCTTGGATTTCTTTTCCAGCATTAATCTCAGTTTTGGGGAAATTCTTGCCTGCTGATGCTATTTCCTTGATCAGCAAGTATCATTTGGAGTATAAAGTATGTCTTTAACAACTTTAATTATTATTAATTTAATATAATTTAATTTTAATCATTATTACTTTGATTTTTTTTTTATTTTTTTTTTTAATTTTTATTAAGCTAATTGTATTTATTTTATTTTTGTTTGTTTTTTTTTCAGGAAAAGAGGATTTCAAGACCAGAGCTTATAAAAATAGTGAGACAGATAGCAGGGGATAAGCTGCTGATTGCTGTAATTAAATCTTGTAAAGGCGCTAAGGTAAACATTTTTAATTTTCAGTCCTTTCGGTTATATGGTTTAAATGCATGATAAAATCATATGTCCGTTTTATGGATTCGGAATTGCATGATAATATTATGTTTAGAGATTAAGGAATCAATTAAAGTCTTAATTTTATAAGTGGATTTGACTTAGAGTTTAAGAAATGCATGATTAAAATTATATGTTTATTTTATGGATTCCGAATTGTATGATAAAATCATGATTAGAGTTTACAGGTATTAGAATGGATAATAAAATCATGTGTCACTTTTTACGGGTTTTTGGTATACATGTATGCATCATTTAAAGATCCTATGTTTGGATTGAAAAATTAAAGTCGGTTAAGAGATGTTTAAATATTTTAATAATAGGTCGGCATCTGGTTCATGTTCATACAAATCCGTATAAAAATAAGTATTTATTATTAAGGGATTAAATTCGGGGTACTTATTCAACACACTTTTAAGAGTAGAATCAGATTCAGATTATATTTGACAAATGTACATGTATTTTATAAATTATAGTACTCTCAATTTGACAAATTGTGCAAATTGGGGAAATGCATTATTGTCGTGAGCTTGATACACCTTATCGATTACTTTTGGTGGTTGCTACTTGCTTGCATGCTTTTCGGTGTTCCAGTCGTTGTTTTCGATCAATTCTGATTTTTTTTTTCCCTACATCTATATTCGGCGCGTCTTTTTTATACTTAATATAGAAGATAACTAACTTCGCTGGTAAAGAGTTGGGTGGACGGGTAGGTCAAATCTCATTTGTAGCACTGAATTATATGTATGACGTACTTTACATTGGAATGTTAATCAAATTAGATACAACTTAAACAAATGATTTTGAGGTAGTCTTTATTTTGTGATTATATGCATATCACGTTTAAAAATCACGGCATTATTAACTAAGATTGTTTAGATGTAAGATTGCATATATTGACTTTATGAATGAGATTTTTTCTTAGTTCGTGTATAGTCGGTCGTGATTTTGTTTATACGTGGTCAATATAGAATTATTATACGATAATTTTTTTTCTTCTTACGCAGGAATTGAAGATGCCATTTGGTTTCTTTCGCAGTAGGAACACTAACAAGGACTAGAAAGCTAAAAAAAATTGAAATTTTTTTGGGGGTAAAGGAACGAAGTTGTAACGCATGAAGAGTGTTATAGGGTTTAATTCATGTCATTTTGATTTGTTACAGTTGTAAATTTGTATTTTGGGAAATGGGTGGGGCGGCCATGGATCGGATATGATAAAATAGAAGAAGAATTAACATGAATGGGATACATGATTAGCTTTAGTTTGTAGTGATCCTAAATGCTCAAAGAGCATATGATGTAGTGGTTGTTTCTGTATTGATAGATTAGAGCATATACTTGTTTCAAATCTTGTAATAGAACAATCTTTTCACTACTGTGAAAGAAAAACAATGAAAAGGGATGACTTTGATGACAATTCTTGAACTTTCTTCTACTTTCGTTTCCCATTTTTTTTGGGTTTTGGCTGTAGTTACTAGTTAGTATCTACTCTGTATAAGACCATTAATATACGGATGTATAATTATCTTACATTACATTATAAATAACCAATTTAAATAAATAAAATTTAAGATATTTTCAATATTCTTGCTATTTTAGTGTCATAAGTTCATAACGTTATATTGATTGAGATTGATATAACTCCCTGCATCTTATCTGAAAGGACTAAAATGATACATGGTATATGTCATCTATCTTATCTGAAACTGATACATAAAGCACATTACCAGTATATATCTTATTCAAAACGATACATACATAAATCGTTATTCAATATATCTTATTCAAAACGACAGATATTTTATCTATACGGTGACACATGAAATATTATGAGCAAAAAAACGTATTTGGTGTCTTGGTATATCTTATCTAAAACGATACGGAGTACATTAAAGATTAGTGATAAGACAAGATTCACACGGAGTCACTTTAAACAAACAAGACACATGACACACCAACACAAGAGCATATGGGAGGTTTAAGAAATTAATATAGAAATAGATAGATAGATAGAAGTAGACCTCAACACTTAATGAAGGGATAATTAAATTGAAGCAATATTATTAAAAGAAGTAAACATGAAAAAACGGTCAATGAACAACCTCACTATACTCATCAAGGGGCACGTGAAGAGAGAGAGAGAGAGAGAGCAGGCAAGGGGCAGCAGAGCAGTTGCACAACGCCCTGAGAACCCGTCCATAATGTCGAGCCCACCCACAGCAGCTGGCCAAAACCGTGGGTGGGGGGACTCGTGTTAAAACCGTGTGTTTATGTTACTAGTTTTTTTTTTATTTGTTGTTTTAATTATGTAAGTATTAATGTATGGTATATTGGTATGGGAGATGATTTTATGATTATGATCACTTGTGGTGTGGTCCAACTGAATCTATTATATTAGTTTTATTGGAGGGCTCTAATAACATCAATTATTTGCCCAACTTGGGTTATCATATATTCAATTGGATTGTTGGATTATTAGCTGTGGTTTTTCTTTTTTGTGACTAAGTTATCAGCTGTGGTGTGGTTACTTATTAATTTGGTGACTATGATTTTTTTTTTTTTTTTTTTTTTTTGTCAATTACTATTAAAATAGCAAATTAAATTATTATATCTTGAACATTTTACTTCTTTAATTGATAATCTTAACCGTTTATGCAGCCACAAGTTCACAAAGTGGTAGAAATATTATCTTAAAATATAGTCTATTCACTTTGATTCTCATGTATTTAAACTCATCTGAATTTATTAGAAATTATCTAAAATTATTTGAACTTAAAATTTATTTTCTCCTGTTTATTTTTATAAGAAGATATTATTAACCCTAATTTAAGGTTATTTTTCCTTAAATAATTGAAAATAAGATAACAATAGGTAGTACGGAGTATTAAACTATACTCTATTCACTATTTGGTACACGTGGGTTGATTCTTTTGCCTTTTTATATATATTTAAGTTGATATATGTGACAAACTCAAAGAGACAAACCATAGATAAATGATATCACATAATCAAAGAACTTGTTCTAGATTGTAATTTGCTCCTTGTTGAATGAACTTCTTGTCCAAAAAAAAAGAAAAAAAAAAAAAAAAAAAAAGAATTGGAGAGATTACTTGGTATGAAGCCGACTCTAGCAAATCCAGTTACACCATTGGGCTGACAAGTAGCATACAAGCCCATTGTTACTTATCAGCCTACTCCAATTACAATTCTAGTATTCTACATTTTATGTTTGGGGTCTTCATCTTATGAAGCTACAGTTTTCTATTCTAATCCCTAAATCTGTGCTCTTTTATCTTACATATTTTAACACAGTTCTATGGACTATCGAGAGCTGTATAACACCCTTCTTATCTCTAAATCCAGAAATTTATCTTTCGAAAATATTTTCATGGGGGTTTAGTGGATGCTTTGCACGAGTATAAAAAAATTGGATGAACTTTGTTAAGAGAGTCATAATTTACACTTATATAACAGTATTCTCAACCTTAATTGGTACCAGTGAGTGCCTGAGATAGTGTCTTCAACTCCTTCACAAGGTAGACGAGAATAGTTTCCTTCAAAGAAGCCTTGCAAGGTCATCCTCAAAATCATTCAACTCGAGAAAATCAGGTGTTGGCCATGGTTCGGGGTTCAAATTAACGATTTTGATTCTTATAGGTTACACCCATATCATGCAAATTATGCTTCTAGGAACTGTCAATGAATCAGAACAAGATTAAATGAATATTTCTCTGATTATACATATGCCAACATTACAATAAATTGTGTATTCCCCTTCCTACTTTAAAGAGATTTCCACTTTACAAGTTCAATTGGTTTGCCATGGAAAAAATGGTGGGAAAAAAAAAAACAAAAAAAAAAAAAAAAAGAGGAAAAAGAAAAGGAAAAGTATTGATCCACCAATAAAACTACTGCCTCAGAGCACTGCGTACCTAACATAGACGCAGTTTTTTCCTAACTGTTTGTATTGTTGTTGACGGATTCTTTCTCCCTCCAAACTGCATGTACTTCATCAGTTCGAAATCTTTGTGTAAATGTTGATTCCTCGAGGGGGGTAGATAATCCTTGAGCATAAGCAAGAAGACCAGTGTATGCAATCATGGCTCCATTGTCAATGCAATATCTATCGTCAGTAGAATATAACCGCCCACCTCTCTCAGAACACATTATCCTCATCATCTCTTGCAATCGCTCATTACAACCAACACCCCCAACAATGAGAACATCTTTTGCATCACAATGAGCCATGGCTCTTTCTGTTATTTCAACAAGCATTGCGAAGAGAGTTTCCTAGGACACCAACCACCAGATACAAAGAAATTAATTCACAGATTTCAAACTTTTCAGATAGTCATATAACAAATTAAAAAAAATTTAATAAATGAATAAAATAAAATAAAATTACGAGTCATCACAGCAGACACGAAACAAGCACGTACTTGCAGAGAGTAGCACAAGTCAGCAGGTGTGCATTCATTGCTTTTAAGCTTCTCCTCAGCTGTAGTTTCGATGTAGCTCAATATGCCACTAAATGAAACGTCCATTCCCTTTACAGCATATGGTAGATCTATGAATTTTTCACCTTTCTTAGCAAGCTGGGCATAAACAGAAAAAGGCCAGTTAACAATTTACAGATACAAAGCACAGAAAATGACAACCACATCCAATTTGGATCCCTCTGTTATATTTGGAGATGTCTAATTGTATGCAATCTCACCCCTTAAACAATCAAAACAAAAACAAAAGAGATTGAAAATTCAGAAAACTAATAACAGAAGTTAAGTTATGGACAATAAAAAAATAGAATTAAAATATCAGGATGCAAAAGAGGAGCATGACAAGTTGATTACAATATCATACCACTCTATCTAGAGCACACCACCAAAGATGGGAAAGCACGTATTTTGTATATGAAAGTATAATTTTTCTTTGCTTCCAGCCTAAATTCTTCTATTTTATTTGAGGTGAGAGTATCTTGAGGAAAGTATTTGTAAATTGTTAACTTTCTCTGTTCTTTGCAAGTGACTGCATAAAGTTGAGCAGTGCAACAATGAATGCTCAAAGCTTACACCAAAACTAGAAACTCAAAGTTCTAAACATTTGGCCACTTATCGTGCACGATAAAGGAATCCTACCTGTAGATGACCTTCACTATAAACTGTGAATAATGTATTGGAGTGATGATTTTCATCTACACAGAGCAACTAACCAACAAATTAAATCACAAAATTGACTACGTTTACATTATCACAAATAATGCAGTTGTTATACTCCTATATATCTTCAACACAAACAAAGAATGGGAGATAACACAATCAATAGACATTTAGTTAACAGGAGGAGCTCATTCTACCTGCTCAATGTTATATCCTGGACTAGGATCATTTGAAAGTGTCAAAACTCGAGCAAAGCGATCCAAGCAATTACCAACAGCAATATCAATGGTCTCCCCAAAAATCCGATACCTCCCCTCACTATACGCGATCACTTGTGTATTACCCCCACTAACATACAGCACAACAGGATCAACCGCTCCTGTAACAATCCTCCCCATCTCAATATGAGCAACACAGTGATTAACACCAACAATCGGCTTCTTCCACAGCTGTGAAAGAACCCTTACCACAACCGCGGAAACTTGCAAGGGAGCACCCATTCCCGGGCCTTTGGTATAACACAGACAGTCAATATCATCCGGGGTTATTCCAGCCGTCGTAAGAGCAGATTTCACAAGGGGCAGGACATGTTCAAGGTGATGGTGGGCGGTTTCTCGGGGAAGAAACCCATGTCCTGGAGGGGTAATGTAGGTGTGTCTAGGGTTCGATAAAATGGTTCCATCTAGGGTTACAACACCAACACCAATCTTATTAGCTGAACCTTCAAAACCAAGGGCAATCATTCTTTTGCTCATCTTTTACCCACAAATTGATGCCCACTAAAGCCCTAAAACATTGAAACTTTACACAAATGAGTTCTTCATCAGATCAATCACTGATAAATTACTCCACATTAGTTCCATAATTTGCAAAAAACAAACAGATTAATTGCAATAGAATCCGGGAAAATGTTATTTTTTTTCCAAAATAATCAATCTAAGTTAACTGTTGAAACTTCAAATCATGGGTATAGCATTGTAGCAACAATTTAAAGCAGTTAAGTTAAAAGGGAGATTCTTGTGAATGAAATTATAGTAGCAATTTACAAATGAAAATGAAACCAAAAAATGGAATGAATCAAAGAAGAGAGATAGAGAAAGTAAAATACCCAGATGAGTTGCAGAGCAGAGGAGGAGAAATGTGGGACGATAACGCCGCCGACCAACTGAAGTGGTACAAGCCGTACAACGTAAGGACTGAGGAATGAAACTACATAAAATCTGCGAGTAATTTGAAGTACAAGTAGAAGATAACAAGGTTAACGGATTAGGGATATTCTCAATAGGATTTCACTTTTGACTCGTACTCTTCGTTCTATTTGACTTTTCACGGTCTTCAAGACGCGTGTTTAAACGTATATATCTCAATTTCTATAAGAGCATCTACAGTGGTTAACTATATGTGTTTTTAGCTAGCAATTGCCATATCATTATTTTCTTAGTTAAAATAAAATACATCTAAACTACAACCTTCACAATGGTTAATTACTTATTTTTATAATTGGGAATAATAATAATAAACCAAAAAAAATAAAATTAAAAATATTAAACAAATTAATATAAGTGCATTGGATGGAGCAAAACTTGTAGCTCCGTGGAGCTACAAGGATTGGCCTTAGCTACAACCTTTGTAGCTCCACAATGGTGAGCATATAGCTCTTACTATTTATAAATTGCAAGCAAGTTCTTTTATACTACCATTGTGGTCTATAGATACTCTAATGAGATATTTTAACAAGACCTCACATGAATATATTATCACTTATAAATTATCGAAAATTTATGGTCAAAGTCTTATAAGTTTTACCCATAAAATTATAATGGGCCAAAAAATAAGGGACGAAGAGAGTATTACAATATTACACCATTATTGGTGGTCAATTTTATTTTTTCGATTATCAGCAGCCCTTAAACTTTCACAATTTTTCAATCGTGACGTTGAAAGGATGAATTTTTTGTTTTGTTTTGTTTTTTTTTTTTTTTACACAAAGGATGAATTTTTTGTTAAAATTGTTAAGGTTAACATTTTCCATTTAATAAACACGAGTGTTTTGTTGGCATGTTTAATTAAATATGTAGGAAATTTTTGACACTAACTCACTTTTTTTTATCTATTTAATCGTTTTATAAAAATATAGGTCAAACTTTTAAAATTTTGACCGTAAATTATTAAATTGTCGTTAATCTATAAGTGATAATATATTCATGTGGGATATTGTTGGAATCGTCTCATTGTATAGTTTATTAATATCAAATTTTAATAAATTTTACGCGTATTGAAATGGAGATATATATACGTTTGAAGACGCGTCTTAGAGACCGTGAAAAGCCAAATGAGGCAAAAAATAAGGGACAAAGAGAATATATATATATATATATATATATATATATATATATATATATATATATATATATATATATATATATATATATATAATTCAGCGCGTTTTATGTGTACATGGTTGGCCATACCGTGTGATCGGGGTTACTTATTTAGGGGTTAGTCGGTCGGTCATGGGTTACTTATTTAGGAGTTACTCGATCAGAGGTTACTCGGTCGGTTAGGGGTTACTCGATCGGTCAGGGGGTTACTGTGTGACCGGCTACATATAAAACTTTGGCAAAACAGTTAGGTTCGTTTAAAATATTTATCACTAATTTCATAATTTATTGGTTTTTTTTTCTTAGGCGAGTTAAGTCGTATTAACTTCGTATTCGAGATCTCATCAACAACCCACCCCTGTTTTAATAATCAAACGTGTTGTTTCGTATTGCCCCTTTCAAGTGAATTTTTCAGAGTATTAGGAGTGACATTCAAGCCAATTAATTATTTTTTTAACAACGTTTTAATTAATTTGAGAGTTTGATCATTAGTTTTCTATTCGAGTTCATATCACTCCTATAGACAAGAAAATCGATCGCCTAACAACTAACTTTATTTAACTCAGGGCTTCGTGGTGAAAATATCCTTTTTTTTTTTTTTTTTTCTTTTTTTGACAAGGAAAATATCCTTATTAATTACTTCCCATAATCTTAAGAGTCTTGTCTAATAGCTCGTTAAAATACAAATCGAATTAACCTAAATAATATTGATATCATTGAATGAAAGACATTTGGGCACTTATAATCAATCATCCACTACAAGATGTAAATTCTTAATACAAGTATTAAACAACCTTGACCAATAATGGAATTGTTTTTTATCTTTTCTGAATAATTTCAGATTTATTAATTAGTTTGCATCACTCTAGACAAATTTCCATAATGGAACTTCCATTGATGTAAAACTTGATTGATTCTCAATCAAAATCAACAAATTTGCTATATTGGCGTTTTTCGAATCAACATGCAACCATACACCAACAACAATCAGTTTTGCAAATCTGCAAGATGAATCTTTTCCAAATTTGTATCCACGCACACAATGACACAAATAAACATCACAAACAAACAAATTTAACTAAACTAATTAATATTCCCAGATTTCCCACCATGATCAAGGAAACTTGCTAACTATAATGATGACACCTCATGCCTTAGGTTTATCTATATGTAGAGGTGTCAAAACCTGACCCAATAGACTCAATCCCAAAAACACCCGATGCAAATTTTGACTTGCACAGACACAATAATATAGCATGATCACTCAAGTTTGAAATAGATCCGACCTGACCTCACGGAACCTGGCCTAGACATCTCTAACTAAATGGTGTTTAGATTTAAAGAGAGATTTGATTATGGTTTTCTTAAGTATGATCGTATACTGGGCTTATATATCATGGATAAATTTATCGATGGTTGTCCCTAAGGTGTGTGCAGTGGCTAGATTTGAAGGAAGAAGAGTTCAAAAGCTAAGGGAGAAGTTTTTTTAGGGTTGTTTTTTTCACTTAAGTTTAATTTTAGGCTGACTTATCATTGACAAATTTGTCGATGGCAGCCTTTGTTATATGTGGCTCAATATTGAATAGAGAAGACTCTAGAAGATTGGTTTTTATCAGTTTTTTTTAATCGGGTTCGATTTAGGCTAAATTTTAAAAATTTAAAATACTGAATATTTCTTATGTCAATTAGGAAACTAGAATTTGTCAAAAAAAAAAATAAAAAAATAGGAAACTATAAGTTGAAGATTTTGTTGTTATTTGTTTTTTTTTTTTTTTTTTTTTTTTAATTATCATTATTGTAGTGTTTAATAATTATACACCAAGTACTCTTTCTAAAAAAAAAAAGTACTTTTGCCTTCACATGCAAGTATGAAAATTGTACTGTTTCTATATATAGTATAGAACTTTAAAATTCTAATCAATGACGTGTAAAATATTATAAAAAAATAATAAAAACAATCCGACCATTAGGAAAGTCGGTCATATATGTCGACTTACGTGGCCCCCGCGTTTCCTATTGGATAACCGCCTTATATAAATGCTATTTCCTCTTACTTATCGTCCAAGTCTAACTCGAATTGCATGCTTATATATATATATATATATGTTCTTAATCCAAAACAATGTTACAATATATTTTATAAAACTTGTAACATTTTGTTCACCACTATAAACGATCGATAACTGCTGTTTTATTCACAATGGAGGAGATTCAATTCAATGGTGGCGTATTCGCTGAAAACTACGATGATGAACAACTTTCGGATTGCGAAAGTTGTGTTAGTGGTGAATCTAACGATGAAAGCAATGACAGCATTGAAAGGTCGTTATTTGGCGATGATTTGGTTAAGGTGAATGAAGATGTCGCGATTTTTGATATTATTGGACATAAGTTTTTGTCGACTTTGGTTGATTACGATCATGAAAAGAAAAGTAGTACCACTATTGCGGCAATTCATACTATGAATTGGAAAAATTCTCGTATCAAGCAAGCAAGGTTTCGAAGTTTTGATATTTTCCGCGAAGCATTAGTGGGAATAAATAATAATAACAATTATGAAGATGGTAGTGTTACTAGTTTCATGAAATATGCTTGGTATTGTGATTCAAAAGAAGAGATTCAAAGGATTGTTTCCAATGGTTTTGGTCATCATCACTTCCGTAATCGTGCTGGGATATGTTTAGCTCCCCTTAATTCTCTGGCTCAAAGGTAACATCTTTTCTTGTGAATCTTAAATACTTTCAAATTTAATATTTTCATACTTTAAAATACTACGTTATTATTTAGATTTTTAGCATACCTATATTTTAATTGATACTTTCGGACTCAATATTTTGGGCTAAGTCTAATGACTTTAATGGATTTTAAGCTAAATTTTATGACTTTAATGTATTTTGGGTTAAATTAAATTGGATTGTGTGATTTTTGATTGAGTTAAAAGAGACCTTACATGTGAGAGGAGTGTTACTAAATCCTTCCCAAATAATACATGTAAGCGAGTGTTTTATGTTGTTAAAAGTTTAGAACTTTAAACGGCCTAGACCCGTATGTGACAGTGATCAATAATTCATAATATTTTTGTTTATATGTATATATTGCATGGAGTACTCATTGAAATTAATTAATCTTATGCAGTGTGCAAAATTGTATTGTGGACGATGATGGGCTTAAACATGCATTACTTTGCCGAGTTCTACTAGAAAATGTGGGTGATGAATCTGATGATGATGTAGATGGTGTTTCTCAAAAGGAGTATCTTGTTTGGAGTAACAAGATGAATACACATATCTTGCCAGAATATGTTGTTTCTTTCACGACTGTTCTATGCTTGGAGGGTAAGCAATTGACCCACTCTTTTGTTCTTTAAATATTGTTAATTTGTTTCTATTAATTATATTGGCAAAGAAGTGTACAAATTTTCATTGATTGGAAATAAAATGATCAGAATTGATTTTAACCTATTGGAACTGATATCTGCTAATTGAGATTGAAATTGATTGTTATATGATACCGAGTTTTATAAAAATGCCGTATGTATATCAGAATTGATTATCCGTGGTTAGAAACAATATAGTTGTGAAATTCAAAACTTGTGATAATTTAATTCATGCGATTCTGTATATGCTTTAGGAATTCCAAAGGATGAACACATATGGAAGAAATCGGAATCTTCTCTTTGGATGCCATTTTCAACTTTGATATCAGTAATGTCCAATTTCTTGCCATCAAGGACAATGGTTATGATTATTGAGCATCACAAGGATTTTAAGGTACATATTGCATCCCTTAATTATTATTTTTGTTGTTTGTGTGTGGTTATATTGTTTATTTTCTTGTTTTGTTACATGATTATTTTTGTAGGAAAGAAAGATATCACGTCAAGATTTTATAAAAACTCTCAAACGATGTGTTGGAAACGATTTCTTGATCAGAATACTCAAATATTGTGGAGCAAAGGTAGTGTTTCCTCATTAGAAAGGCGTGAGACATCTAAAGATATAGCTACGCAATATCTTTTTTCTTTTTTTCCCCTCATTTTCTGTATATTTTTTAATTGAACAAAAGGGTTTTTTTGATAAATACTTCAACATTTTTGAAGAGAAAAATGAGTTAATTCTTTCAATAGATTCGTGGCTCATTAAGTGACAAGTGCAAATTTTGGTTAGTATTGATTGTAAGGAGAAAAACATGTAATATGTATGAGGATTTATGACATATTGTGCTTGTAATGCATATTGTATATCATAAATTATTATTTGTATAAAGCAAATTATATTATTTATTGTTTAGAGTTGGGAAGCACGCGATTTCTTTTTTATTTTACATTTTTTTCCCTTTTTTTTTTTTTTTGCAAGGAATGAAAAACACAGTTGATTATAAGTGGAAAAAAAGGTTTATTAGCGCTTGAAAAAAAAGTGGCTAGATGAACTTCGATGATGGGCAACGAGAGAGAAGATGATAGATAGTTTTACTTTAAATTAAAGGTCTTATATAAATTTGTTAATGCTAGTATCTTATCATTGCAATAAACTTTACATTGTATAATTATTGAATTCGGATCTATAGTTGAATTTTATTTTTTTATTTAATTTTTTTTTCATGTATGCACTTAGTGCAAATAATTTTTTTTTGACATGTAGTGCAAATAATCTTGTTAACCTTAAGAGAGAATTTTAATTGAAAAAAAAAATAAAAAAACCTATACTATAGGAGTAAGTCATTTGCAAATTAAAAATTAAAGAGGCTTTGACGACCTATTAGCAAAAACTTATGGTCTGTAGTACTTTGCTACTGTGCGTGGTATTTTCACGTCTATAAATGATGAAATTTTCACGTCTATATATGATGAAGTATTTTGCAATTTATAATAACAAAGATATACAAATGAACTGAACTGTCATTTATATGATAAGCCTAAGATTTTTCTCGATGATAATTTTGAAAGATTTTTTTTATTGATTTCAAACAATGCAAATACATGTTATGATCAGAATGATCTTACTCTATAAAAAAATATATTTTTGTGATATATTTTTCATTTACATTAGTTAAAAGATTATATCATATATTTGGTCTAATTTTATCTTATAGAAAGTTGTAAATGGTTGGAATTGTATCATAAAAAACTGAAATTGAGGGATTATAAATAGTTATAGGATCCCTTTCCTTAATTACTTGATTTTGTATATTAGTTGCCACCTTGTAATACTATTTAATTGAATAAAATTATCTTTCACCAAAAAAATTAAAAATATTAATCAATAACTTAACGCTAAAATAGACGTTGGGAGTAACACGTGTCACATCCTGGTGCTGTTTTTTCACTCCAAAACTCCCCCTCTTTTTAACCAAAAAAAAAAAAAATTAGGATTTTTTTACTTTTACCACCAAAAAAAAAAAAAAATCAAAAAAATTGTTTTTTTTACCAACTTTTATTTTACCACCAAAGAAAAATTTAAAAATTGTTACTACCTGTCGTCAAAAAAACCTAACGGAATTTTTTAAATTCTTCGATTTTTGTGCCAAACACATGGTTTTTAGGGGTTTAGGGGGCATTTGGCCCTTTGGATCAAATTTGAGGTCAGAATTGACAAAAAATGATCGGAAATGCCTCGTTTTGCGAATTTAAAAGTACCTCGATTTGCGTGAAACACGCTAAACGAAGCATTTCCGATCATTTTTTCTCAATTCTGACCTCAAAATAGTCCCATAGATCCAATGTGCACCCCTAAACCTACGAAGAACATATTTTGCACACAAAATCGATGATTTTTTTTTAAAACGTTAAATTTAACGGTTTTCTTGACGGTAGGTGGTACAAAACAATTTAGAGAATTTTTTTAGTGGTAAAATAAATGTTTTAGAAGTTTTGGTGGTAAAAAACAATATTTAGAATTTTTTAGTGGTAAAATAAAAGTTTTAGAATTTTTGGTGGTAAAAAACAATTTTTAGAATTTTTTTTAGTGGTAAAATAAAAGTTTTAGAAGTTTTGGTGGTAAAAAACAATTTTTTGATTTTTTTTTAATGGTAAAATAAAAGTTTTAGAGGTTTTGGTGGTAAAAAACAATTTTTTGATTTTTTTTTTGGTAAAAGTCAAAAAATCCTTTCTTTTTTTTTTTTTTCCTCCTAATATTTGATACAACTATCATAATAATAATAATCCAAAAATTTTCCCGCCCCTAATTCCATTCTTCTTTTGATTTTTTTTTTTTGTTTGTTTTAATTGCAAATCTTTATCACAATATAACCTACAACATTTTCTTCCTATATTGCAAGATACGATATTAGAAGATTATCCAAGATTACTACGAAGTATATATTATAATTATTATTTTTATTTGGAAAAATAGTTTATTTCAATCAAAATGAAAATTCACAGCAAGCAAAGAGGAAATCATTTTTTATTTGTAAAATATTACAATGTATACATACATCTATAACCTTAACATCTTTGGTATGGCCGTATGGGTGCAAGTTTTTTAAATTCATTTAAAAATACGAGTTTTTTGTTTGACAGATTGTTGTTGAATTAACATTATAATTCATCATAAAATTTAGTAAAAATCGTACGTGGCACGGATTTTAATCTAGTATATATAATTATCATCACCTTCACATGGTAAATGAGCAGAGAAATATCTAAATTTTTTTCCCCTCTTCCCTTTTCACTCAAACTCATCCTACCATGGCTTCTAATACCATAATCTCTAACAACTGCCAACATTATGGCCAGTGGCTTCTTGATAACGGCACCACTCACCATGACACTCACAAAATGACCAACTTATCCCTACAACAACCTTATAATGGAACCGAAGAGATTATACAAATATACAATGTCATTAAACTATTGAGATTCAAAATAAACTGGACCCAATCAATAAATTAAAGCCCTTGTTGGGGAATCCAACTTCATATTGAATTGGGCCAAGGAGATAACGCTCAGGCCTTTAGCCCAAATGTTGGCATGTTGCCCTTTCTTTTCTCTAACCTAACCCATCAACATTCAACCAAGGAGACTCCTTTTATATTTTCCCAATTAACGAATTATGATTCTATTAGTGACTTCAAGTATTTGACTTAATTTTATCTCTAATAACAATTAAACTTGGCATTATTCAAGGGTACTCTGATGGCCTACCGAACACTATAGAAAATCTAAATAACATGAGCCTAACCCGGTAAAAGTACTTTTTGATAAATCGCATGCCATGTTGAGCCACCGCTGTATTGGGCATTATCAAACGCAAAAATGAATAGCCCCGCTTGAAAAAAGCATACGTGAATTGTGTAGTGGATATTATATTTTGAGAATGATATGGGCATTAATTTTCAGGTCGTGCCTAACCAACACCAAAACCAAAAACATTACTATTTTAGTACGAGCACAATGTTGTGCGAAGTACCAATTCTAGCTAGTAAACAACACATTACACAGTAGCTACTTCCTTGCTTCATTTGGAGATTAATTAGGCATGTTGTATCACCTCTTATGATGTCACATAATTTAGCATAAATCACTCACTAATGTTCTTTGAGTTTTAATTTAAACATTTCCCTATTTTTACGAATGTGTATTTGTGTTGGTTTGAAAGGATCTTATTATCACACATTATAAATATTATACCCGCCAAAAAAATTACCAAGTAAATTAATTAACATACTATAAACTTATAATCAATTCAAACTACAGTTGTATTGCATTAATAATAATTAAAAAAAAAAACACACACACTTGTATACTCCGTGATAAACTCATATTATGGGGCTAATTAGTAGTTTGACTATTGAACACAAAGATGTGAGTGTGAAACATCTATAAATGGAGAAATGGGAATGTAGGAAACTTGACTATGTATGGCATCAACATGAAAATTAATTATACTGTGGTCTACTTAATCCATGACATATTTGGGCTATTATATTGTTAATGACATTTTTAAAATCATAAGTTCTTTTTGACCTAGTTTGGATCAACACCTATTTTGCAAGACTTGACACAAGATATTATACGTATTTAATTTATACTTAATTATTTTGTTTATATGTAACTTTAGAATGGTTTGTTCACTTATTGATTAGTTTTGTACTTTTTTAATGTATTACTCCGTACTACTTTTTTTTTTTTTTTTTTTTTTTTTATAGGAAATTATGTATTACTAATATACCATCAAGAAATTTGACAATGTTTATAGATTGAGCTAGAATATCTTTTGTTATTAATATACTCTGTATTATGTAACCATGTGAGATTTTGAATGTATGAGCAAGTTTGTTCCATATTTATCCTTTTTTCATCACTTAGTTTCTCAATATATACGAAATATTATACTAGTAAATGTAATTATATAGATCAGATGATTGCAGTATTATATTACAGGCTTTACAAGTTAAAGGAACGGTATATTTTTTTGAGTATTTGTGTCCGTCTAACTTTGTTAATACTGATATTTAAAAGGAGTTATAATATAAACCCGTGTAGAATAGACTCAAACTTGTGAAGTATGGCTTGAAAAGACTAGTAGGTGGTCGCTTAATTCCTTAACATCCCTCTTGTTTGGTTGCGGACTCATTCTTCACACTTCACATATGTTCCTTGCAAAATTATAAAATGAACTTCTAGAAGGGTCAAACCTAAAGCCGTCAAATATAATTATTAGGTAAACGATAAGATTTTTAAGTAATGTTTTTCAATTATTCTATTGGTTTGGCAAAATGCATGACAAATATATTAATAAATAATTGTCGAAACTATTAACATCACAAATCTTTTTGGCCAAGCTATAAGAATTCTTGGGGACAAAGATTTGGCATTTTTCATTGACTTTGACATTTTCATATCCTCGTGAGCTGCTCATCCTTGTATCTAGGAAAATGTATCTCATGCTAACAACAAATAATATTCCAACTTTAGTTTATTGTTGATTTTGTGTGCTTAAAATGGCTAAAAAAAAAATTGTAACAAAAATATTCAGGGGATACACTGTTTTCTTTTATCTTTAAAATGAAAATTAACTCTCCATGAAATAAATATGGAGAGAAACTGAGCAATAATTCTCTAACAACAATAAATCACCCAATCAAAATAATTAATTTTAAAATAATATACTTATTTGAATAAGATTTTGACAGATCCTAAATCTTTAGCTATATATTTAATTATTTTTAACAATATAAATAACAATGAGTAAAGTTTTCAAATAATTACAATCTATAATATTATTAAAACACAATGGGACAACATGCTACCGCCATGTGTCACAACTCTCTCGATATGATTTGGCGCCACATCATCGCTATGTGTCATCCTATGTGTCATTACTCTAAAAAAATTCATATGTGTAACTTTCATGCTCAATTTTCCCCTAAAATAATGTAACTTCTAAGTAATTGCACAATAAACTACAGTTTAATTTGTAAGAAATTAATCACATATTAATTGTTATTGATTCCTTGGATGCTAATTCTCTACATTCAATACTAGCTTAGCAATTAGATAGAGTAACATTTACAAGTATACTAATACATCTCTCTTTCTATTCCCATGTCTTTTTTCCATTTTTTAAATTTTATTTTAAAATTAACATAATGTTTTCAAAATGTTATTTAAACTTAAGATTTTTTTTTTCATTTTGTATTTAAACAAAACTCGGGGCATCACCCGAGTCACAGACTAATTCTATATTATAAGTCAATTTAAGAATACCTTAATTTGGTGCCCACCTATCTAAAATATAATAATTGCTTTAATTACTCAATAATTGTTTTATTGAGTAGTAGATGTTGGTAGTTATTATGATAGAAATATCCTAAAAGCAAGCAATTAATCATCTACATACACTCACTTTGTATTCACGTAAAAGCATGAGAATCAAGGAGTGGAAGGATGGTTGGTACTTAGTCCCTCCCATCTCCCGGCCCCCTCCCTCCAGAGTGTTGGGGTTCGACCCTCATCCCCCCTCCCCTCTTGTAATAGGAAGGTCTCCCATATCTTACCCTTTAAAAAAAAAAAATCATATTTAATTTATTCCTTAGCTCAAAGGGAACGTTGAATTTTTCCTGGCCTTAACAACAATTTTGTATTCTCAAGGCTTGAACTCCTTGTCCAAAAAAAAAAAAAAAAAAAGGCTTGAACTTGAAACCGAAACTTTTAATTGATCTAGAACTACTTGACTATTTTTCCTTTTTTTAATTCTTTACTATCTTATCCAATATGCGTACGTGGTGGTTCATTAATTTGGTCTTACACATTGAACAACAATTGAGCATTACCTTTTGATTCCATATTCGCAGGATATGTAGTAAATTAGTTATAGTAGGAGATCGAATGAAATATTCATTCATTACAGATTTACAAGTGTTTGGCCAATTGGCTTCACACGTGTGTCATGCCCTACAATTGTAGGTAAAGCTTGAATGTAGCAAGCCATTTACAAGTTTCATGTAAAATTAAATTTAGTGGCCAGCTCACCGTCCAATCCCATGCATCATGATAAACTTATATTGCGTTAGTTATTACGGATTTCTTTTGTTGTCCGTTCATCGAACCATGATAATGTACTACCTCTGGCTAAACAACCACCTATTTGCACACAAAATGCTATATTACCCTCTATACCTCAAGTCCGACTCCCGACTATATATAAGCATTAAATACATTTCCAACTGTATATAAGCATTGAATACATTTCGTGAAATGAAATTAATCAATAAAAATAATTCTTAATCTTTCCTCTTTAAGCTTATGTATGTTGGAGAAAGTAGTCATATTTATTTTCCGTTGAACTAAAAATCTAATGTATCAAGTTGTGGATTTGATTGCACCTATAATATTGTTGTATTTAGTTAACTGTAGCTAGTATGTGAAATACTTGAACCCACGTGGAATACTCAATAATCTCCTACTCACATGAATTCTTTCACCTACTTGCTTTAAAATAGTCATATCAGTGATACTCATCAAGTAATGATTTTAATTAGCTAGTTATGGGTGATTATTTTTTTTTTAATAATATTAAAAACATTTCCATTATTTATGGATGATGAGATGAACATGGTTCAATAGCTCACGTTCCACCTAACCACCCAAATAATTGCACACCTAAGTTGTTTCATTGGCTTTATGGCTTTTGTTGTGCTCTGTTGGAATTGCCCTGGCTATCTAACTTACTCGGTAATACATTACTACTTTTACAAGTTGCAACCACATTCATGTAATTTATTCAATTGCAAATGTTTATAATTATAGGCTTTAGGTCTATCCATCTTCCTTCTCATGTGGAAATATTAAATTATTAACTAAATCTTTTATTTATATGAATCTCTAATGAAATTTAATTACACAAATCCAATTAAATTAATCCTTTTCTTATTTATAAATCTCTAATAAGAAACAATTTATTGTTAGTTAACCCTAGGCATTTATGTGTAATATAATGCCATTGAGATATTTGAATGATTTCGTGATTAATTTAACCTAACTATTATTATACTTGTATTTCTCTTCAATGACACTTATCATATATATTCCTTGAGCGTGGAATGAACATGAATTATGATAACAAATTCTCAATTTCCGATTTGGAAGGCCTTTATTGTAGATGATGAGCAATCAAGCACAAAATAATACAAATAACATTCACCATTCTAATAATACAATCCATTTGTACATGAATAACGTGCCACATTTATTTTAGTCATTGTTATTTAATTTACAACATACCACCGACTTTCTTCATCTCCATTTTTACGTACATCTCTATCGTGTACACTAACATATCCTTTTATATTATTTAGTGATCTAACGATTTTGAAACGGTAATACTAGAAAATTACATATGTAAAATGGTTCTTTACCAATAATACAAGTAATGAAAAAGAAAAGAAATGATAAGGTTATTTCATGATTCATGAACAAGTGGCAAAAAAATAAAAGTAAAACGTTTGATATAAACACAGCGTTCTACAAATGTTCTAGATGGATCACCAAAACAAAGAAAACTCTGTTCACACAGAATGTGAATATTCCCCTTATTATATTAATTGATTATATTAAATAAAATAAAATTAAATAAACCTTAATAGTTACACCTTGCACATTCAACTTCTAACCTAATCAATAATCATCCTCCCTTCCCCTCCCATCCAAATTGATTCTCATATCTCAACCCCACGTGTCACCGTATAAACGAAGCAATATGTTTTGGAGTTTGCATGTGATCGATGATTAAGACGTCTACTTCTAAAAGTAACTCCTGCAACTTGCCTTACACACTCATCGGAAAATTGTACTAGGAATTTTTTTTTTAATTATTTAATACAATTTTTTTTTTTAAAAAGACCATTTGTAAATTGTACCTTTTAAGAGGTTAGAATCGAATGATTCAACATTATTTTCAACAAAACATAACAAACTTTGTTAAAAAAAAATATTGAGTAATGATATACGTAGCCCTAAAACATTGATTATTAGTTTAGAGATAAGATCACTCGCAAATCAATGTAACTAATGAACCTTTTATTAATTATTTCCGTTTTTCTTAAACAATCCTTAAGGTTATGTGTAACATTTTTCTTAAAGATAGATTTTATTTCATGTGAAAATAGCATAGATAAGATTTATAAAAAATACATCGAGAAAGGAAAAGGTTAAACTATTGAAAATTTATAGTACTCCATAATAAGCAGAATTCAACATGAGTTTGGGTCGGACCCGTTGGAGACTTTCCTTCCATAGTTTGTTTGATATGCCCTATCCAAAATTACTCATTGTTTGCCCCCATTAATATATCTACCAAATTTGTTTAGCTTATCCTATCCACAACATACATATATAGGTCATTAGGTTGTAACTCATTTGAGATAACTTCTAATTATAATCGATACCGCTTAATATTGCATATTTATTGGTGACAAAATAGGTTACTAGTCGATTTATTAATTAATTGATCAAACACAATAAGACTACATTTAGTAGGTCATTATCACTCAAAATTACACGTCCAAATAAGTGCTCAATTTATTTTGTGATGGCAAAGTATGTCGTACAAATTAAAGGGTGAGTTGTATTCATCTAACTTTTAGATAAATTGAACTTATCAAAATTTATTGCATTTATAATTTAAAACCTCCTAACCCTAATTAGTCTTTATTACATTGTACTCCGTATTTTTTCTTTCTAAAATTAAACATATCAAATAAGTAAAAATAAGATAACCACAACTGTCCGAGCCGGCTAGTAAATTGTTGGTACATTACTAAAACTAGGAATACATTGAATATTGAGTATTGGTTAGTCGTTCTAAATTCCACCTCCCTAGCTTCATAACCGCGTACATTTTAATATGTTGATGATAGCTTAGCTTGTTTAGAAATGGGAGTCTCGCGTCATTGATGCCGTCCTCACCTTTTTTATTTTCTCTCTCATCTACCAACCCTCTATATATTCCCCCACTTTACCCACTCAAGTCCTTTCAAAAACTAATCTCTCTCTTTTCCCATTTCCTCTCTCCTAAAAAATAAAAATGACCACAAAAATGCACCCAATTAGCGGCGGCGCGTCTTTCTCACTCTCCTCTCAAACCCCCAGTTTCACTTCTTACTCCTCTGAAAACATCGCTGATATTGCTGCTCGTGTTGTTAAGGAGCTCAATTTGTCTCAAAACGACCCGTTTGATGATGATTATTACTCCTCTGTCACCTTCAACGACGCGTTTCATGATACCCCTCTAAACGACACCGTTCAACCCCAAAACGACAACATCAACAATGACGATGAAGACGATGACGATGATGATGAAGAAGAGAGTGAATTCGAGTTTGCGATTTTGACAGGGGAAGAGAATTCATCCCCAATTTCAGCCGATGAGATCTTCGACAACGGCCAAATAAAACCGATGTTTCCAGTATTCAACACCGATTTAGTTTACGGCGATAATTGTGGTTTTTCGACGGCAAGTTCTCCTCCGACCACTATCCGCGTACCGTTGCGGAAGCTGTTGGAGGAGAGGGAAACGAGCGGGAATGGGGCCGCATCGTGTTCGTCATCGGAAGCTGATGATCTAGAAGGGGTCCCACCAGGTACGTACTGCGTGTGGACCCCAAAGAAGAAGGAAGAGGTTCTGATGATGAAGAAGAAGAGTAAATCAACAGGTTCTTCCAAACGTTGGAGGTTTAGAGATTTGTTACATAGGAGTAATAGTGATGGGAAGGATACTTTCGTCTTTTTGACACCCTCGAATAATCATAAAAGTATCGGTGTCGGTGTCGGTGGTGGTAGTAGTGGTGGCGGAGATGGGAGGAGGAGGGAGAAAACGGTGACGGTTGGAGGGAGGAAGAAAAGTGGTGTGGAAGCGGGAAAGATGAAATCGTATTTACCGTACCGTCAAGATCTTGTTGGGTTTTTCGTTAATGTGAATGGGATTAGTCGGACGGTTCGACCTTTTTAGTTTTTGTCCGAAATTAATAGTCACGTTGATGATGTATGGTGGTGGGAGGCGGTAAATATTTGGGAGATTTGGGTTGGTCACGTTGAGGTAGGCAAATTTTGGGATGACTTCGTTCAGTTGTTATTAACGAGTATTGAATGTAAATATTCAAGATCTTACTTGTTTTGTTTTCAAGTAATGAGAGCCAAAAAAATAAAAAAAGAAAAGTGATGCATTGAAATGCCAAAATTGTTAAATGTAATCTTACTACACATGGTTTGGTTTAGGGGTGAAAGTTCGGTTTTCGGTTTGGTTTATAGGCCAAACCGAAACCGAACCACCCTAATTCGGTTTTTGGTTTTTGGAAACCAAACCGCACCACTTTACTTTTGAAACCAAACCAAACCAAACCATATAAATTTCGGTTTCAAAAGAAAAAACCGAACCAAACCGAATTTTTTTGGGCCTTGTTTATTTGGGCTTTAATCTGCAATTTTTGTGGGCTTAAATCATATAAATATTATATTCATCAACATATGTAGTAGCATAAATGCTTAATGAGATTTAAACAACATTAACAAGTTCTAAAACTTCAAAGTTATAATTCAAAGTTTTAAAAGTTCAACACTTCATCCAAAAAAAAAAAAAATTGTTCAACATTACAACTTTAACAATTGTTTAACAGCAGTAGCAACAAGCAGCATAGACCAAGTTCTAAAAGGCAGTAAAAAAAGTAGCAACAAGCAGCATAGACCAAGTAGCAACAAGCAGCAGGGCAGCAGCAGCATCATAACAGCAGGTCAGCAGCAAAAGCAGTGATAGAGCAAGGCAGTAGCAAGTCTGGCAAGTGGCAACAACAAGTCAGCAATGAGCAAAGAGCCACATCAGTCTATTATTTCAAGCACTTCATCAATATCAGCATCACCAACTGCCATATTCTTCAAGTCTATCATAATTCATAACAAAAATAACCAAGTTAAAAATATATACACATAATGAAAATAAGTAACTTATGATTAGATGTTCTTATATATTACCCTCTTCAAGAAGCTCAACTTCCTCTAAACATTCTTCAATACTTGGAAATGGTGAAGCACGTAACCAATTTTGAGCACAAACAAGACCTTCTACAACTCGAGGAGTTAATGAGCTCCTAAACTGATCTAGAACCCTGCCCCCAGTGCTGAATGCACTCTCAGAAGCTACTGTCGAAACAGGGACAGCAAGAACATCACGGGCAATTCTCCCCACAGTAGGAAACCTTGAACAATTGAACTTCCACCAGCTCAAAATGTCAAATTCATCAATATCCTCCGCTGTATCCTCCTCCAAATATTTGTCTAACTCTATTTTTGCATCTCCATCTCTCTCACACTTGTGTTTCTTATACTTACTCTTTAAGACTTCAATCTTTTTATGTTTGGGACTCAATGGAGTTTTGCCATCCTTACTTGAAGACACTTCCTCCCTATTCACATCATTACTAGAAGAAACACGATACTCCTCATACAAAGCATTCAAAGCTACCTTCACATTATCAACTAACTTTGATGCAACAATAGGGTCATAAATTTCAGTTATCATCCACTCAACATAATCAAGCTTATAACGAGGATCAAGGACAACGGCAATAAAAATCAGGAGGTTTATTTTTTCTGGATCACCCCAATACTTTTCATATTTTTCTTTCATTCTACAAGCCATAAGACACATATCCACATCATCACTTGAAACCAAATCTTTCATAAGTACAGCAACACTCACCAATTCATGAAAAAACAAATTCAAACTGACATATAAAGAGCCAGAGACATGCAAGGTCAGATCATAAAAGGCTTGTAGAAATTCAGAAAGTCTTCTTACATTATTCCAATCATCAGAATCTGGGCTACCCTTACCATCCCTCTCATTCAAATCAACTACATAGTGAGGGTCTTCCCCAGAATACCTCTCAAAAGCATCTTGAAGCTCAATAGCAGCATTCAACATCAAATAGGTGGAGTTCCACCTAGTAGGCACATCAAGGCACAATCCCTTTTTTGTGTTGATTTTTTCATCTAAGACACATTTTTTAAACCTTTGCAACCTAGCAGGAGATTGTTTGATAAACCTAACAGCATGCCTAACACGTTGAACCGACTCATTAACAGTTTTCAACCCATCAGAAACAACCAAATTGACAATGTGTGCAACACAACGCATGTGAAGGAAACGACCCTTAAGAACCCCAGTTTTCCACCCATTTATTTTCCTTCTCATATACCCAATTGCAGTATCATTTGAGCTAGCATTATCAACTGTTATGCACATGACATTTTCAAGCCCCCAATCAAGCAAACACTTTTCAATTTCTTTGCCAATATCATCACCCTTATGACTAGAAATAGGACAAAAATTCAGAATTCTTTTGTGTAATTTCCAATTATTATCAATAAAGTGGACAGTCAAGCACATGTAATTGATTTGTTGTATAGAGGTCCATGTATCAGTGGTTAAAGAAACTCTTGAATTACACCTTTTTAACACATTTTTCAGCTTTCGTTTTTCAGTTAAATATGTTTCAAAACAATCTTTGGCTACTGTAATTCGAGAAGGAACATTAAATCTAGGCTCTATTACACCACAAAAATGTCTAAAACCTATACCTTCAACAAACTTAAATGGAAGTTCATCAACAATCACCATAAATGACAAAGCTTTTCTAATACTACCAGCATCAAATTTGTGGTATGTCAACCCACTAGTACCACCACTTGGTTCTTTAGCACTTTTAAATGAAAGCAAACTTTGTTTTGAATCTTTAGGGGTGTTAAAGGGATACTTACGACATCGCGAAATATGAGCCCATAACACACTAGTGCCGTTTTTCTTTGCCCCACACTTGTAGCTCATCCCACAATACTTGCAAATTGCCTGCATTCCAGAAGGTAAGTCTTCTTTATCAAAGTGCTCCCAAACTTCAGAGCGTTCTTTCATCCTCTTCCTTTTTGCTCCCTGTTCTTTTTTCTGATTTTGAGAGACTTGGTCAGTCTCATGTTCGGATTGAGGCTGGTCAGGAACACCACCCACGTTGGTTGTCATTCAATAATTCGTGGTTGAATAACAATCTGTAAGAATACATGCAAACTCATAAATTAAGAATATTGGATCTTTTAAAGGGAATAATAATTATACCCCTAATAAACAAAATCAGTAGTAACTGGCTAACTAAACCAAAGACAATAACAATTTAGCAATAATAATTAGCCCCCTAAGATTCCACCCCACCACCCAAAAACAATCAAATTAAGCACTAACTGACTAACTGTACCCAAAACAAGTAAAATCAAAATTAACAATAATAACAAAGATCAACAATCTAATAAACACTTATCAAGACAATGATAATGCTATTAATCATGCGAACCCTTGAATTAATAACTAACTAATAATCTGAAACAATCTTCAACAGAGTCCAATCGAATAGAGCTTCAAAATACCAGAAAATTCAGAATGTTTTACTAGACCAAAACCCTAATCAGAATGTTTTACTAGACCAAAACCCAAAATACCCTTGAATAGACCAAAACCCCGAAGCATCAAAATACCAGAAAATTCAGAATGTTTTACTAATTTGTACAGAATAGAAAATTCAGAAACAACATCGCAATATGAACATCAAGCATAGATTAAAACCCTAATCAGAATGTTTAACAAATTTGTACATGTAATTTGCAGATTTTCGTAATTAACATTTAACACTAATCATAATTAAAACCCTAAAAAAATATGAACATCAAGCATAATCAAAACTTAAAAGCATACCTTTGGACGGTGGACGGTGTCACAGTGAACGCCTGAACGAGTGCGCTGTGCCGGTGAACGATGGAGAATTGGAGAGTGAGAATTCTGAGAAACACAAAAGAGATGATTGAGAAACTGAGAAGGTGAGGGTGAGAGACTGAGAAATTCGCAATGAGGGTAGGGTAAGAGGCGAACTGAGGAAGTCAGGAGAGAGAATCAGAGAATGAGGGTTAGGGTTTTTTTTTTTTTTCCTTATATACTTAGGGTAAATCTGCCAATCTGGGCCTAAATTTCGGTTTTCGGTTTTTTTCGGTTTTCCATTTCCTCAAACCGAAACCAAACCGAAAACCGAAATATTTTTTTTTAAAAAACCGAACCGAACCACTTCAAAAAAAAAACCGAACCATATTTCTTATTCGGTTCGGTTTTCGGTTCGGTTCGGTTTTAACCCGAATTTGTTTCACCCCTAGTTTGGTTTTATTAAATTGATCCAAGTACGTATTTGTTTATGAAATTTGAGTTCAACCGATTTTCAACTTTGAAAGTAGGAGCAAAACTATGTATTTCCGAGGGTTTACCACTTCCAAAGTCCCAATATTTCCTTTGGCTCATGTCTAGTCTAATGTTAAGATTGTTAACCTCCAATATTAAGGCAAACAATAACTAAATACAGAGTAACATTTAAATACAAGTCCAAAAACTTTTAAAGATTTATTTATGACTTAGGCTGCTCTAATAACTTGTGTGTACATAGTACCAAACATTACAAGTTTTACAACATCTAATTTGTGTAAAATATATCCGACTGATATAATTTTAAAAAGTAAATTCAATTTTAATAACATCATTATCTCCAACAGTTTCCTAGAATTATGGACACAAGATGTGATATTTAAACTAGTTACTATAGTGGAATTTTTTAAACCGTGTTTTTTTGGTAAAGTTGTAGAAATGAAAGTAAAAGAATAGTAATTTTTCTCAATAATAATAATAATAATAATAATAAAAAAGAATAGTACTTCGTAATATATAAGAATGTTCTCATCCACAAAGGGCTGCCTAATTACTAAAATAATTATCTCTAATAATTATTTAGCTGTCTTGATTTGGACTTTCCACTTCCTCTTTCCCTATTGATTAACCAATTGATATATAATAGCGAAAGATGGAAAAAGTTTAATGTTCCATTTATTAAATGTAAATAATCTTCATCTTATGATTATGTATAAATATGAGAA